CTTGAATCATAACCACATGCTTTAGGAGTGATATCGCTTCCTTAACTTGTCCATTTTCCAGATACGCACTCGCCAGTTCGTGCTGTGACGCTAGTCGACGTGGATGATCCTTCTTTAGTGTTTGCTCTTCAACCATAGCCACATGCTTCAGGAGTGATATCGCTTCCTTAACTTGTCCATTTTCCAGATACGCACTCGCCAGTCCGTGCTGTGACGCTAGTTGATCTGGATGATCCTCCGCCAATGTCTGATTTTCGACTGTGACTATCTGCTCCAGGAGTGATATCGCTTCCTTAGCAAGGCCGTAATCGACGAGATTCTGGGCAGCCAGCTTATATATCTCTAGCCATTGTTGCGTAACTGTTGTGCGACCCGCGCCAAGGTGAGCCAGCAGCCGGTTCATGAGGTCAAACACCTGACTATCACTCCGCATTTTCCACATCTTCAACCCGCATTTCATTAAAATACGAACAATAGGTATCGAATGCTCCGACATGAACATTCTGGTGGTTCCCCAAGACACTAACGCGTGCACGTGGGGTTTAAGTTGCCACTGGTATTGCTCCCATAAATGACTGTCTTCGCAAGAGATCGCCACCAAACATCCTGCCCGTACCCACGATTCGTGCTGTGCACTGGGATCGAGTCGATCGTTCGCCTAAACATGGATTAATGGATGCATAGAGATACTCGTCATTGCACCGTCAGCAGTATCGGTCGCGAGGAGAGAGAAGGCCTTGAGAAGATTGATAGCCTCGATAAGTCGAAACGAGTCCCAATGCTCACGATCAGCTGAAATAAGCGGGAGTAAATGATCTGCATGCCACATTGTTAAGCGAGACAATTTCTCTTCGTCGACATGGTCCGATGATATCTTTTGAGCCTCGTTCCACCCAGCTTCGAATAGCTGGAGTGGCAGTCGACTGGACCCTAGCGAAGCCATGACATCCAACAGCTGAAGAGAATCATGGGCCGACTCGGTGTTCGTGGACTGGAGGATTTCAGCAGATGCCTCAAAAGTCGCATAGACATCCCCATACCGAGAGCGCGCTTGGGATGGTCGAAACCTCATCAACCGCTCTCGTTGTCGCTGATACTCTTTAGGATAGTCTTTCAACACACAGTGGCCTCGAGACACGTATGCTCCTGCTTGAATGAGGGCGAGAGGATGTGATTGGAGCAGAGAGGTCACAGCCCGTGCATCAGCGTCCAACATTTCATGTCGATTGCGAGGTATGGAAGCAGCACGAAGGAGCAATTCTCGAGCTTGAGCCATTGGTAATCCCTCCAAGTCGATCCACTTTTGCGTAGCATATTCCCGGCATTCAGCATTCCGGGACGTCAATAACACAAGGCCGAGTGCTGTGGACGGAAAGTATTGTTGATAATCAACATCCACATCATCGGCGTTGTCCAAAATCAGGAACCATGGCTCTTTACAATTAGAAAGACTCTGAAGGGCCCCTTTCCAAGTCTGTGCCCCCGTCTGAAGTCGGCTCGCGATACTCAAGAAGCCAGTTTCCGCCAAGGAAGGAGTGCTCACGTCGACCCAGAAGATACCCCAGAATCTATGACATTCAGTGACAAGGTCTTTCAGAAACACGACACATGAAACTCACAAATGACGAATACGGTGGGCGAGCTGGATGCAAATCTCGCTTTTGCCCTGGCCGCCCATACCTGATATCACGATGCAAGATGGGTCTTGACGCTTGGTATTTTTCACAGTACGATGGGCAATGTCCTCGAGTTCAGACAGAAGCTCTTCTCGACCGGTAAACAGAGGATTTTTTGGACGAATGATAGTCCAGTGAACAGGGTAAGAGACTAACTGATCTTCTGGATGCCAGTCAGCCATTGCCACAATAGGTGATGATCAAAAGCGCCCATTGTGGGAGAGAGGTAGGAAATAATGAACGAATAGTATATTCCACTGCCATATTGCTTATGAAAATCATCATGCCTTCCACCTCTTCAAAAAATCAATAGGTATTTGACTCACGAGGAACTTTCGTCACCTCCGATGCATGAGATGCGCTGCTGATGTCTCGCGACGGAATCACCGAGAGCAGCTCCTTCATGTATGCCGCGGCCACAGCGGCGGCATACGGCTGCCATTGCTTGTTCTTGTGTGAGTCGGCATAATCACAAATGCCTCGAATGACCAGACAAGGAAATGAATCCATCAATCCAGCAGCCTCCATCTCGACACAAATAATGTCCAAATTGGTATTTTTCAATTTGTCCCGTTCCGCCGCGTTCTTGAGCACACGATTGGCCGAACCAATAGTACCATAGTGAACGACGGGGTTGGTGCTAGACCGTGGTCGCCGTTTAATGACACGAGACGAGTCGCAGTCGACGCAGTCTTCGCCTCTGTGGTGATCGTATGTGGTTTCGAACAACTGATCGCTTTCTGTGCCTGGGTAGATATATTTCTCCTTCATTTTAGGCCATTTCCCAAGCATCTGCAACAGGTACTCCGGCACCTTGCTGTCAACCAGTTCGTGGTCTGCCGCCAGCTGCTGCACGGCAGCTCGCAAGACTGGGGGTGGTTTGTCCAGTGTTCCCGTCCGCTCGAATCCATGGACTGTCTCCTTTCCCAAGTCATATTGTATCACGCCTCCAGCCGTCTTGGTCGGTTTACTGATGACGATATCGCCCAGCCGAATATCTACACGGGGAAGATCCGGCACACCACCACCAATTCCCACCAGGAGGCCAAAGCGGACCGATGGAAAGTCGTTAATGAGTTGCGTCGCCGCCACAGACGCCGCATTATTCCCAATTTCCGGGAGCACTGCAATCACGATATTATGTCCACCTATTGCCCCCAAAACGTAGCTGTTTCGATCGGGCAACCCAAGCAGACTCGGATGGATCTCGTCGAGTAACGCTTTGACGGGGGCTAGCTCCACCCCCATGGGGGTGATACAGGCGACAGTGTAATCACTGCGCGAGAAAGGCATCACTTCGACCGGCGCAGGAACGAGGCAGAACGGAGAAGGGCTTCGCGGCTGGGTATGGCACTGTCGGAGAGTCGTCGGCTCTCGTGAAGGCCAACCTTTCGCGGCTCTCGATGGCCTTCACCAAGACGATTTTGTCGAATCCAAAAAGGTAGAGACATTCTGAACCAGGCTGAAATCCTGGCAGAAGGTCGAGCATGGGTTGGGCTAGGCTGAATTCGACGTCTCAAGCGATAGCTTTCGGGCGATAAATCACGTGTGATACTCATCCCCCAAAAATTCCCTCTATGCGTGGAGTTGGTTGTCAACAGAAATGATACGTTAGACAGCTTGGGGATATTCGTGTATCCACAGTGCAGAACCACACTCGAAAACACACTTGTATAGTACTCGTAACCTATATAACTAGCCTTTGGTACTGCCGAGTCCATTTTCAGCAGTGGACTGTCCAATACTACGAGAAGTTCTGATGAACGATATCACTCTCGCTCACTCACTGAAAGTACAACAAGTTTCCTTCTCTTCGAATATTGGCATTCCGCGCCATTGTGAACCCCAGAACCAACACCGCTTGACTATTTCGACTATTTCTTCCCCTGGCCGGGTGCTCGTACCATACTAGATTCTCGCGGTGTCCTACAATATATCTCTACGGCAGCCTATGCCTTTTTAGGCTACAATACCAACCTTAAATTTCCCACGGAGTTTCATTCCCCAGTCCAAGAGAGAGTCTGTTCGCTTTGTTTGTCCCGCGCAGACTGTTCGATCAAATTGATACCCAGTCGATGCCAGTTTCCAGCACAATCCACGGAGATATTGAATAGGCGACCACAAGTTGCGATAGCCCCGAAGCTTTCTCAGTCTCACGGAGCGGCTGGACTACGGACGCCCTGCATCGACTGTGGCTGGCACAATGCTCAACAATGAGCGACAATCAAGACCGCTCGCTCGAGCCTGCAGCTCGTGCTATCAGAAGAAGGTCTTTCTTCTGCTATATCCCCCAATAGTACCACTCTTTGACTCTATGTACAGATTCGGTGCAATGTAGGTCAAGGCCGAATGACATGCTCCAGCTGTGAATTGTACGGAATTGGCTGCGTGTGAGCTCTGAATGTTCACTTTCTGGTTCCAGCAAATTGACGTGCTTACAGAGCTCGAACACGAAAGCGTAAGCATGATCCTCCTTCGGTAGAGGAACATGTGCCATCTCAGATGGCTGCAAGTGCGAAGACCAAGCCAGTGCGCTCTGGGGTTTGCAACGTGCCTCTCAGTCCCACGACTCCAATACGAAGCCAGGAGTCGAGATACTCGAACGCCTCGTCCACCTTTATCCCTGCCGCTGATGCTCAGTTCGGCTTTGAAGCGTACTACGGTTCGCCTATGCCTACACCTCAACGCACCGAGACCGTCGAGCCACAAGAGCAACGCCATGTCCACATAAATGACCTCGACAGGGCTTTGATACAGTTGTTCAATCCATCTGATCTACCTACCGTCGCGTGGCAATCGTCGCTGCTGGATAACTTTCTGACATATGCTCTGCCTCTGATGCCTATCATTGAGCTTCGATGGTTAAAGCCAACAACTGTGTATACGCCTCCTACAATCCTTACCAAGGCGGTGGTACTAGCCGGAGCTCGAGTCACTAATGCACGGCCTCCGTTCTCCTGTGAAGAGTATTACTCCGCTGTGAAAGCAATGATACTTTTTGGCAAAGAACAAAACCCCATCATCAGCATTGTTGTTGCCTGCATTCTGGGGTGGTATAACCAAGCAAGTGTTTATGATGTGACAGTCGATTCGAGCAGTGCATGGCTTCGCTTCGCTTCAGGCATTGCCTATCAGATTGGGCTGCACAAAGAGTCGGGCAGTCATATTAATGCCGCTTACCGACGCAAATTGTGGTGGACTTTGGTTGTAAATGCACCTCTCCTCCCCTCCTCTCCCGCCCATCACTTGCGCTGACAACGACGTATCGACGTACAGGCTCGAGACTGTCAAATCTCAGCTGGCCAGGGGCGACCAAGGATTTTTAGCCTTGCTGACTGTGCCGTGCCGTGAAGCCAATTTCTGTCCAAGACTTCGCAGCTGGCGATGCTAACGCGGAGTTTTTCACAGTCCATGTAAGACTTTGCCTCATCCTAGCCGACCTGTGCGAGTTGTATCGACGACAAGAGATGACTACTGAGAGGAACGATGCAATTAGAGATCGCTTGCTCTGGTGGCTGAGATCTCTTCCCCGTGGAAAGCAAACATGTAACCTGACAACGGCGGCGACACCTTCGGACAATTTCATGTGGAGGCAATTGCTCGTCATCTACTTTGCGGTAGTGACTATCCTTTACAGAGCCGACTGGCCGGGCCAAAGGATACGTTCTCAGTCGGTCATTGCGTCGTCGTTCCTGGCAAATCTTCTGGAATGTTTCCTGGCTCGCGACGAGGTACAGCGATTACCCACCATGTTTTGCTTCTACGCTATGTGTGCTGCCATTCCCCTGATTGTTGCTACTAAAATCCGCAAGCTGAAGACTGGGGCGGAAAGAGACCTTGCGATCATTCAACAAGCCTTGGAAGAACTAGCTGCAAGGTGGCCGTCTTCAAGCGGTGCACTCAAGCATTTCCAAGTACTCAGACACTCCAAAATTGATACTACCGGGTCTCCAAACTCGCTCATGATTGTCAGGCCCGAAGATCTTCTACTTTTCGAGCCATTCGATTCATCAGCCTGCAGGAGCTGGTCATTAGTGACAAATAATGTCGGGGAAGAAGAAATTGTCCACGGCGTTGAACTAGAGAAGGAAAGCCAAGAGACTTCAAGCCAAAACATGTCTCGCTCAGCTGGTATGCAATATGGACTTGATGAGACAGTAGCCCTCCACTTTCCAGGTTCACCTTCAGGGCCGCAACAACTGACTCCGGATAGCCCCTCGGATCCCCTCTCTCTGGGTGCTTGCCCCAATTATGCTGACCCTGTGGGAGAGTGGTTGCTCTTTGATGATCTCAGTTGGGCTAGTTAGAGATGTGAGCAACAGTCATATGATTTGACTTCATTTCCATTTGCCGGTCGATTGACAATGAGTGCCGAAATAGCTTCTGAGGAAGCAGCCCTGTCTTGAATGTCGTTGTGCAGCTCTGTAGTGACTACAAAGGTCTCATGCTGCCTAGCGGTTGAGCTTCAGCATTGGCACCAGACGAATGCTGTACAAAATTTGAACGTTAGTGTCCGCTAACGACGTCTGAGAAATATGGTGGAACAGGCAAGGCGAGATTCAAGCGACATGAAGAAAGGCTCGATTGACCGATCGACCAATCGACAATGGCTGGAAGGCACTCTTCAAGAACGACAGTGCCCGGACGAATCAACGGAGCAACGACCTACGACATACCAGGGTCTCCTCACCCAGTGCCACGGCGTTTTCAGACCCTTCCCACGCCATGAATGTCCTTTTGGAGAGCTGGAAACGTCAAACTAACACGGCGAATTTTGAGTTCATCCCGCCTTAAGACTGGCTTATTGATATTGACCCCGAGATGACCTCCGCACCCCAGAAACCCACATTTACGGAGTGGAGTGACCGGCTCTAGCACATGGCATATAACTGCAGCTGCGTCTTGAAATAATTGCATACAAGCAAGACGCCCTATATCATGGACTGCGTATTCCACCATTGCTCAAGGCTAGCTAGTATCGTCATATCTAAAAGGCTTGACACCAAGCTCATCTCTATACACCTCCATCATGGTTCAGCCTGAAAAAGTGAACGGCACTCGGTCTGAGATTGAAACAGCAATTGAAACTTGTCCAGACGGGATTGCGCCTGTCGATACACTCCATGGTGATGAGGCAACCAAAGTGTTGAGAAACTACACTGGCGACCAGACATGGCTTCAACACGAGGAAAAGCTCGTCAGAAGGAAGATTGACTTCCGCCTGCTTCCTGTGCTGTGCGCGACCTATGGCTTGCAGGTGAGTCGTTTCTCAACAAAATGGTATAGTTTTATCAACAGACCGCTCACTAACGTATCCTCCTCCAACAACAGTATTATGACAAGGCTATGCTGTCCCAAGCAGTAGGATCGAGTGTTCTGTTTCTCCCTCTGGTCCCTCCGCTAAGATCTCACTAGGCACTATTTGGGCTGCGAGAAGACCTGGGCCTCGAAGCCGGGAGCAAATACTCCTTCTGTGCGTCTATTTTCTACCTTGGGTTTATTGTGGGCGCATATCCTGCAATTCTTCTTGCTCAGAGGTTCCCAATAGAACGCGTAGCGGCGGTGTCCGTCCTTCTCTGGGGCATATGTTTGATCTGCACGGCGGCGTGCGACAGTTGGAAGACCATTTTTGCACAGCGCTTTTTCCTGGGGCTCTTGGAGGCTGGAATCAGTCCCATGTTCATGATGGTCGTGGGCCAATTCTACAAAAAGGACGAGCAAGCTCTTCGCATGGGGTGAGGATGTCGAGGCCTTCCTTTGCGGACCACTTGCTGACACTAGCTACTACCAGTGTATGGTACTGCACGACAGGATACGTCTCGATAGTGTCTCCTTTAATCAATGTAAGCACCTGTGGCGACTTTCCCAAATTCAGGATCAGCGAGCTCATCGGCTTTCTTATCAGTACGGTCTAGGGCACATCAAGGGCTCGCTCTCCCCCTGGCGCTACATGTACCTTGTTGCTGGAGCAGTGACGATGCTGTGGTCTGCCGTCATCCTCTACTTCATGCCGTCTGATCCGATTCGTTGCTGGGGTTTGAGCGACAGAGAGAGGTATATCGCAGTCGCCCGTCTCCAAACCAACAATACAGGCGTGAGGAATACCCACTTCAAGAAAGATCAGGGCATCGAGTTGTTGAGTGACTTGAAGTTCTGGCTTCTCTTTTGCGCAACTTTCTTGATGCTGATCGCAAATGGGCCGGTGTCGACCTTTGTGCCACTCATCATTCACAACATGGGCTTTGGCAGGCTCCACTCACTGCTCCTTCTTACGCCGATCGGGGCTATCATGTAAGGCCTGGCTCATAAGGCTGAGACCCTTTGCACATCTCCTCTACGGAATAGTGGTGCTGAAGCCGATGCCGTTGCTGACGTTGATTAGCGGCACACTCCAACTAGGCTCGTGTCATGCCGCCTACAAACTGGCCAGAGCGAGATGCTATATTGCTATTATCTGCGAAACTGGCACGATCCTTGCGTGCTTGCTACTATGGCGACTGCCAGCTCACGCAACTGGTGGACTGCTGTTTGGAACGTATATTCTCGCTGCCAACAGTGCAGCATACGCCGTCCTCATGGGCATGCAACTTGCCAACACCGGAGGCTATACGAAGAGGTCTCTGGCCTCGTCGGGACTTTTTGTGGGTTACTGTGCCGGTAAGTCTATGAGATATTGCGGGCGCGGACAAGATTTACCCCTGGAGTGGACTAGACTGAACTCGTCTGGCAACATAGGCAATATCGTTGGACCTTTATTGTTCAAGTCGTCCGATGCTCCTCGCTACGCACCCGGATTCATAGCGGTCTTCATCACGGCTTGTGTGGCGGTCATTCTGATCTTCATCTACCGAATATGCTGTGTTTGGGAGAATCGTAAACGCGACAAAAGTGGCACAATGGAGGGGTTCGAGCATGCGTACGAGGACGATTTTACGGACCGAACAGTAAGCAACTTTTCTTTGTATGTTCTTTGTAGTAAACGAATCCATCAAAGCTGACACGATGATGCCAAAGAACAAGCAATTCCGGTATCTGTACTAGAAACCACCGTCGCAAAGGCCCACGACAGCGAGCAATCCTAGCGAAGACATTTCGTTGAATTGAACACTTTGGGGCAACGGCAGATCTGTTCGAGGGATTTCTTTCAGGCGATGATGGTCATCTAGGCACAGTCATCCCGTTCCTGGCGAAAATCTCGACGAGTCGCCCAGTTGATACTGCCTAGAATTAGACAACAGATTAGGTACTTACTAGCTTGATCTTGATCTAGGAGACATCACAAAGGTCGATAACATCTGTCTTTAAATCCATCGAATCGGTTTATCATTTGAGCATGATAGTGTTTGATGTCCTGCACCGGCGTGATGCTCACTTCGTAAGTTCGTTCAAGAACAATGGCGTCAACTTGCACTGTTTGGGATCCTGCCAGAAACAGACGAACTCCTCAGGCGAAAGGGGGGGGCCTCCATGTGGCCTGTCACCACAATAGCGGGATTTGAGTTGGATGAACATTGTCACGGAACTTTGACGAACGGGAAACCCACCTCCGGGGCATTATGTACTGGTTTCTCGAGAGTCGTTACGAAGTCGAGCCTTTCGTTATCACTCTGGGGCCAGAAACATGCGTTGCTAACTGAGAATACCGAGGTGCCCCCGGGCACGGCATTTAGTAGACCCAGATGATTCCGCACGATGTTCCTCGGAGGACCACCTAACTGGGCCTGTGCTTGTGTGGAAACCGAGCTCTAGTTAGCTTGCAACCCATGAGGCCAAGGTGAAGATCGACATGGAAACGCCGCGGGGACGGCGATTTTTGACTTTCAAAAGTCCCAGGGGGTTGCAAAGCGTGCAGATGCATCCTCCCAGGCCAGGTTGTGGTCTGGGCAGATATCTCCACGGGCTATCGAAGTCGAGGGTAAGAGCTGACCCCTTGCGGCGAACGCCACCGTTTAAGAATGATCGGAAGCGAGCCCTGCGATCAAGTAGTCTCTCTCGCTCTTGTGAACGAAGAATCGCCCACCCTCGAAATCTCACAATCTCACAAAAAGACAAACCAAACCAAAAAAAAAAAATGGGCGGCAGCTGTCGAGTAACAGATCCTACTCCCCATGAGGTTTACCTTGACCTGCTTAAGCAGCTCGGGACCGAACCGTACAAACACGTGGAGATTCAAGGCGATGATCCTGTTCTCCCCAGCCCGCATCGCCTGGGTGCTTCGGCCGCGGCGGCCCTGGCTGCCTTGGGCACTGAGATAGCTGGGCTTTGGAGGTCGAGGACGGGGATAGAAGAGCCCGTGCAGGTGGATGTCGAGACCGGAATAGCCCAGTTGATGGCTATCTTCCTCACCACCCTTAACGGGCTTCCCATTCGACGGCTACTCGAGGACCCGAAGCTGCTGACCCTGAGTGATTTCTACAAGGCCAAAGGAGGCAGGTTCGTCTTTCTCTTGCACACATACCCTCACCTTCGAGACATCAACCTCAAGGTGCTGAACTCCCCGTTTGAACGCGAGAGTTTGGAAAAGGCTGTTGCGCAGTGGGACGCCTTCGAGCTGGAGGAAAGTATAGGCAGCCTCGGGGGCACGTGTATTGCGGTGAGGACACGCGAAGAGTGGGTCCGATCACCTCAAGGCGCGGCACTCTTGGACACCCCCGTCGTCGACATTGAAAGAGTGGGCGAGAGTGCTCCAGAACCCTTCACCAACCAGCTCGACGTCTCGGCTGGGAAGCCTCTACAGGGGATCCGTGTTCTCGACAACACCCATGTCATTGCCGGCCCAATGGCCGGACGTATCCTCGGCGAGTACGGCGCCGAAGTTCTGTGGATGAGCACGCCTGATCATCCGGACCCGCGTACAATGAACACCGAGACGTCCATCGGCAAGCGATCCGCTCACTGTGAGCTCAACACGGAACAGGGCAAGAAGCAGTTCTGGGCCGCACTCTGTGACGCTGATGTCTATATTTCGAGCTATCTGTCACTGGAGAAGAAAGGCTTCGGTGTGCAGGAGTTGATCAAGGCTCGTCCCGGATTAATCTTCTCCGACTTCCACGCCTGGGGAAAGGGTGGGTTGTGGCAACAGCGCCACGGCTTCGACCAATTGGCCTGTTCGGCAACGGGGTTCGCGGACGAGGAAGGCAGAATTCGCTATGGGGATGGGCGCCCTTCGCTCCCACCAACCTACCTCCTGAACGATTACCTCGCCGCCCTCGTCGGCACGGCGGGCATTGTAAAGGCGCTGCAGCTCCGTGCCGTAAACGGAGGCAGCTATCGTGTCCATGTCAACCTCAGTCGCATCGCCATGTGGGTGCAATCCCTGGGATCGTATGATTCTAAAGACGTGGCGCATCTGCCGCGATTCGCTACGGACACGAGCGATGGAAAGCCCGGCAACGACTTGTTTACCGACAAGGTCAAACTTGTTGATGTTGACGGGCCGTCGGGTAGGACAAGCTACCTTCCGACTCAGATCAGGTTTGGCTCCCAAACCATCAAGCCCGGGTTCCATAGAGGCAGTGAGCCAACGGGCGCCTCTGGGATGGAATTCTTGACTCACCGAGGTCTGTAACTTATCATGAAAGGGGTTGGGTTCAGAGATGCCCTCTTTTCCACATATGATCATGTTTTGACATTTAGGCATCCTCAACTTTTCACTCCAGTATGTTCTAGGTGTTGCGTTTCGCGCCACCTACCAGGGTGTCACAACACGTAGGGTTTCCTGACGGGCGGGAAGGATAGGAGGCGAGGTCACCGAGAGCGTAGTACTTGAGCGAGTACAACAGCGAATTGATCACAACCAAAACGTGTGTGTGGGTATGATGGTGAAGACTGTGTATATATAAGCTTGACTTTTTTCTGCTTTCTCTGTTGCTGTGTTTGTACGTAGACGGCAGCGGAATCGTGATCACGTGATATCCGTGGCCCCCTGGCCTCCCCCGTGAGCCATTCGTGTCTCTGCAGTGTGAAGCCACGGTTGAAAACACCTATACAGAACCAGTGTCCCTCCGTCCATTCACATGGAACTCAGAACTTCAAGGCCTAAAGCTGCCTGTGGAAGTTTAGACAGTGACCCGCATCCCTCGGAACTTCTTACGAAGCTCAGTGTCTCCCACGGCTCCGGTGTAAATTCTCGCGTCTTCCACAGGCAATCCTGCAAGCTCGGGTGTTGGTTCCTCAGGAGCCAGAACCTGGGCATCATGCCCAAACAGCCAGTCCTTCCTTGTGCCGTATGCCCAAAATATCGGGTTGGACTCCTCGTCATGCTTCATGAGTTCATCCCGACGATCTCTCTCGGGGCCGTCATAAAGATGGAGCCATTCCTGCAGGATGCGCGTGTTCTTGGCCACGTACGCCGCACGCGGGATACGCTGTTTCTCGTACGCCAGTAAAGCACCATGAAGTGTGTCGTGAGTGCGAAGCGCAGCTTGGAGGGTGGCAGCGTCCTCTGTCGCTTGTGCGGCACCCTGGGCCATGTAAGGCATCATTGGGTGGCAAGCGTCGCCCAACAACGCGACCTTGCCACTCGGGTGAACCCATCGCCGCAGCTGGTCGAAGTCCGCGAGCTTCCACTTCAGATAGACACCTGTCAGGCCGCACAGCTTGCGGACGGGCTCGCACCAATCCGCAAACCGTCTGATAAGCTCTCGGTTGTCGCCCTGGCTGCGCCATTCTTCTTGACCTATCGGTGCGCCAACGTCGGTGTCGTGGGTGATGTCGATGATGATGTTGTACAGTTCTCCGCCTCGAAGCGGATAACCAACTGCGTGGGCCTCGGGCCCCATCCAGTGGACGGCCCAAGGTTCCCTGACCAGACGTGCCGTGGCAGGGTCCGCGAGAAGGGGCTCGACGGGCACAAGGATTCGATACGCCACGTCCCCGGTATCTTGCGGTTCGATCGGGGCTCCGTTGACAACATCTCTCACGGCGGACTTGATGCCGTCCGCAACAACAACCAGGTCAGCCTGTATTCGCTCTCCCGAAGAAGCGAGGTACACTGCCGGCGCGTCGAAATCGTACCTGTCCACCTTGCTGTTCATTCTCAGGGTGATGTTCTTCTTGTTGGCGTCGACGGCGGTCGTGAGGGCCTTGATCAGGTCCGCCCGGTGGAGAAAGTAGTAAGGCGAGCCGTACTTTTCCCTGACGTCGTCGAAAGGGCATTCAAGGAGAGTGTTGCCGCGCCAGTCGACGAACTTGTTGCCCAGGGACACCTCCTTTTTCACATGGCTGAAATCGACGCCCCAGCTCTGGCTCAAACGAGAAGAATTGGGGGGGACGCGAATCCCGGCACCTACCTGGACACCGCGGAGTTTTAGTAACATCCATCCGTCGTTCATCCAACAGCTGTTGGGAAAATATCAGCCGAAATACCACTCACTTCAAGAAATTCGGCCGTGGCCTCCAGCACAGTGACCCTATGGCCATCTGCGGCTAGGGCCAGGGCGGTCTGAAGTCCTCCGATCCCACCACCGACAATCACCACGTCTAGATTTTTCATTCTTGTTTTAGCCGAGATCTTTGTCACCTGGATTGCCAGTCCGGTGTGATCAAAGAGAGTTTTGGGGCGTTGCGTCCTTGGGGTTAGCTGGGGCCCAAGAGGCGAATCTTTCTGAGGTCTTGGGTAAGAGAGAAATAGTGGTGTTGGCTTTTGTATCTGACCCCCCTTCCAGGGGCACTGGCTGAGAGCACTTTTTATACAGCCGAACTGAGCGACAAGATCGTACCTCGGCGACGGGTAATGCTTCCACCACCTTGCGTGTATTGAATAAATCCGACGCCGAGCACCGCCGATGAGACATAATTCTATTGGAGACGGCATGCGGCTCGCTATCCATGTCTGTGACTTCGATTTGTAGTCAAATGTACATGTTACGACCACATGTGGTGTTGGATCTTTTGGTAACCCATACTTGGTACTTTAGCTACCTTAGTTAGGTGTGTGAGGCATTCATTCCGCGTGATCACAGTCATGCATGTATACGAAAACGAAAACGAAAACTAGTTAGTAATAGTACTGACCGACGGTGACAGCCATCGAGAGGGCGTTGGTATTCGTGACGATGATGATTCTGATGAAAACTGATAAGATTGGAGCTCTTCAAGATTTGGATTGGTTCAGCTTCCATCTAGCAAGGGGTATCATTACATATTCGTTATCGAGGACGGAGACTCGCATGGATTATCTAACTGTAGAGACATGACGCAATCCGCAATCTGGTGGCCAGATAACCAACAGTAGCGTGTAGGTCAGGTACATAGACAATCTGCAACTTGGTCACTATAACTCGTGCTCCGTGTAACGGGAGTATAGGAGAATAGGAGAGGGAAAACAATTCGGATATTTCGTGCTTCGTAAGTGAAAATCAGGGGCTGAATGAAAGTCGAGCAGTGCATGCAGTGCAGTATGATGTAGCGTTCGTGATGAAAGTCTTTTCTCTGAGCATGAATGGTCCAGTCCTTCTACACCTGCCTCATTCCCGACCTGGCAAAGAAAAATCGCTAGAGCCAGCCGGAGTCACAGGAGACGAACGACACGGCCAACCTTCCCCCCACAGGTCGTGCTCATGTCTCCTTCGCAAACAATGCACCGAGTCCGTCGCCATGCTTAGCACTGAGTGAACTGCCTGGCACAATGCTCTTCTTCTTGGCCCAGAAGTCTTCGGCAGCAGGAGCCGGAGGAGGCGGGATGTGCGGCGTGACCAGGTCGATCCCCTTGACATGGCTGGCGCTCGCCGAGTACGAGTACATCGGGTTCTGGCGAGGGGGCAATGGACGCAGATTAAAGGCAAAATCGTACTCGTAGCGGCTGTCGAAACTCGTGCTCGCGGTCGTGGGCGTGTTCCCGAGACTCGGGGTTGTGGTGGCCGTGCTAGGCATTGTGCTCAAGCTGGTCGTGCTCTTATGACACACGCTCAGAGGACGGTCTGCGACATCGCCCACACCGGCGCCCACATTCGCGCTGGCGGTCATGGTGTCGTGGAAGCGGCTGAGGTACCTGAACGCTTCAGACGAGCCAGAGGATCGGTGTGGTAATTTTGGCTTCCATTCCGTCGGGTCAAGATCTGATTTGAAGTGGTGGATGTCTGTGGGTATCCGGGAGGACGTGACGAAGTACTCTGGAGAGGATGACGACTTGACAGCGCCGCGCATAGGCGGTGTTGACACCGCGAGGGGCGACGCTGGAGGAGACGAGATGGACATGGCCGAGGCAGAGAGAGGTTTGGCCGAGTCTTTACGTCGGCATCTGTGAGGTTTACGGGCGTGTGTTAGTTATCCAGCGACGCATAGGATCTGCACTGTACTCGTCCCTGTGGCCCTTGTGGCCAGAGCAGACTGAGACAGAAGGAGTTTGTTGTGACTCACGCCTCGCTGCAATAGAGAATACTGTTGGAAGGATGCGAGATCTGACGCTCGCACATGGCGCTGTAGTTGACGGCAATGGTCAGCTTGATTGAGACATCCAACTCCAGGGCAAAAACAACACAAACACATACCAGTACTGCAGGAAAGTGGCCGCCATGTCTTTGTCCTGGGTGCAGCCGGCAACGAGGACGCGAGAAGTTGAGAAGTCACCGGCGCCACCACCAGCGCCGCCTCCGAAGATACTCCTGCGCCTCAAAGGCTTGACGCGATGGACCCTGCGAGCAGGGGATTTTGCATGTGCGCCGGCCTTGAGAGCGTCGTCGTCACCCATTGAGAAAGCGGTGAACGAGAAGCAAAAAAAAAGGGCTAGGAAGATACAGTGAGTAGGTGAGCGGGTGGTGTGCAAGACTCAAAGAAATCTGCATTCGTTCACCGCCTGGATGCGATCATGAGTCAGTCCCTTTTACATATTCGTGTACTCGTGAATACACGATGCGGGCGGTAGATCAACACTAAGTTGGTTAGACTAATCCAGGTAAACAGAAGGATCCCGGCAATCGACGAGTTCCTCCCCGGGTAGTTACAGCCCATAAGCCTGTATTACCTAGGTATTCAATACAACTTTGTAGGGGTCGCTTCAGGGCCCATCAGGCGATCAACGCTCCGAAGATAAAGGGATCCTTAGTTAAAGATCCACAGGCTTTAGGCGAGCCAGTCCAGGCCCCGGAGTTGACGGCATTCCCGTTACAAAATCGCACTCCACCAACTAACTACATACATACAGTAGTTAGGTACAGTACGAAGACTGGTATCCGTACAATGCTCCGTAACTCGCCTCATAGTATATGGACTTTGGTGTCGCCGTTATCATTCACACAGCCTTTGCAATGCCACTTCGGTACTATCATTCCGTCGGCCAATCTGTGAATCTGGTATCTGGTTATATCGTTTCATATCATACATAAGCCATACGTCATCATCCACTCGTTATCTTTAAAACGTCCTTCATCATGAATACCCATAGAGAAGACGCTATTGAGGCTCTCGGATCACACCTTGTCCCGACTTCTGACGATCGCATTGCTACTCCTACCAATCAAGCCTTGTCCGCGAATCCCTCAGGCACTCCACGGGCAACTGGTCCTCCCTCGCGGCCGACATAGCATCCTAGCATACTGCTCCAGATATAGCGATGCTGCTTCAAGTCCTGGAGTTTTTGGTAGCCAACGACATTGGCATAGCCAATTCCCGTGCCCGGGTCGCGATATCTGACGGGCAGGGCTGTGATAGGACAGAGTTCCTGAACATGTTTTACCCGTTTGTCTACCTTCTTCACAGTCTTGTTGTAGAACAAGGCGTAATCACGTCGACCATCGTCGGAAAGCTCGTCAAACGTTTCCAAAATCACAATGTTCCGCGTTGAATACTCCACGGTTGGCTCGGGTTGTGGTGCTGCCGCTGCGAGAGGTGCTTCTGTGCTACCTTCCACCTTGACTACAGTCTTTTGGGGATCGACTTGTGGGCTTGCTTGTGGCGGATCAGACTGTATATTCGTAACAGGGGCGCCGCCGACCGGACTATTTGGCACAGGATTGGAGACCGAAATATCCGGAGGTTCTGATGTCTGTTTTGCCTCCGTCTCCAGACTCGGCTCCTGGGCCGTTTTGATTTCGGTGAATTCTGTGTCAGTGGAGGCGGTCTCCGCGGAGACTTTCTTTTCTTGCTCTGGTCGAGTCTGCGCTTTGACCTGTTCCGGGTCTGAAATCTGTACCGTCTTCTCTGGCTCTGCCGCTGTTTTCGGATCAGGGCTCCCATGGCGGCTTCCCGATGCATTGCTTTCTGTAGGCATGTCTGCATACTCTTGAATACCATTCAAAACCGAGTCTTCTTCGACTGCTGGCGGCGCTCCATCTTGTTTTGATGCCATTTCTTCCATGGCTTCATGAGGATTTTCGATGTCACCACCAGGCGCCGGTGAAGGTTTCGATGTTGTGGCCATAGGTGATGCAGGTGTTTCGGAGGGTGTTTGCGTAGGTAATGCTGTTTCGGAGGCCACACTCTGGTCAGGTTTCGATGGATGTTCGGGTGGCTGGTTCGAATCAAGCTCCATCGGCGTAGCCGCATCTGGGTGTGACGGCGTAGTCGGCAGTCCTTCAGTTGGTGCTGTTTCTGGCACATCTGGCTTCGGTTGAGAGGTCGCGGAAGGCTCTGATGATGTTGCCGTGGTTGAAGGTACCGCATATTGAGCTGCTTTTTCGGCCGCCTGTTGTTCGAGGAATGCTTTAGACTTCCTACCACGCTTCTTGGGTTCCGTGCCTGCCTCAAAGATTTCGCCGGCGTCTTTCGTCCCAATCTTGCTCAGCTTTGGTCCAACCCAGGTTGCTTTTGCGCTCCACCAAGTGATGACAGGACCTTCGAGTTTCCTGTTCTTGAGCGCGGCAAGCTTTGCTGCCTGCTCTTCTTGCCTTTTCTTCTCGAGAGCTTCCCATCTGTTCAAACTCTTCGCGTTTTGTCTCTCAATCCTTGCAGCTTCTGCCAAGCGATCGGCCTGCGTGAGCTCCTTTGGGGCATCCTTTGCCCGTTCTCTGTCTCTTTGCTCTTTTAGCGCTTTAAGCTTCTTGCTTTGTGCCTCGCTCTCCTTCAGTCGTGCGATAGTTTCGGCTCGATGAGCAATTGTCTGCTTCCGTAAAGAACTTCGCCCAGAATCTGGATCGTGCACCCAAGTTACTCTCTCTTTCTTCTTGGAAGGTTTTGCCGGCGCGGTGATAGCTGCTGGTCTGGTAGGATCGGTCTTTAGCTTTTTCCGGAGACCGGCAACACTCGTCAAAGCCAAATCGGCTTTACGCTTCCTTGCTCGTTCGGCTTTCGCTTGTTTCTGAAGCTCCTTCTCGCCCTCCATATCGTCGACCGTGGCATTGGGTCCTTGGTCGTCATCGTCACTCGATGACATGTCGGCGTCTTCGTCATCGTCGCCACTGTTGAACTCGTCGTCCTCCTCTTGCTCATTGTCTGCAAAAAGCAGTGCAACCTCATCCGCATCCTCTCCGTCACCCGCTTCTTCTAGTACCATGTCCCTATCATATCGATTGCCTGCGGTCCTCCGCCTCTCCCTGCCGGCAACAAGGGTTTCGATCTGTTCTTCCTCGGAGTCATCGTCGCTCGAGTCAGTAGCCGAGATCTGTGACGTTTCGTCGACGACTTCATCTTCGGCCATGTTGCTATCTTTTGCACAAATGAAATGTGAGCATTGAGATTGTGAGTAGTTCAAAGAGCATATGCCCTTTGTTTGCAATTTCCAGCGTAAAGAAAATGCCGAAGATCTTCCATGGCCCTCCGCAGTCTATTGTAGATTAAATTGAAAATCAAATGACGACCATAATTTTCGGCGCGGTGTGAATTTAACATATGAACTACCACGTCTGACGATCGGATGACGGTCACGTCGCCTGCACTGGTGCCGACTCGTCTAATCGCAGGCGCGTCGGGAAAAGTCGTCATTGACTCTGCACTGAGCTGGAGGGAACAGAGTACGACTCGGCGGTATCGCAAACTTGTCACAGAATGCCCCGGGCTCGGAAGGGCGAAGTAGCCCCTGCTGCTAACTCTACGGAAGTTCTCGCTAGTAGAAAAAGAAAACGAGGCGAAGGTGAGGAGTCTGGTGGCCCAGCCTCACGAAGGGAGATCAACGGAGTTGAACACCAGGCTGGACTGTCCCCGAAGAGCCCTCGGACAAAGCTCAGGGTAGACATTGTGTCAGCAGACCATCTTGAAATCGACCAAGAAGTAGACGGGCCTATACCGGGTTTCAAACAAGAGGAGGCATTTAGTAAAGGACGACGAAGCCCCAGGAGCAAAAAGGAGGCAAAACAAGACTTGGACGAACCGGTGCCCTCCACAGCTCCCACCCATACACCGACCAAGACTGGTCGCAGGTCAACAGGCCGTGGCAGAAAGGTCAAGGTTGAGGAAGAAGAGGAAGAAGTGGAAGACGTACTGGACGGTTCTCTTGCTGACGAAGACGTGGAGTCGAAATCGAAGTCGAAATCGAAACCAAGACGTCCGCGCAAGAGTAAAACGACACAAGATAGCAACAAGGCCGAAGATTCGGACGAACCAGACGCAGAGTCGACGCCAAAACGCAAACGCAAGACTGCAGCCGAGCGTGAAGCAGACCGTATCGCAGCCATGATCCCTCTAGCAGCTCGTGCGACAAACCTGAAGATGTTCGTTGGCGCACACACGTCCATGGCCAAGGGCGTCGAGAATGCTGTGACAAATTGTGTTCATATTGGGGGCAATGCATTTGCTTGTTTTCTGAAGTCTCAGCGCAAATGGGATAATCCACCACTTGCAGACGCCAATCGCGATGCCTTCAAGGCGGCACTTCTCGAGCACAAGTATGATGGCACGCAACACATTGTTCCTCACGGGAGTTACCTCGTCAACCTCGCTACCGAAGACAAGGCGAAGTCCGAGCAAAGCTACGCTGCATTCATAGACGATCTACATCGCTGTGAAGCTCTCGGTATACGTTATTACAACTTCCACCCCGGCGGTGCAGGACAAGCGCCATTTAATGAAGCTGTGGCCAGGCTTGCGGGAAATCTCAATCGTGCCTTAGCCGAGACAAAGACCGTCGTCCCACTGCTCGAGAACATGGCCGGGCACGGGACTTTGATCGGTGGCCGGTTCAGTGACCTGCGCGACGTGATTGACCTGATCAAGCCAGAATTCCAAGCCAGGATCGGAGTGTGCATTGACACCTGCCACGCTTTTGCTGCTGGATACGATCTGCGCTCTCCCGAGGCATTCGCGGCAACGATGAAAGAGTTTGACGAGACGGTCGGGCTGAAATATCTCAAAGCGCTGCACTTGAACGACAGCAAGGCACCCCTCGGAAGCCACAGGGATCTCCACCAGAACATTGGCCTGGGTTTCCTGGGGCTGAGAGCCTTCCACAACGTGATGAACTTCTCGGCGTTCGAAGGGTTGCCGCTCATCCTCGAGACGCCATGTGAACGACCTGATCCAAGCGATCCGAAGGGGAAGAAGACCATTGACGACAAGAACGTATGGGCCACGGAGATCAAGCTCCTCGAGAGTCTGATTGGAATGGACGTGGATGGCGAAACGTTCAAAACTCTAGAGAAGGACCTGGCGGACAAGGGCAGACAGGAACGAGAAACGATGCAGAAGCAGTTCGACAAGAAAACCGAAGAGCAGAAGAAAAAGGCGGCCAAGGAGAAAGGCCAGAAGTCTCTGCGAGACATGTTTGGGAAGCAGCCTGCAAAGACAGAAGCAGTTACAGCTAAGAAGAATGGTAAGCAGAAGGGGACCAAAAAGAACCCAAAGGCAAAGGACGACGAGAGCGAGAGCGAGGGTGGGAACGAGAGCAGCAGTGGGTTGAGTGATCTCAGCAGCTAGAGCAGGTCTGCACGAGCGAGGTTTTAATCGGTTGCGATATATGAAGTATAGTGTAATGTATTGTACAATCAATGAATGCATGACCATAACATGACCATGGTTTCGGCTTCGAGTACACCTGTACCCGAGGTACCTAGGAACCTTAAAGTATGACCCAACCGTCCCATTAGATCCGTGTGAACTATTGAAATTAAGCGAGCTATGTACGGAGGGGCTACATCTATTTCTATGGTTGAGGCCGTAGCTTTACCTCAGGTGTGATTTAGATTTTCTCATGGTCGCATAACTTACGTCCCACTGCGAAGTCATTGCATGTGAAATGGGCATCGCGTTGCAAAACACATACACATATAAGGTAGATATAAATGTTGACACACACAGACACACCACACCACAAAGCTCTCAAACGGCCTTTCTCTTGACTGTGGTCATTTCGATACCCAGAACCAAAAAAATAGTCGTAAAAATGTCTTCTCTAAGTTGCCCACCCGGCATCCTTCACCACGACTCTCATACCGTTCCTCGGTCTCGCGGTGATGCCACCCTTGATTTGGATCTCTTCATCTGGATCGAGCATCTGGAACTCCCACGTGCCTACGAACGCCGCGAGCAGACACGCGAACTCGGCGACGGCGAACTTCATGCCGATACAACTCCTCGGGCCGTGCAAGAAGGTCAGGAAGGCGTAGTTGCTCACGGCACCGCCGGCGTTCGCTTGGCCCGCGGCCATCCAGCGGTCCGGGTTGAACTTGTCGGCGTCGTCGCCCCACAGCGTCACATTGTGGTTGACGACCCACGGGGCGATGATAATGGTCGTGTGCTTCGGTACGAACTGGCCCAGGATGCTCGTGTTGACAGCCGTTGAGCGAAGCGTCAGCGGCACGGGAGCCCAGAGGCGTAACGTCTCCTGACACACGGCATGGAGGTAGGGCATGTTGTCGATGACGTCGTATGTGATGTTCGCAGCATCGACGGAGGGAATATGCGCGTGGATCTCAGCGCGTAGTCGCTTCTGCACGTCTGGGTTCTGCGAGAGACTATACACGGCCCAGGTGAATGCCGACGCGGTCGTCTCGTGCCCCGCGGCGAGGAACGTCATCATGTTGTCGACGAGCTTCTCGTCCGTGAAGCCGCCAGACTCGAGCGCGACCGAGATGATGTCTGGCTCCATCGGCTCCTTGTTCGCCATGCGCGCCTTCTTCTGCTCCACGAGCCGGCGGCACGTGCTGCGTGCGACGGAGCTCGCGGCTTGCACGCTCCTGTTTCGCGCGAGAGGTAAATTCTGAATGAGGATACGCGGGAGGAAGAATTGTAAAACCGACAGGATGCGCGCGGTCCGGTCGGGCTGGAAGACGGAGCGGTACACGCGGTTTAGCTCGTTGTCCGGGTCTTGGAGAGCGCGGAAATCTTGACCCATCCCAGCGGTGCCAATGATGTCGAGTGTCGCTCGGCTGGACCATTCGCTGACTTCTACGACGCGTGGGTTGGGATTTGTCGACTCCTCCTTATCCAGCTCGGCTTGTATGCACTGGACCATCTCGCGCGACTTGGACCAGAAGATCGGGTAGAGCTCTTTGATGTGGCGGAAGTGAAAGGCCGGCATGAGACTCTTGCGCTGCGCCTTGTGGTCGTCGCCTTCGGCGAGGAGGATGCCGATGCCTAGGATCTGGGCGAGTCCCGTGAAGAGGAGTGTTGGCTTGACGAAGTCGTAGCTCTTCGTGGTCAGCACCTCACTGAGAGCCTGGGGGCTGGTGAGGAGCAGGCGTTCGCGGTTGAAGAGATGAAAATAGCGAAGGAGACCATCGTTGGGTATCTCATTTGCCCACCGTCGAGGGGGAACACCTGATGGCTCTTTCACCAGGACACTCCATTGACCAGCGAAGAATGAGCCACCCGGCACGGTCGGCACATGTCGAAGGGGACTGACAAGGTGAGGGTAGATGAAGATGCTGTACGTGGACCAGACGAGTTCGTGAAGAAGGAATATACAGACGAATGTCCAGAGGTAAGAATGAGATATTGACCAAGAGGGGGAAAACCTGACGAGCAATATAGACACTGACGAAGAAGACAGCGCCCAGAAGCGATACGTGCTCGTGAAGTCGGGAAATTGGAGCATCTTGAGGTCACTGGCGATGAGAGGTGTCGTACTGTGTCGACAGCGTATCGCGCAAGACAACGACCCACAAACGTAGGAGTATTACAGAGAATCAGTGAGCATTGACAAAGGGAGACTCTCGAAGAAGAAGCGTTGTGCTTAAAGGACGCAGTCTGCCGCCGGAGCGTTTGAGTGCTCCGTGTCCCGAAGAGAAGGCGTGAAACAGGAGCGAGTGGCAGATCTCGAGAAAAACTCAGCCAGGCAACACCCTTTCCATGGCTAACGATTCGCAATGCGACAATACGCGGATGAAGGCGCAATGAGGCGTTGACAGAGAAGATGCCAGGTCGACAATTTCAGATCTATGACCCCTTCATGTGCACGTCTCAAAGTCGCTCATTTATTGCTGGCGAGCGACCTCGGTTCCCGCGCTGCTTGCCCGAATCGGCACATTCTGCGAGGAGGGACAATTTGCGGCTTTTGCTACGGGCCGAAGCACCACCATCTCCAGGTACGAGTACGAGAACGGAGGTACGGGATACGACATACGCATTGAGTGTCTGAGAATGGTCACCTTCACCACGTCGCTCCTACGAGAGGACAGCATGCATGCAACTTCTCCGTCAAAATGATACTCCATTCAGCCGATCCCTGATGCTAACCCCCTGGCCTTGTTGCGTAGTGCTGTCACCACGCCATCGACGAGACTTGCACTCGGTGCAGTCGCATCTCTCCTTCTCGCTTTGATCAATAGACGATTCTGAGTCAGTGCGAGTGTAGTCCTGCCGCTGCGATTGGACGCTGCGGTCTGCATCGACTGTCAATTCCTTGTCCTTCCGCACAACATCCCCAGAGCTTTGCTGGCCTCGCCGACCTGGACTCTTTCTGCTGAGCGTACTGGTAGCTCCGAACTTGTCGCGGTTCGAACCAACGCCAAGGTCATTGTTCATACCATCTACCGCTTCCCTTGTCGAGCCCGCAAGTATATTACCCTTGAGTATTTCCTCCAAGGAATGAGCTTCTTCTTTCGCGGCGTCACCCAGGAGATATGTGCCGTCCAACTCTTCCCACGCCCACGTCGAAGGTTCTTGCGATCGTGCCGCCGGATCTGACATCGACCATGCCCAGTGGTGTTCAGTTACATAGCCATCTGGAAGCTTCATTCTGCATTGGGTTGTGGTTGCATCCGTTCATCAATCAGTGTATTGGGAAACAGTTGAAGTGCGATCGTAATTGTTCCGTATGGACGTTTCCATCCTCAAGCAAAATGCTGGGCCACCATGGGAAAGAAGAGGATCTGATGGTCGTCTGGCTTTCTTCGCGGTCAGGGAGCTGAATGTGAACTCGCCCCGATGCTTGAGAAAAACATTACCATGGGTGATGGTTCTAGAAATAAAAAGACCACCTAGAGTGCTAAACAAGCGATCGCCTGTCTAAGCAGCGATCTCCCAGCTTGTTGGGTCACTCTGCCGAATTCGCGACTTACAGGATTGCTAAGGATGATGTGACAGACTCAGAGTCTAGTCAACCAATCCGATCGCCGTATCATTCGCCCAGTGGCTTCCGGATAGAAGCGGTGGCTTTCATGTGCTCCACACCTTGGGTAAATATCTCTGTCGAGATATGTGCGCGTGGGTTGGATGCATATTGACGAACCTGTATCACCGCGCCCAGCCATCACAGAAGGATCCAAACCCAGCCAGCAACGAGAACAACTGGGATAGCATCACGAACACAGTATCGTGACGGGAATCCATATGAATCACGACCAAGCGACGATTGAGCACATGGGGAAAGGCTGAAGATGTGGTGAGCAAAAGGATACAGTAAGATGCTGAATAAGGCACTAACAAAATTTGTCCTTTGGGGTCTTTGGGAGTCTCTCGGGTAACCTGCCTAGACAACTTCCACCTCATTTGAATCTCAAGTAGAATGTCACCGCGTCCGCAACGGCTACATTTGCCATCTGTACAGAACGCGAACCGAACAAATCATCATGAAACATCTTAGACAGAAGATCCCGGTACTTCAGGTAAGTGCAGATAGCGAAAGTGGTTCGGAAATCTACCGCTAGGTCGTCCAAAGCAGTCACTACCTCGTCGAGCAAAGGAGCGTCGTGTCTCGAAAACGCGTTTCCCTTCGAAGCATGCGACAGTTTCTTGTGTCGCGACCGGTGCTCAGACTCGTATCGAAGGGATTGTCCCTTAAACCTTTGAAGTACGCCACACATGTCGAAAGTTCCGAGAAACTGTGGGCTGCAGTGGTTCATCCTGTGGTTCATCCTGTGGTTCATCCTGTGGTTCATCCTGTGGTTCATCCTGTGGTTCATCCTGTGGTTCATCCTGTGGTTTTGGGCCACAACTTACGGCGATCTTTTGCACAGAGAAGCCTCGGTAGTCACTTAGGTAACCGCCATTTTCTTGTATTCACGAGGCTTGGGCACCTGCACAGGTAAGCGGGAAGATCCGCAATACTAGACGGTCGAGTTTCTTGAGGGCTATTTGGTCTCGTGGTATTAACTCGAAATAGTCCGGCTTCGTACATTTGATTACGCGAACGATACCACGAGTGGATTATGAGGTCGCGTCAAGGCCGCCCCCTGTTCCCAAACGACTCCCGAAACAGCGTAATCTTGGAATATTCTGCGGCCATGTTACAGATCGACACGCATTCCGCATTGATCTAGTTTTCACAGGTCTATGCCACACGCACCACAGCCTCATGGTGGCCGCTGCCCTTGGCTAATCACGACACCAGAGATCTAAATTAGATACGATGCTGGCTTTTCAAGTCATGGCACGGATGACGCAGTCTGGTGGAGAGCAGCACCAGCTTCGCGATTATGTGCATTTCGGGACTAGCCTTGGCCCCGCCGCTCATTCAACCCTGAGGAGAGAGATATCCCTAGCCTGGAGGTGAGGAAGTGTGTATATCTGCCCTCATTCACGCCGATTGCAATGTGGTCAATGTTAAAACAATCAATCTCATCGTCACCTGAAACCAGCAAGTACCCTGTGAATTATCCAAATACTTTCCCTTGCCACTACCGCTTGGATCTTCGGTTCGGCTCGACACTCCAAACAGCAACACCAAACATACAGTCATGGCGGTCGATGCACTCTCTACTGCGAAGTTGGTCGTCTACAGCATCTTCGTACAATTTGCTGTCTTCTGCTTTTTCAAGCACCGGAGGCTCGGGTTACTCGGATGGTGGTACGTAAATTTGTTCTGTGTACTCCGAATAGTCACGGGCGCCATCGGGGTACATGGAGACAAAAACGGTGAAACCGTCACCATCCTCAACAGTATCGGCATCTCTCCTCTGCTGCTAGCACTATCCGGACTTGTCCATGAAGTGTGAGTTGAATAACCAGCCTGCTCGAGCCCATCTTTTCAAGAGCTCATTGTGACAACCAGAAAACGTGCCACAAACAAACGATCGCAGTCCAAGTTCGACCCCATATTTGAGCTCCTTTTCCATGGCATTGTTCTCGCTGGGATGGCTCTGATCATTGTTGCCATCATTAACCTCGAAGACAACGACAACATTTCCTCGAGTAAGACAAAACTTGATGTCGGTTCGGCCATCTCTTGCGTTGCCTACGGTCTCCTGGTTGCCTGGACTGTATCATTGTTGGTGCAATCACGCCAGCCCCCCCAGAATGTTGATGCGATTGTCGTTCGGTACAGAAACGTGGTAAGTGTCTGGGCCTGAAACCATTACCGGAGACTCTGAAGAAAGGGCTAATATTGTGCGTTAACAGCTCCTCTTTGCATGCTTCCTTAGCCTACCTCTTCTTGCGATCCGCATTGGGTGGGGTGTAGCATACCTCCAGCTGAAGATCAATCACCCAGGCTCTGGCTTCCTCACATCCTTGGCCATCACCGTTTGTCTTAGTGTCGTCCCCGAAATGCTTATCATCGCCGTCGTCCTTGCAGCCGGAGTCTTCACTCACAAATTACACGACACCATGACAGCTGGGACGCCATGGACCACATCGCGCAAGGGCAGGGCATGAACAGAATGCAATACGAGCTGAGGCTACAGCTAAAGGAACTTATCACAGACTGAGCGTATTCCGGAAATGTTAAACTGGTCTTATGTACGTGGGCGATACGGCGTTGCTAGGATTGATGGTTAGTAAGGAAGATCGGCATGGCACTGGAGTTGACATAGAAAGCTTGATTTGTCGACCCTGTGAAAGAGTCCGAGGACGGGCAAGTCCCAGAGGTATAGATGTACTCTGAATGAAGCACGTTCTGTTCAGGAGCTGATGAGATGCTGGCATGGCACGGGTCTGTAGGTGAGAAATAGGCTCACGAAACAAGCCGCGAGCGATGCGAGGACTGAGTTTCTTCACTGGAAATTATCAGTCCCGTTCAAGCCTGTCCGTGCCGCTCCAAAGAATCCGACGTGCTGATAAGGAGCCTCACAAACCTAATTCTGTGGACTTTGTCGGGCAGATGCTCGCGGAGTCTTCCGTATGCGGCCCTAGTCGCTGCTCGGACCAGAGTGTGTCTGCTCAAAGACGCCGCCCTCGAAACACCTTCCCTTCCCGCAGCATGCTTCTCGACGGCTGTACACTACTCCCATTGCGGTCAATCTTTCGACAGCGCACATCTCACGTCCTCGCTTTCACACTGGCCAGCGTCAGCCGCATAGGTTCCGCCAAGAGATACGAGCAGGGATCGTCCAGTCAAGCTCGTCTCCGCCGACGCCGCCCTGCTCATGGTCTACTCCGGCAAGTTATCCAAGGCGTGCCAACCCTGTCGTGACAAGCGACGGAAGGTATGTCTGCTTTGTACTCCATCTTCTGAGAGTCCATCCCGGAGGCGTTCTGGCATCCATGAAACCGCCATGGTTGCTAGCCTCGGACGCCCGCCACTGATCACTTTGAATTCGAGTTGACTGAGTTTCCTTGCTAGTGTGATCTCCAAACACCACAATGCTCACCGTGCCTACGGCTCCACATCCCCTGTTATGGGTACCGTGACACGCAGGAGTTGAACGTTCGCGACGAGACCACCCATGTCGTGCAAAGGGCAAGAAACAACAGGCAGCAAAGGCGAAAGTCGAAGCCCCAATCTGAAGTCCTCCACACGTCTAGTACAGACCGTTCGTTGAGGTTCAGCCCTCACTCGCTGGACGAAGACCATGGAAAAGGAGGAGTAGGACGACAAAGACCACCGAGACAGCCCATGGTACTCAGCCTTGCGGCACCATCCGCGGAAATCGCCCTCGGATATTTCCTTTCCGTCTTCGCGGAGACCAGTTCGTTCAGCTACTTGCCCGCGTATTTGCCAGCCCTGAGAGATGACGCGGATATCATGGAAGCAGTCTACGCACCGTCCCTGGCCGCGTTATCTCTTCACTATGGTTCCCACAGATTGATGTGCGAGGCTCGCTCATGCTACGCCAGGGCGCTGAGGCAAACGAACGAAGCTCTGAGCGAGCGTCGTACGGCCGTGCTCGACAAGACACTTCTCTGTGTCCTTCTTCTCACGACTTTCGAGGCGCTGACGTTCAGCGGCCGGAGTTCGCCACGCAACTGGGTTCTGCACGTCCGTGGTTCGACCAACATTTTACTTTTGAGGGAAGCTGCCAAGGTTGACACTGAACTGGGCCGCCGCCTTACGTATCATGCCTCCATCAATACGATTGCCGAATGTGGCACATACAACGTCCCGATACCGATGCCGTTCCGGCTCCTACAGGAATCCTCTACCCCGGTCCGAAAGACGACAGAATGTTCTGGTCTTGACGATATCCTGCGTCACCTGTTCATCCTCATGATACGATATGTCACAATCTTATCTTCCATGAAAGGAACGCTGGCCACGGAGTTTGTGACCAAGTGCTTGGAGCTTGATGCCGACTTGGCGGCGCTATTAGAAATGCAACAGAAACATATGCCGTACCAGGTCATCAATGTCCCAAATGATGATGAGGAACTGCGGAAAGCCACCAAAGGGGCGAAGGTCTGCGCCTATCGAGACATCATACACACATATCAGTCTCAGCGGGATGCGTTCCTATTCAACAGCGTACGGTTGATTCGCATGGTAATCAATGAAAAGATATTCCTCGCCTCTGGCCCCAGTCCTCGTGGCGTCATTCTGAATGAACCACAGCCTGGATCCTTCCTCTCCGAGATCTGGATGGAACTGCCACAAAAGGCCACTCAACAAGCGGCTGAGCTCATCAATGACATACTTGCCAGTGTACCCTACTCCCTGGAGTTACTCCCGCCGGCGTTTCGAATGATGGCGCGAACACTCCTTTGGCCACTATCTGTGACTGCTGTGACCGAAGTGTGCCCTCCGGAAGCGAAAATGTACATTATCGACCGGCTAAAGAAGCTTGCTTGGTTCCATGACCTTGCTCAGGCCAAGGAAGCGGCCACCATGTTGGAGGAAGGTGCCAAACTGGAAGACTGGTAAGTTTTTGAACCTCGAGCCTTGTATTTGCTTGTCCGGTATATGGTGGAATGCCAACACGTTATGCCTACAGGATACATTTGCTCCATTTCTGTTGATAATAATCTTTTACGTTGCTACCGATGAGAACACGACGATGTTGTATGGCGATCGTATTGAACTGCTACGATTGCCACACAACTTGCTTCCTCTTCCCTGAGGGTCCAATGCCGATTTATAGAATTCGCTGGTGCTTCAACATGCCAACAGGCCGATACAATATTTGCTCGAGGCTCTCCAGGCTCCAATGTATGCCCCGGGTCTCCGGAATTACATTCAGACGCCTGGGGCGCAAGTTTAGCGCTCCATATGGATCTAAAAGTAAGATGAACATGACGCGGCGTCCATCTTGCTATCGTATGAGATGATCGAGGGTGGCAACGGCAGGGTACCGACTACTCTGTGACCCACACGCTATCCCTGGTCATGAATAAACGGCTGCCTTCGTGCCTGACCTACGAGGATCTTTTGATTGGGTAGGTTGAAGACTAATGTGGGTAATATATTGATCGATTTGGTATCAAGCGCGAGAAAGGGCGCGTCAATATCTCCCTGCCGAAAGGATAACCACATTAGGTTAGCTACCTCGACTGTCCGATATGTCGGAGACTGGGTTGCATGTGGTATCAAGCGCGAGGCAAAGCGGTCTTCTGTTATGGGCACATGAACCGTCAATGGGGCCACGACTTATTTAAATCCAAGTCGCAATCCTCATCTCCCTTCGATGGACAACACACACGTAACAGTGAGCGTCCCAGCTCTACCCTACATACCCACAGACCAAAAGCTCAAACCCCTATCGAGCCACTTCCACAGAACCCAACTTTCGACTTGCCATCCACCAGTAACATCAAGCCGGTAGCAGCAGAGCCACGATGTGTCTGGCCGCTCTTGGAACCATGTTGTTCAAGAAGCAAAGAGAGAAGTACGACCAAGATCAGGACGAAATGTACGTGTTCTTCGAAGGGGCCTCGGCAGGTCTCTAAGCTGGTCCTTTTTCTGTAGATGTGAACATAGGAGAGATTGCGAGACCGTGACTCCAAGCCGACTAACGACGTTTCACAGAGAATCACGCTCGAGGGGAAACGGCGATCAAAGACTTGGGCCTCGAGGACCCGCACCTGGACCAGAACCAGGTCCAGTATATGCTCGGGACGTGGGCGCCACGGGAAACGGACGTTAGAAGTGAGGGCTTAGGACACAGAGGGATCTCACGGGTTGAGTCATCGACCAATAAATCAATCAGCGACTTTTGAATGCTTGATAGAGGACAGCTAGCGTACGCATGCATTAGTTTGTCAACACAGGATATCGGTGTTTTTATGGGCTGAGAGCGCTGTCCATTGCCTGGGGTGAAAGATGGCGTTGTATTCAAGTACAAGGTGCTTTGCTTGTGGGTTTCAAATTAGAGCTTCCGTTGAAATAGAATAGAAATACTTCAATACGGTAGCCAGTAGACGCACCAGGTGGCTTAGGGTTTCACTCTCACGGGATCCGTGTACGGTATCGCCTCGTGAATCGCGTGATATCTAGTCGCCCTTGGAGTGTTGAAACGGAAATAGAAATGCCCACTTTGAAGATCAGGCACCGATTTTGTCTCTCCTGCGGTCCTCCAGGGCGATAGACTGTCAGTGACGGGCTTCACAAGCTTTGACGAAGCTTTTGTTTGGGGTCTACGGTACGAGCAGGTGGATCAATCCCAGGATGTCGATCCCTTCGACGAGGGAGGCACAGTATGTACTGTGTACGAGAGCGGTAGATGGGGAGCGAGATGGAGAACGAGAACGGGGGGCTTCTGGGGTCGGCTTTGACCGCGGTGGCTGAGCAAATAACAATAACAATAAGCACTCTGATAATGGCCTGGCTGTATTTGGGCATTTGGCGGTGGAGTTTAAGTCCCCCCACCAGGTTTTGCAACAACCTAGTTCTGCAACACTAATTCCTCAACGCCACCAACAGAACAAGTCTCAATTGCTTAACCAACTAGATCGTTTATATAGAACTGTGACATGAATACCCCTTGTGGGTTGTTACTAGTGTCATTCCTGACATTTGCAGCCTATCTAGGCCTACGCGTTATTATCCTTGTTAGCGCCATTTATTCTAATGCCTCTTTAGCTAGCTATATACTCTCGATACTAGTAAATATCTCGTTCACATTAACAGCCTTGCCCTTTTACCCTCTGATCTTCTCCTAGTCTAGGCCATTCTGTAGCTTAGTTATTTATTTATTCTTCTGCCTAGTATCCCACTCCAATCACTCGATAATCTGGCCTGTCTTTTTGAGCTAGTTACATATAAAACAAGATAGCATTTCACGCTAAGATGCTAACACTAGTGATTCGCTATATACTCTTCTATTAATTAGTATATTATAGATATCGCTATTAAGTGTTTTTCGCTTATATAAAGATAATATATATACTCTATATTGAGCCTTTTCCTTATTAACTAGAACTTAGCTAGATTGAATAGATAGCCACGAATTTCATAAATATATATCACTAACTTTCTAGCTAGCCTTGATATTGACGACTATTAAGCCTTTCTAGCTAGCCTTTTAATATATCTAAAGAAACTTAGTCTTCTTAATTAGGGCTATATTATCGAACTTAGTAAGATTAGCTAGGGTGTCTTAATAGCGCGATTTAATAAATAAAAAATAAGTAAGATTAAGAGACTAAAGAATATAGCTTAAATAAGATAATAAGTAGTATATTATAATATTATTCTGAAAGTATTTCTATATAAATTTATATATAATATAACTCTTGTAGCTATTCATTAATAGTAATTAATAAACATTATAAGTAGTGTCTTTTATAACTATTTAAGATATAAATATTAGGTCTAGCTAAGCGAGATTTATCTTATTTAATATTTAGTCATTATTAAATATTATATATTAATAGACAAAACTATCCTAATTAAATTAAGTTATTTAGAGCGCTTAATCTTTAAAGATAACTAGTGATTATAGACATTAGTTAATAGCTAATATTATCTTAATAATTATTATCTATTCTTATATCTCTAATGTTTTTCTAAGTACTTTAGTAATGACTAATATTCTAATAACTAATTAATTACTATAGATATCTAGGGCTATATTAGCTTCATCTATATTATAGCTATTCTTAGACTATATAGAATATCACATTTTAACGACCTTTAAGTCATTAAACTAGGGCTCAAGAAGCTCAAAAAGAGTATAGTTAATACGCTTAGTATAGATCTTTTAATCTATTTTAAGTTTAATATTAGAATAACATTCTAGATATTATAATAGCTAGTTAATATTAACGTGTTAAAAGCCGCTATTTACCTCGCTAATAATATCAGCGAGATCTTATATAGCTCTATAACTAGGTGTGTGTCCTTATACCTCTAGATCAACTATCTAACTCTTTAATAAAATCTCTTATTAATTCGATAATAATTACTGCGACTCGTGAGATAATGAGAGTGATTACGTACTCTATAGTCAGCAACTAAGCGTGAAATAACTCACATCATTCGCGGCTACGGCTGCGCGAATAGAAGAGTATTTGCGTCTCTGAAACTCTGTAATGGCTTGCTGGATTCTAATCTCTCGATTTGAGGCCTTTGTCGCGCGATTCATGATTAATTGGTGGTGTGGTAGTTGGTTAAGTTGGTGGTAGGAATGTGGTGGGGTGGAGGAACGCGTTGTTGCAGAACTAGGTTGTTGCAAAACCTGGTGGGGGGACTTACGGCGAAGGAAAAGAAGCATGTTAAGAAGCTAAAAGGTACCTTTGTACATACAGTACCAACAAGTTACATCACGGCTCGTCTAGGACCCAGACAAAGACCACTCACCACACTAACCGCCTTGGGTAAGTAGGACGAGGTGACGCTGTTAGAATTATCTGCACTTCCCTGTACGCTGCGTGGCCCGTGATTCGTTGCCGCTTAATTGTTTCCTACAGGGGGCTGAAACTTCCAGCATTGGGCGTCGCTGGCCGAAATAGGTATGCGTCACGAACCGAGGTCCTGGCTGCCTCACACCGGAGAGGGTCTGGTTGGGTCGGTTGATCGGTTCGACAGTAACCTGATCTACCTTTTCGTACAGCACAAGGGTGCAGGGCTCGCGAAAAAGGTCTACTGGGGGTATAGGTATACGAGTAGATCGGCGGCAGTGTCAGACTTTTAGACCACCACCACCACCAACAACGCATACATAGATGGTCAATCGACGTTAGGTATATGTATATATATTGCGACCAGACCCTGGCCTGCCATCTGGCCCTGGTCCTTTTGGAGAGGCCACCAAACAAAAAGTCAGGAACACTCTGTGTGATAAATTTACCGAATAAATTATACTGAGCTTCGCCGGCAACCTTCACCCCGTATATATACGGTTTTACCTTGACACCCGCCTACCGGCCCTCAAGAGCCAAGACAGACGTACATCCGACGGTCATGGGACTGCTCCGAGACACCATCGGGTCCGCCCTCTCGGGCCCCAGCGTCAACAATGGCTTGAACGGACGAAAGCTGCCGCTCCGGGGATCTAGAGCTTCGCACAACGACAGCAGGCGACCCTCCCCGGGATCAACAGCCTACAGGTCGCCCGAGCCTCGACGCAGAGACCACAAGTACGACCAACAAGAATACGGGACCTCGTCGCCGTACGACTCCAGAGACAACAACGGCCAGTGGCAGTACCAGCGTGATGCGCACGGGTACAGGTACGAAGGCGAAGGACACTACCCGGGCCGCCGACAATACTCAGCCCCGGAGAGACGTCCTTCGACCAGCAGGCAAACATATCAACCGTCCTCCCCTCAACGCAGGCAGAAAAATGAATACGAACATCAAGAAAGGGAAATCGGCCCTCCTCCGTCATACAGTCTTTACCCAGTTCCGTCGTCCCCGGCACGCTTGACAGGATATTCCAACGACGATGAAGGCCGTCGAAGCTTCACGGGCAACAACGCCGGACACCGAGATGATTATCGTGATCGTCAAGGCACTTCTCACCCGCGACCAAGGTCCATCGATCAGTCTCCCTACCGTCCGAGAGCGGGGCGTGACGTCGACCGACAGTTTCGTCCTCTCGCCCTGCCGCAGATAGACTACCACGACTCATCGCCGTTTCTGCGAGGATACAGCGACGAGCTGCAGCGATACGGAATCTCGGAGCGGGCATTTTTGGAAGTTCTGGATGCCATCAATGTGGCCCGCATTCCCAACCCGGAGGTGAAACTCTTTCAAGCAGGAGCAACCATTGCCGGATTTTTCGTGTAAGTATTCCCTTTAGTTCTGGAGCAGTTGCGCCGTCCTCGGAGTCTTGACCAACCCAACTCTCCTCAACCCCATCTTGGCAGCACATGAATATTGACTGACCAAACCTTCGCTTAGACCTGGTGCTGCAGCCATTGGGTTGATGGCAGGGCAAGTGGGAGTCGGACTAGCAAGTCACTTTGGCCACGCGTCGCTTGTGAACAGAGTCCTCTCCAAAGCCAACCTGAACATGTTTATCCCGAACGGACTGGAAATATGGTACGCACCTCTTACCTACCTAGTGTCCTCCACCTCAGAGACTGAGAGTCTCAGACACCCTTCTGTGTACGAGGAACGATTACTGACACTGTGGAAAATGGACAGTATCTGCAAAGCAAAAGACGTCGACGGGGAACTCGGTCTCTCTCCGAACGATGTACAGATGCGATTCGTTCCCGGTTCCTATCCACAAGACAAAGTTGCTGCGTACGGTGACCTTCTTGCCCCCTTGACTAGCGTCCTGGGACCGGCGCAGAGCGGCGGCCGAAACGACCCAATTGCCGGGGTAGGAAAATTTCTAAACAATCGGTCGGCGCAGAGGAAGGTGAAAGACGCTCAGAAAAACGACGCCGAAGGCAAGGATAAGGGAATGAGCCACATCGAGAATTCACTGAAATGGGTAAGTGGATGTTCTGTCCAGTGTACCAGCACATGTGTCCACGCATCGACTTCCCCTCCATCTCTCCGCCAACAATTCGAAGAAAGAAAGCAAGGCTGATTGAATTGTGCACAGATAATGGTGAGGAAAGCGTCGCCGGGTGCCGTCGAACACTGGCAGATGACTCTGAGGAAGAGTGATCAAGAGGCAGAGGCAGAGCAAGCCCAAGCACAACAACACACGACGACGTCGCCTCGGAATCGACACCGGTAACTTTCGAGATCGTGTTCCATCCTCAACATTGAGTGAGCGTTGAGCATTGGAACCTTATGTTCACGTCTAGCAAGGCGTTTTGAGCTTTTGATGGAGTTGGGAAAGCATTCTGGCGCGCGTAAGTGGCTGGCGGTGCTTTGGGCGATGCTGGTGGAAACTGAGACAGTGAATGAACGCACACAATGACAAAAACGCCCGGTGACACAATAGTATTGATTAGTCTTTGGGTCCAAAATGCTTGGATGGACTTCCTACTAATAAGTGCTTAAGTTTCTCATGGTGTTTGTTCTGACTGACTCAGCATCGTTTGCGCGAATTTCCCGCCGATAACAAACCCCGTCGCCATCCACGACGGGCTTAGCGGTGGGGGAAACTCCTTCGACATCCTCTCTCTCTCTCTCTCTCGTCGGAAAATACAAGGGGGGTTTCCAAGCGCCATATACGCTTTACCCTTTACCCCGGACTCTGTTGCAAGCCCTCTGCGTCACCAATTCTCCGGTTGGGAAGACAATGAGCAAGCAGCCCAGAGATCCCTGGCTGTAAGTTACTGACACTTTACAAATGGCATGTGGCAGGAGGCATGCTGGCAGGTATAATAAGTCTGATGGATGGCTGCCCTGTTCGGGGGGGTTCATCACGTTGACTTCAGGCCATTGCAGTAGGTACTGATTGAACTTTTGAAAACTGAACACTCACCCTCACCACACCGAGTCCACGACATACATCCTCAGCCACTACCGAGCACACAGCGTCAGACCACCCGTCACCATGTTGTCGACAACACAGCAAGGTCCAGGTGCTGCAGATCTCACCTCTGATCCTTATCAAGGTATTCCGATGACGGACTATCACGACTGGTCATTTGTTCCCTCGTCAATGTATCAGGACAACGACCCCAATCAGGTTGTCGACTTCTTTCTCGACTCGCTCCACGAAGAGAGCGCCCAGGCAGAACACATCCGTCGCGCATCGAGCGTCATCGAATCGGATTCTTCCGACATCGGTTCCCTGAGACACCACCAGCTGTCCGGCTCGTACATGCTCCCTCGAGACTTACCCAGTCCTGCACCAAGCTCGTCTTACGGTCGACTGGATCTGAGGTCTGCCGAAGACACTCCGCTCCGGGGAGTGCTTGTCCCAGTGGTGCTGTCCGACAAAGAGCGACGCCACCGACGGCGGGAGCAGAACCGCAAGGCACAGCACGCGTTCAGGGAGAAGCGCAAGGCCGAAGCACGCAGGGTCGAGAACGAACTCGCCGAGTTGAAGTCGCAGCTGGCCAAGATCCGCTACGACGCCGCCACTTCGGGATGGACTATCTGCGTCAAATGTCGAAATTTCTTCCCCCCCGGCGTGAATGCGAGTACCGACGCAGACGCCGAGCCCAAAACTCCTCCATATGTTGACAGTCTGTTTCGGAGTTCAGGACCATCCGGTCGTGACGATTGCCATCGATCTGGCTGAGCGAAATGCCAGGTAACCCTGGAATGTATTCGGGATTCCTGAGAGCCATGTTGAGCGAGCACATCGATCCCATTGAGGGAAGATCAGATATTGGAATGGTCGTTGTCTGACTACATATGTCCCCTGAAAGGCACTGCTTGGGAGATCAGAAGCACCATACCATCCGGGTTCGACCCCCCGCAGCTGTTGGCCATAGCAGCACGGATTCAGACGCCGCTGAAACAACTATATGTGGACATGCATGTGTATAGCAGGGGCCGATATGGGAAAAGCCAATGGGACGGGAGGCCCTGCCATAAGAGCCTTGGAAAGGAGTATAACTGGGACTGTATACTACGGAATTATCTTGCATTTTGAATGGCGGGCATGCGATTGTACTCGTCAAGAAGGCGTCATCGTATAGCATGGCTGGTGGGAAGGTTGGGACTGGTCGATGAGCCGATGTATGAGGAGACGGAGGGGTCAGCGCGGGTATTGAACGGTCATAATGTGGAAGAAGTGTTACTGTGGGAAAAGGATATTGATTGTAAGGGAAGATTTGGAGGTGAATACCCGAGAAAGTATGTATTTATTTATCTGCGGACGCCGTGTACCAATGCACCAAAGTGCAGCCAACAATGCATTTTTGGCAAATCTTACACCGTTTGAAAGACGAAAGACATAGAAAACCGATACTTCTCCCCCTCTCCTTTCGCACCTTCAAAAAACCATGTCGCTGAGTCTCTAACGGTATTTAACTATGGATACCCGAGACGGAGGAAACAGCAACGAGTCTTTCGCGGGCCAACCACGCAGCCTTGACGACTTCACACTCCTGAAACGCATCGGACGAGGCAACACAGCAGATGCGCTTTTGGCCGAGACCGTCCTCGACGGGCAGCATTGCGTGGTGCGGGCTGTTCGCAAGAAATCCATCTTTGGCGAGGACGAGGCGGCGCGCGTATTCGCTCAGAAGGAGATCCTGTCTCGACCCCAGGTTCTTGAGCACCCTTTCATCATTACTCTCCAATCCACATTCCAGAACAAGTCACACTTGTTCTTCGTCACAGAATTCGTGGCAGGAGGTGACCTGATGTTCCACCTGAGGGAAGGGCGCTTTGAGTTGTCTCGGACCAGGTAGGGCCCCCCGGGGGCTGGTGCTGAAACCAAACCTTCACAGATGTGGCCCCGGCCCATGCGGGGGGCAAGAGTTACTGACTTGTATCTCTATCTCTCCCAGTTTCTACGCGGCCGAAGTATGCCTCGCTCTACAGTTCCTGCACTCTCGAAGCATTCTCCATCGAGGAGTCAGCCTCGACAACATCCTGCTGGCGAGCAACGGCCACATCAAACTCGTCGGCTTCAGCAACTCGAAGCTGCTGACGCGCCCGCGGACGCGCAGCTTCGCGGGCAGTGCGACCTTCGTCGCTCCCGAGGTGAGTCAGTGACATGAGAGGCATAAAAGGATGTATGTTGAAGGCGACAACCAGGTACTGCTGGGACACGACTATGGCTTCTCCGTCGACTGGTGGGCATTCGGCGTGGTCTTGTACCAGATGCTCCTGCATAGGGAACCGTTCTCCGGCGACTCCGAGGACGAGGTCTTGACCGCCATTTTGGACCGTGTCGCGGACTTTCCTTCGGATCTACCCTCGCACGCAGAGACTCTGTTGAAGGGCTTGTTTGAGCGCGATCCTGATCAACGCTTCTGGGCTTAGGACGTACGAGAACACCCTTTCTTCGCCAATCTGAATTGGGACGCGATCCAAAGGCAAGAGCTGACACCACCCTTTGTGCCAAACGTCACGGCTCCAGACGACACCAGCAATTTTGACGTTGAATGGACCGTGAGTGGCCTTCCAGTTCTAAGTGTAGATGAAAATGGTAAGTGTTATCAAAACTGTATTTCCCGCGCTAAGAAGAGTGCCTGAAGGGAAGAGTAACGAGAAAGTCTTTGAAGGATTCTGAACGCTGTTACCTTGAAACACAGTAGGCGTTCTCTTTATGTTTAGGTTTCATACATATGGAGATAAGGGCAGTCTGAATACTGCATGCAATGTTAAACGGCTCGACCATCACTCAAAACGAAAATAAAAGACAAAAACACCAAAAAGACAAAAAGTCAACTTTGGGCTGAACTGGGCTATTCTACAGTTAGTTCACATGTCGCTTAGACCCGTTATAGCGCAGAAAGACATACAATCGAACCCAGGACCTCTTGCAATCAAGTTCTTTGAAGTACCCAAAGCAAGAATCATACTACTAGACCATTCAGCCGTAGATGTAACCGAGCCTGTGTGGCTGGATTGTGCGATAATTAGGTCATCTTAATCCTTAACAAATGAATTAGGACAGATGGAGTCGACCGGCTAAACGTCGGTATGTCGATGGGTTGTGGAAGTCTGGAGATCTTCAAAAAATATTTCAGACGGTAGGGACACGGTCAAAATATTGCTGCAGGACGACAATTCAAGATGGTGAGCCTCAAGCAGCGCGCCAAGGACCTGGAACCGACCAGAAGAAGAGGTAGGTTTGAATTTACCCCCGGGGTTGACGCTGGCTAAACGTACGACCAGACTTTGATCCCGAAGACGATGCCTTTCGCCGCGCAGACGAAGACGACTCCGACGCCGCCGAAGAGTCGGCGGAGGAGGTTAATGGTCGAGAGCATTACGAGGCCGTTGGCAAGAGTAAACTGCGCAAACCAGAGCAGGTCAGCCTGGGATCAAAATATGGCGGCGTGGCGGTAAGCCGCAAGGACCTAGAAGACGACGACGACGACGATCACGATCCATTTGCGCCCGACGGTGAGGACGACGACGACGACGACGACGAAGATCCCTTTGCGAGGCCAGACGGAGACCTCAGCGAAGACGACGCATCAGACATCCCTGCCGATGGACATCTAGGTTCCGACGTCGAAGAAGACTCCGAGATCGACAGTGATGAAGCCCTGGGTGAAAGTGACGTTGAGCGGTTTAAAAACTTTACATTTCGAGGCAGCAAGCAGAACCGCATAGAGGCGACGTCAGAAGACGACGTATCAGGGGAAGAAGATGACGACTCGGACCATGACCAGTCAGGAGAACAATCGGAACAAGAGTCGGACCTTGACATGGACAGCGACGACGACGACGACGACGACGGCGACGATGCCTCGTCTCCGTCGTCAATGTCGTCCGAGGAAGAGGAGGAGGAGGAGGAGGAGGAGGAGGAGGAGGAGGATGACGCTCCGCGAAATCCTGACCGGAAAGCGCTGCGGGACGTCCTCTCTTCTACTACCGCAGGCCTGGCATCGGCCCTGTCCGCCGGTGCCAACGCAGACGTGAAAAAGGGCCACGCGGTCAAGAAACAGCGACAGACATTCGACCGACTCCTGGACGCCCGTATCAAGCTGCAGAAGGGCGTCACGGCAGTCAACGACCTCGGCCTTCTCGACGACACGGTCCTCTCGGAGGACCAAGTCAAAGACGCCGCCAGAAAGGCCGAAGACGCCGCTCTGGCACTCTGGTCCACCATCGACTCGATCCGCTGCACTCTACTCTCTGCGCAAGACACAACCACCACCATCACAGCCGCCGCGACCTCGGCCTCTTCCACACCACCGCAATCGCGCAAGAGGCCACTCACAGCGACCCGGTCCACGGCCCTCTCCGACCTGTGGACTCACGCGCAGTCCCTCGAATCCGCGGCCCAGCCGCTCCGGCGAAGCACCCTGGACAAATGGCACGCCAAAACCCAACCGGCGATCGACACCACGGCGGCGGCGGCGTCGTCGTTGCGCTCGAAACTCCTCGACCCGTCGCGTCAGCAGGCGTCTCACTCCTCCTCCTCGGCCTCGCGCTTCACAAGCGTGCTGGATACGTACCTCACGTCTGAAGCGCCGAAGCTGGTGGCCTCGTCCACACCCGCGCCGGGCACCTTTGACGACGGCGCCTTCTACCAGGCCCTCCTGCGCGATCTGATCACGTCGCGGGGCGCGAACGGCACCACGGCTGCTGCTGCCGCGGGTCCGGAGCCGTTCGTGGTGCCCGCGAGACTGAAATCCAAGGACAAGAACAAGGTCGTCGACACGAAGGCCTCCAAGGGCCGCAAAGTGCGGTACACGGTGCACGAGAAGCTGGAGAACTTCATGGCCCCGGAGGATCGCAGCACGTGGGAAGACGCCGCGAGGAGAGAGTTCTTTGCCAGCCTGTTCGGGAACAGGGGGGCTCTGGACGAGGCTGCTGCGGCGGCGGCGGCGGAAGACGGGGCAGACCAAGCAAGTGACGACGAGAACGGCGCCGAGGTCGAAGCACTGCGCCTGTTTAGAAGTTGATAGACCCGGAATCTCAGAAATGGTTCGTTAGCCCTGCTACGCACGCTTCCTCTTAGGTATCCTTGTAACCTTGAATGTATTCAGGGGAGAATCTTACAATCACAATGCCAATGCTGGATCGAATGAATGATACCTGGAGTAGTAATATTGGTTTTTGTCATTGCTCATCCGTGGTCGTTATAACCGAAACCTACTTGTTTCTCTCCCTAATTGTTCCGCTTCCCGCGAGTGGATTTCTCTACAACGACCACCGCCAGCTCCTTTCCCAACTCCTCTCGACCCACGGCGTCCTCCCACACATCGCTGCTACTTGACTCCTTAGTTCCTCCTGGTGTAGCCCGGAACTTGGTAGGGTTGAGGAACATACCACTTCGGAATGTTACCGGCCTCGCGCTGTCGGTGGATGTACGCCGCTGTGACATGACCGTTCTGTGTAAAGTTCGACTGGGTCTCGTTGTTAAAACCCGGGATCGGCGAGTATTCCCGCTGTAATGGAGCTGGGCTTGGCGACGATGAGATCGAAATCGCCTGTGAAGAGCGGATGGGAGTTGTGTCTGCCTCGCCATGGGTTTGTAATTGTGACACATTCTGCGAGTCGTCACGGTAGTGGTCATCTTCTTCTTTGATGGTATCGATGCTTCCTCTTGGAGGGATCAATTCTCGATCGTTGCTCGGAGTCTTTCTCGGGGGAGAAGGCAGTGAAGACGGGTCCAAATCAAGATCGCCCTCATCCTCCGAGTCCAAAACTTCATCGATACCTGACCTGGCATTGTACTGGGACTGGCTGTTTCCGGTATATTGAGGCAACTGGCTGAGAGGAACTCGAATGGAACTGGAGTCCTTAATCGTAATTTGATCTGGTCGCTGCGTGATTTCTGCGTCATGCCTTTGCGGATATGATGACATGATCGGGGACGCTTGTGTGGCTTCTTGAGTTGAGATTTGAGAAGGATGTGGTATTGACGCGGGGTGAATCGACTTCTGCGTAGTGGCTCTTCTGAACAGGGGAGGAGAAGATGAGGATGACTGCTGTAAAGTATCATTCAACGGCACCTTGGTGATTGAGACGACAGTACTCGAATGATGCATAAGAGCTGGCGTCGGCAGCGCGACTTCCTTAGGGTCTTCCGCCTCGCAGCCTTGAACGGTTGGAGTCCATTTGCATGGCGACTCCACTAATCTGGGACGGGGGAGAGGTGTTTGAGGGGGTATCTCTTCATCTAGGGATTGACCAATCGTGGATGGCCTCCTTGAATGACCGTGGGGTGTAGGTGAAGGAACGCGTGGTGTAGCTGCGTTCGTCCCTACATTTCCTCCAGGGGCCGGGGACGGCTGGGAAGGGGAAGAAATGCGGTTCTCGAGTCTAAAGTTGAACTGGGTATCATTGGCAATCGGTGAGCCAAAATCAACTTCGTCCACGTCGAGATCTCCTTCCAACCCATCGGCTCCTCCGTCAAGTGGCACCTCATCATGAAAGCCCTTGTTTATGGCGGTGTGTGATCTGGAGACTTCTAGACCCGTCGTCATCGGAGCAACTGCAAAGTCTCGTACCAGAACGGGCGATTCTTCGTCCTCTAGGTCTAGCTCCCGCGAGGTGTTTCCCTTTGCTTCGTCTACAGCACCTCCTCTACTCCCCACGATGTCAGCAAGATCCGGTAAACTGTCCTGTGTGAGCACAGCTAGCGGGCTCGACAATAGTGCCTGTCCTTGGCTTGTGCCTGGGATTTCTGGCTCTATGTCCGGTTTATCAACCCCTGATGCATGCGACAAGATTGTTTGCTCAGATTGTGGCTCATCGACTTGTAGCTGTCTCAGCTGGGGCGACGAAGATGGAATGGACCATAAGCCAGCCTCGTGATTATCCGTCCGAGTCCTTGGTTGAAATGGCTTGCGCTTGGGCAGCTTGAGAACCACGACTTTGCCCTTGCCTGGCGAGCGTTTGGCGGCGCCACGTAACTTTCTCGTTGTACCCTTGGATGGAGACAGCGAGTAGTTCACCGAACGCTCTGCCAGTGGTGTTCGCAGTGAGACGATGTTTGCCTTGAATGTATTTGCCTTGCTCCTTCGCGTACTCGGCGGTAAACTCTCTGGCGACTGGCTTGATAGAATGACCATTCTAGACTTCTCGGGCGTCCGCAATGGCATACTTTGATGAGCTCTGCTGTCATTGAACACAATCTCTTCGCCTTCATCAACGGAGTCCTTTATCTCTAGTGGTGCTGGTGATCTCGGAAGACCACGATCCCGGCGGGATGCTTCTGGGATACCCAGGGCTTGCTGGAAATACCGTAGATTTTCAGCCGCATCTGATGATAGTGCTTGCCTGGATGCAATCCTGCTCGAAACTCGTCTCGGTGTCACAGATTGTTCAGTTTCCACTCCCGACTTGTTGCCCCCCTTCCTCCTAGGGAGATACTCTTGGCTGTTCAGTGTCGTTGTGGCACTCTTCCGTTTCGCTGGTCGCGCAGTAGCGTGCTGGATTGACTTGCGCTTTCTAGGGCGTCTCGGGCTCTCGTACGAGCCATCTAATTGTGGAAGATTCGACTGCTGTTGTTGGGTTGGGAGCATCATATCGTCGTCAAGATCATCATGGTCGGGAGGTGGGAAGCTGAAAAAGTCCATCTGCGTCAATGTTGAATTGCGCTTTTTGAGCTTCCTTGAGCGTGCGGTACGCGGTTGTGGTATATCTTCAAGTGAGTCACTACGCTCGAAACTCGTTGGGACCGGAGTCACCCACTGGACTTGCGTAAGTGTCTGCTGGTTAATTGTATGCTTGTCGTCTTTGCTCTCGACGTCATGGCATCGGGGGCGCTTTCGTGGTGCTGGAGTGGCCGACTGGGCCTTCCGCTTCGTGCTGGTGATGGCCCATGGTTCTTTGGACATAGCTCATACTGGGAGTAGTAGGAGCCTCAGAGTTTTCCTGTGTGGACAAGGGTTGAGTTATATGGCGGTACGGAAAAGGAACCGAGTCCTGATGCCTCGATTACCGCAGGCGGAGTCTCCGTGCGGATATTCAGAGACTCAACGCGTGCCAAATGCGCGCCCAGCGAAACGCGTCGCGGGGTCACCTGATCCCCCAGAACGACACCATCGATGCGGTGTGATAAACCGTCGATTATGTGCTCGCGGGAGGATCACAACAGGTGACGGTGACAAGTCTCACCCCAGGGCTGGTGCTGCTGACCAACGCTAGATCTCAGCGTGACCGTCATGTTGGCTGCACAATAGCCGACCTCAAGGTACGTCTATCATCTCCCAGCGGCCCCTGTATCAACCCTGCCAATCCATCGTCAAGGAACAAATCCCATTCTCACAGACCTTTAGAGGCCTGGTCCCAGGAGCAATTCTCACTGCTACCGACCTTACCAGCCCTGCAGATGACAGGGGCCTTCACTCGCCTGGCGACCACATTGGTCTCGCTGATTTCAGTTGCGGTCTTGACCACCATACTGAGGCAACTTCTGCACCGAAACAGTCACAGACCACCAGTGGTCTGGCACTGGCTTCCATGGCTCGGTAGCACTATTGACTATGGCAAAAACCCGTACGGCTTTTTCTTCAAGTGCCGAGAAAAGGTCGCTAGGTACCCTCTGACCGTTTGACCTATGTGCTGATATTTCTGCAGTATGGTGACTTTTTCACGTTTGGACTTCTGGGGATGAAAGTCACGGTTTTCTTGGGAGCTAAGGGCAACAACTTCATTCTCAATGGCAAGCTCAAAGACCTCAATGCCGAGGTTTGTGCCGTTACGAGTCAGGAGTCCGTTGGGCCAGATGCGCTGACCGACCCCAGGAAGTTTATGGTCCCTTAACAGTGCCCGTCTTTGGCCGAGGAGTTGTCTACGACGTAGATAATGCTCGCTTCATGGACCAGAAGCGTGTATGCAGTCCACTTCTGTCAGTGTGTTGGTGCTGACTTTCGACCTATAGCTTCTGAAGGAAGGTTTCACAAGTCGGAATCTACGAGCGTATGTGCCGGAGTTTGTCAAAGAGGTCCGACACTTCGTCAAGACCAATGCCATATTCCGCGAGAAGGAAGGCATCTGTGACATTTCTTCGGTTTTCTCGGAGATCTCCCTCTACACTGCTGCTGGTTCCTTGCAAGGCAAAGAAGTCAGAGACTCTTTCGATTCACAGTTTGCAACATATTATCGGCATTTGGATGACGGATTTGCACCGATAAACTTCATGTTTCCATGGCTGCCAATCCCAATCAACCGACGCAGAGATCATGCCCAGAAAGTCATGGCCGGGCTGTACATGGACATCATCAAGAAACGTAGATTGGAAGGTAACAAGACCGACAGTCATGACATGCTATGGGCGCTGCTGGGCGCTCGCTACAAGGACGGTACCTTGATTTCGGACGAAGAGATGGCAAATCTCATGATAGCGTTGTTGATGGGGGGACAACACAATACCGCGGTAAGGCACCGTGATGCCCTCTCAGGGATCTTGGGAGTAGGTTCGGTGATACTAATGCTCTGCGCATTGTGCACTGTAGGCTTCTGGAACCTGGGTCATGCTGCACCTGGCCCACCGTCCGCATCTGATCGAAGAGCTGTACCAGGAGCAACTCAATGTCATGGGTGAGGAAGAACTGACCTACGAAGCGTTACAGCAGCTCACGCTTCACAATAACGTCATCAAGGAGACACTGCGCCTGCACAGCCCCATCCACTCGATCATGCGAAAGGTAAAGCAGCCGATGCAGATTCCCGACACAGACGTGGTCGTTCCAGCGGGCCACATCCTTCTCGCGGCCCCGGGAGTCCCGTCACGATGCGACGAATTCTTCCCCAACGCCATGGCCTGGGATCCTCATCGGTGGGACAAGTCTCTGGAAATCGACCGACAAGGCGACGATCAAGACGGTTTGAACGACACCGTCGACTACGGCTACGGCGCCGTCTCGTCCAAAGCTGCACATAGCCCTTACCTTCCTTTCGGAGCCGGGCGACATCGTTGCGTAGGCGAAACCTTTGCGTACGCTCAATTAGGAGCCATCCTAGTGACGCTGGTGCAATTGTTGCAATGGGAACAAGTTGATCCCAAAGCGCCCGTCCCAGCGACCGATTACTCCGTGAGTACATCACTTTTGACTTTTCCATGCTCTCGTATTCTGCAGAACTTCTGCCCCGTTGACTTAGGGGGCCTTTCCTCTGTGGTGTGTGTGACGCCTCATTCTTTCTTTTGTACTGACTTGTCATCTAAAAAGTCCATGTTTTCACGACCCGTGCATCCGGCCACGATTCGTTGGAGACACCGTCAATAGATTTGCGTGCCAGCTTCCGCCGTCATGGGCATTAAGGGGAATTCGCTTCAAGTACGTCGTTACCGCTGAAACCAAGTACCTACGTGCCGTGGGAGTCGAGACATCAGCTTAAATGAAGAATGATAGGTCGGAAGATGGCTAATTTTGGGAAGGATCTCCTAGTGTCAATTCATATTCACTATAGATCTGGGATTGTCAATTTTCATATTCACAATCATTTTTCCGGTACCCCATCATCTTGTACATCACACCTTCCGTGGTCACTCATGACCATAATGCCCAGTCGTATTTGATACTCAATGAAACCAAACTTGAGACGCTCAAAAAAACCCCCCAAAGGAACCGAACCGTGGCAAGATGCTGCGTGCCGCCACCCTCATAACAACAATAATAATAACACCTTGGAATTCCCGTAAACAAAAACACAAAAGTCGCGATCGATCACAGACCGCCATGTCCGTGGCGAAGTTTGAAGCCGTCGCCTATCCTCCGCCTAAAGCTGGACGCCAGGAAGTCGCGCGGCGAAGATTCCGATCGCCGACGGACCACACCGCCGGCGGCGTCGTCGAGGTACACGCGCTTCCTCAGACCGGACTGCCACGACGAAGGGATGCCCAGCGGGTTCGAGCGCTGCCAGTCGGTCAGGCTGTCGCATTCGCTCTGGAATTCGTCGGACGCGGCGTACGGCTTGATGTCGTCGGGCCGCTCGATCCACTGCAGCGCGAGACCGCCGTCGACGTGCCACACGATGTGGCAGTGCATGAGCCACGCCCCGGGGTTGTCGGTTTCGAATCCGATGACGGTGTATCCGGACGCCTTGGTGGGGCCTTCGGACCCGATCAGCATGGCGGTGTCGCGGCGGGGAGGGTTGTCAAAGTTCAGCGTCGAGGCGAGGTCAGCCGTCCACGCGGTCGAGCCCTGGCCCAGGATCGAGAAGTCGTGGCCGTGCAAGTGCATCGGGTGCGCGGCGAAGAACTGGTTCTGGATGACAAAGTACACCCATGTGTTCTTGGCCGTGAGGGTGATCGAGTTGGAGATCAGGTCGGACGGACTGACCGAAGACGAAGTGCCGTTCGTGGTGGCAGTGGTGGCGTTCGTGTTGCTACTGCTGCCGTTGCCGCCGACGCCGTAGCCGTTCTCGTAGAGCGTCTCAAGCGTGGGCTGGCTGTAGTTTACGTGAATGGCGTTGCTGTTGATGTACCATCGGAACACGCTGCCTCCGTCGCTCGCGGCAATTCGGGCGACGTTGCCGGCGGGAAGAGTCGAGACCGAGGCTGCAAAGGCGCTGGAGGAGCCGGCGGATTTCTTGACAAAGGGGACCAAAGACGCGATGGGCTCGTCGAGGCAGGAGGCAAAGTCGGCGAGTGTCTTGTCGCCATACGTGGACGTGGGCAGGATCGGGTCGACGTCGTCGTACAAGAGGATTCCGTTGGCGGCGCCGAGCCCCGTGTTGACGGAGCTGCTGGGGCATCCAGTCTGAGTGACGGCGCGGAGGAAGTAGCCTGCTTTGGGCTGGTTCATTTCCACGATCACATCGTACCGTTGGCCGATGCCGATGTTGAGCCACTCAGTCTCGTAGGGCACGATGGGCACATAGTCGATCGCAATGACGGTCATTGTGTGGTCGTCGAAGTGTACGGACCATACATTTTGTGCGGCAGAGTTGATGAGTCGGAAGAGGTGCTTCTTGCCAGATTGGACTTTCCAGAGCGCGTGTTGGCCAGCAGACAAGTCGGGCATCGTGTTTTTGCCGTTGAGGAGGTAGTTTTGGGTTCTAGAGCATTTGTTAGATACAATACAGCAGATACACCACGTCGATCTCGACGAGGGAACCCTACCCAGATGGTCCAATGTGACTGTTCCGTTCGTTCTGTTGCGCCGCAGTGTCGGCGAAAGTATCGTCAATCATGACGGTACCCATGTCTATGTCGTAGTTTGACGTGGCAGGACCGTGGATTACCATAGGTCCCCGAATCCCATCAGCGTATTGGGTCATTGTGTGAGCGTGGTACCAGCTGCCACATAGGTTAGCCAAAGTCCGACATGGCGAGAACTACAGATCCATTTTTTTGAACTTACCCGGTGCCATATTGGTTCAGTTGCATCGTGTACGTGCGCGAGGTGCCGGGAGCCAGGCCACACTCGGTGATACCCGGAACACCATCTTGGTCGTTGGTGCCGCGTTGCCAGAGGCCATGCCAGTGGATAGACGTCGAGTTGGCGGTAAGTTGGTTGTGCACCGTCACCACGAGGAGGTCGCCCCAGTTACATTCGATCAGAGGTCCAGGGACTTGACCGTTGATTGCGAATGCCAGTTTGGGACCGCTTCCGTCAAAGTCTATTGTTGTATTTGTGATGGTAAAATCATAGGAGCACGTATTGCCGGTCGAAACGTCCTTGACCGACGTGTCGTCGTTGATGCTCAGGCCGTTGCACCATACGCTTCGGTCGGCTGCAGTGTTGCATTGAGATCCTCCCGTGATTGGGCCGTTAGGGGCGGAAACGTTGGAAGCTGGTGAGCCAGGTTCCGGCCAGGAGCCGTTGGGAAAGTTCGTGTAGGTCGGTGCTGCTTGTGTGGCGATGGACGAGGGCGGTTCTCCTGTCCAGGTGAATACTTCGCCATCAGTTCCAATGGTGGTCTCGACAATGCTAGTATAGGTGCGCGTAACTGGCCCTTGGGAACCGGCGTCGGTGTTCACAGGATCGACAACGAAAGTGGAGGTTGCTGGTGAGCCCGCCACGGGGTCAACTGCATATGAACCTGTTTGAGACGCTGCCTGCGTCGAGGCAGGATTAAGAGGAGGGAATGGTCTCCCGGAGCCATCAACCGTGACAGTAGTCGTGGCACAGAAGCCGGGACCAATGAAGATAGTCGAATGGTATACGGTCGTGGTCGCTTTCCATACAGTTGTGGTTTCTGTTTTTGTGACTGTGGCCGTCGCAGGTGAGACTTTTTCGACGTGAAAAGTCTTGGTGGCCGATTGGCTGATAGGGTCGACAGTGCGTGAAGAAGATGTAGTCATCGCCGTAGAAGTTGTACATGGTGATGTCCAGTCGTTCCAGTTCTCTGCTAATGCATTTGCGCTCAATCCCAGGGCTAGGAACCCCGACACCCCTAAGATCCGCATATTGCACTCTCTGTTGACTCGAAAGTACTAAATGTAAGAATGCTTGGAGAAAAGAATGGTCGGGTTACTTTTGAGATGTCTACCCAGGACACCTAAACGAGAGACAAGAAATGGAAAAGAATGACAGAGAAAAATATTCTTCCTCAAGGGCCGGACCTGCGTGGACTTGGGGAGGCTGGCGGCCGCGACAACAAGAGAGGCATCGCGAATAGTTTTGAATGTCTTCGACCACGGCATGACTTGCTCTACAACTCCCCGGGTTACCGTCAAAGACATGCCCCTTATCCAAACGAGAAAAGCGCGATCCCCAACCGCGCGTTCGCGGGTGGACGAACCGCAGTATGACAGATGTCAATGCTGGTGGCGCCCAAAAGGGGGACTGGACTGTTAGCAACGATGAGATGCGTGCAGATTCACCGCGACGGATCATCGTCTCTTGCAAGAGAATCGCGAACTTGAACTCGCAACAGTTGCGATAGTCGACAACTGCTATGTGTTGCTGGGTAGTACATTATCGACGTATTCTTTGTTCAGGGAGAGCTCGCGCAGAGACGGCGGAGAATCAGTGACAGCCAAGTCAGGATAACCCTAATCCTTCAGGATGGTCTGAGCAGCGCAAACGGGCGGTCTCTTCTTCGCAGTCAGTGAAATTGGGCTGGTCGGTGCTGGATTGTCATAGCTTCAACCGTAATGGTGCTCGGCTTCATCACCGCGAGCCTTTACAGCATCCATAGATGGTTGGGCACAAGTAGAATTCTCCATGGAGGAGATAGCAAGCTCGTGTTTCTGCTCTCAGCCTCTCACGATGCCCCGAGGAGGACCACGCAAAGGACTGCTGTTTCGAGACCATTGGCTGACCCCAAAAAGCGGTCGTGACATGCGTGAACTCGGGTGGCGTCGTAAGCGTTGGTGGTAGCGTCAATTTTCAGGGGTTTGTGGCTCGCGCTCAAGCGCTTTGAGTTTTAACGTCGATAGGCCAGAACGCGTTTTCATAGCATCTGTCCAGGTCGACCGTGACCAAAAATAACAAGCCCTGGAGTTGAACTGACCAGGCGATGTCAATTACGAGAGGAGAGGAGCATCGACATGATGACTACTTCAACATGATCCTATTCACTCACTCGGTCTTGACAACGGACAGCGTTTCGGCAGCGCCGTTTCCAGTGCTGATAGCCTACGATTTCTATGGGTTGGTGGCTTCTGGCTGCTTTCGCAATTGCTAAACGCTTGTGGTGAGTGAGCTGGATGAACAGCTCGATGCAAGGCAGATGGCACAACAGGCGCGCTGCGCTTCTGTGGCGGAGGTCCTGTGTTTTGTTCAAGCTGGGAGCTCCCAAGAAAGGACATGAAGAGGCTCAGTGTGAGCTTTCTCGCAAGAGAACCACTGAGCATCCACAAGCGATAACAACGACTAGATGGGTTTGAATCGATTCTCCAATGTGAGGCGATCTGCGCAATAACTGCAAATCACCCCCTTCGTACCTGCGAGTGCTGAGTGACGCCGGTGGCCAAACAGCTGTCTCAAGGTCAATGTCCTCTGCTTGGATTGCCGTCTTACTTGAGAACACGAGTGGTACCTCGTGAAGTCGGCATGCATGAGGAACCAGACGAGCAAATGGCACTGCACGGACTACCTATAAACCAACCATCGTCTCTACCCTCATTTGCCAGTGCAAGAAGCTGAGAAGTGTTCTGCTCTCGAGATCATCTCTTCAGAGCCCCTGTTCAAGCTTCTTTACCAGGTGTGTTTGCATTGAGGTGCCACATAGGTGGCTTTTCAGTGGTCCTCGTGGCCAGGTTAGGCATCGGATTCTGCATGTCGAACTCCATCTGAGGTCTCTTGCTCACTGCTAAGCTCGATCATTCGTGGTCAGATTTAATTGGACCTCACGTATGTATCTGCCACGGCCAGATTCTCATCTGTCGCCTTCGACCATGTTCGCAGCTGGCATCTTTTCTCGGTAAAGTTTGCAGTGTCCACCAAAAGCTAAACATACTTCTTCATCGGGCCATTTTGTAAGAAATGTATCCTCAGCCTGATTTCCGTCTTCTTGACGCCACTACCTGCTTTGAATACGACAAGAGTAGCCGGAGCATCACTTCATAGCAAAGTCAAACTCCTCAAAGTCTTCCCGCAAACCTTGGGCATCCTCTTCTTCTGCCGCTTGCTCACTACCTTCCTTCCGTAGCAGAGCGTCCATCCAGTTCACTCGGTTCTCGAGCTTCAATAGTCCCGCCATGACCTCCCTGCCGAACCAGATATTAAACTTTTGGTCGGACGGGAGGGGGAAGTACATCGATTTGGAGACACCAATCACTTTGTCACTATTACCATTGGTGTGATCAGCCATCTGAACTGGATCAGTTACCCAAGTCCAGACCCGAAAAAAATCAGACCGGACTGGAAGCTGACCGTCAGGCTCGCACGGTTGGAAAGTAGGATATTCGTGTTTTTCAGCGGAGACTTTGAAAGCAGCATCAACCAAGCCTTTCTTGATTGGCTCGGCCTGGCAAGCCATGAGTTGCCAATGGTGGTGACGAATTCCGGTCCGATTGACTTCCCAACAGACGGCACCAAGTTGTCCTTGACTCTTCGATCCAATCATCTCCGACAGAGCTGTGCGGAATTTGTTCATCTCTGCAAATTCGGTCGATAACTCGGCTGGTATTCTCTTGCCCTGGGCCATTTCATCGGCAGCATGATAGTAGGGGATGATCATGACGTGACCAGAGAACGAGAGCTGGGGAAATGTTGATGGCAATGGGAGAGGTCCCCGTGACGCAGTTACCATGCTTTCATCAGCCAGGGAAACAACTAGATGAGTCTTTGCGCCGGCTTTGTTTAGACACATGAAACAGTCATTTGGATCCTTTGCGCGATCCCGCCGAGAACGTTTTGACTGCCGGCCTTCATATCCTTTGGCAGAGTATCTGTTGTAGGATTCGGAGTCGTCCATGATCTGGCGCTTTCGTGGAGGTGATGACCTTGTGAAGGGTGACTCGAGGGGAGGCTCTAAGGTTGGTGGTGGGCGAGAAGTGTCCAGCGAGAATGCCGTCATCCATTCTTTGGTTGGTGCAGAGACGCTGGGAAGGCTCTTGAATCTAGTGACTGGTGCTTCCTCTAGAGAGCTGTAGTCTATGACGTGTTTAAAGGGCTCCCGCTCATACACGGCTTCTGGACTGCTCGAGAAGTGATACCATGGCTTCAAGACTTGACAGAGATTCGAGATCGATCTCGAACCCGACTCCTTGTCAAGTGTTGCAGGGCATTCGACTCTTGAACCATTCGTGATGTCCGCCGGCCACTGATTAGTAACCAGAATGTGAGCGGAATGCGCCCCGTGAAGCCCCCTTGCATCGTTCTCGATGTACAGCGGATCACACTTCCCAGGCTTGTGGGAAGTAGCTGATTCATTTTGTAAGGCTCTACCGCCTAACGCGACAATCTTGATTCCCTCAGCGGTGGTCATGGTGCCTTTGCGGCCGAGGTAAAACAGATTCGAACACAGATCTTCGTCCGCTTCTAGCTTCTCTCTGACTGCCTCTGGAAAAGCCGAGTTGCCCATGGTGAAATAGGTCGGTAAAGGAACATTGAGTTGGCCGGAGAGTAATGCTCGCAAGTCCTCGGCTCGGTCTTCGCCATCGCTTCCTGAAAACAAATCACCAATGATAAGTGCAAGACTGAAATTCTGCTTGGTTTGCAGCTTCGAGATCTTGTCGAACGCCTTTTTCAGCTGCCCACTCACGCTGCCAACCACAAGACTAGTGGATCTCGTTAGAAACGTGAACACCAGAAAATAAATGAGAGCTTACATCTTTGCTGAACCCATAGTGAAGACTTTTCCGATCGATTCAGACTGATGTAGACATTTGGCGCAGCATAGACTTGCTATAAAACATTGACGGTAGTTAGCTTTATATCAAAGATAATCGCATTGGCTTCGGCGCGGTTGAACCGAAAGTAAGCGTGATAAAAGAGTGCCTGATTTGAGAGTGAGGCAGCAAAACAAGGAGCCCAGAGAACTTGATCCTGTTCAGAGTTGGTACTGATTCTACCGGTCCATACAAAATCTCCCCGTACTGCAAAATTTCATCTCGTCCAAACCACTCCGCAGTAAGCCATGTACGGCGAACCAGTGAATGTCTATCCGCAAATCATGTGCGGGGAAATTTCCATTCTCGAAGTTGCCTCCAACATAATTTTCTCGACTTTTGGTCTGCCGACGTTTTGCATATTGCACGACGGCCCAACTCAACTCTGGCTGTCCGCATACATGATGACAACGTTATGTCGTCGGTGACACATACCGGTATGGCACCCATATCGCCTGGGTCGAGTGCTCGTAAGCCTCGGAAAACGAAGAAACCCACCGACTTGACAAACCTACACCGATACGAACCCTTCACGAGGCGCATCTCGAGACTGAAGATTGACCCAGTCCATAAGGTGGAAAGAAGAAGGCCTACAAACGATGAAACGGACCTGACTCAGAGCTACTTCCGATCCGCTCTAGAAGAATGGGCAGAATTAAATCTGTCGCACACATTCACGAGTTTCCTCAACAAGGCGAGCCCTCTCAGCGAAAATCTTCCTCAGTTGTTGCACCACGCAGACAAAATCTTCGAATTACTCCTGCAACACATTGAGAAGAAGGATGCTTTAGCACTGGAGCCCCTGTTGAGTCTCGCTGCACATCTTGCACATGATCTCGGGCAAAGATTTGAACACTATTTCTCAAGAATGGTTATCTTGGTCGCCCAAGTTGCTGCTTCCCACGACAGTGCCGACGTGATCGAATGGTGCTTTACGTGCCTGGCCTGGATGTTCAAATATCTTTCAAGGCTACTGGTTCAGGACCTCCGACCTCTGCTCGACATCATGATTCCGTATCTGTCATCAAAGAAGGACTACATTGTTCGCTTCAGTGCTGAATCTCTTGCGTTTCTCTTGAGGAAGGCCGCGGTCATGTACCCAAAGAAAAAGTCGCCTCTAACCTTGGCTCTACGACATCTCTTGGATCGAAACAACACCGGCCCTGTAACTCCCGTTTCGTACCAGATTGGTGTCATGAGCCTTTGTGCCGAAAGCGCAAAAGGGATTGATGGGACTTTGCACTCCAGCGCCGAATCACTTCTACAGTGTTTGATAGCAGTGTCCAGGCCCTTGTGTCAGGAACAAGAGACCCGGTCGATCGTCGAAGGCGTTCTTGTTGCTCTCATACACGACACCGACAGTGCTGGGTTTTCTCCAGTCGTGGACGTCATCCTAGACACGGTACGACAATGCGCGGCGTCCTCAGAGCCTGCTCAGATTTTATTTGGGTTGAGACTGCTCACAGTCATTCTGGGCACTAGAAAAGGCACTAGGATCTCTTCCTGGAAGGACGTGGTTCAAGTGTACTTCCGCATCTTTGAGGCCGCGATGCAGCTGCTTGACGATTCCAGTTACGCCGAGGGAGACTCAAACCTTCGACTTCATACCGCTCAGACAGTGCTCTCGGTCTCCGCTGAAGTCCTCACGTTCGCTCCCATGGATCAATTACTCCCTCACTCCCTGACAATCTTGGCGCTTCTGGAAAATCGTCTCGTTCCTGCTCAGTTCTTCGCGTTTTGTACAGTTTGCGCAGAACTTGGGACCGATCGATTCCAGGATCTAGTGCTCCCGCGTCTTCAGCAATACCTTATCACTCGCTGGTCTGATGATCGAATGGGAACATACTACCTACTACAGAACCTAAGCCATGGTGAAGTCATTTTCCATCGTACAGCTGGCTCTGCAGCTGTCGACTATCCTTCTGGTTTGGTGGATGCGCTCATTCATTCATTCTGCGCGGGCAGCAGTCTAGGCAATGATACGGAGGTGGAGCATTTCGTGGGACAGATCTACTCTTTGCGCAACGCCCGATCTCTCCGAGAGCACCATCAAGTTCAAGCATTATCCAATGGCTATCAGAAAGCTATTGCCCAAGCGCTACAGGATCATAGTAGTGCCCTTGATCTTCGCCGCAGAGTCATTCTTGGTTCCGGATTGAAGACCTATATCGACCTTGTATCGAACGACGACAGCCGGAAAAACGACCTATTCTCGCTTCTACAGACAACTTCACCGGAGTATTTTCGCCTGCCTGCTTTTGTGGCTGCTACGAGCCAACTGTTCGAAGACGTGAATATGAAGGACCATCATCGCGAGGTAAACTTCGACAGCATACGTTATGTGCTACTCGAGAACCTGCTAAGTTCTTCAAAAAATCTCAAGATCGGAACACTATCTTTGCTCTCGCACATCAAGGATACAGGAACCGATGACTGGCTCTCAGAAACGGTGGATTTAATGCAGGATATCCTTCAAACTCCCTACGTGCCCTCCGAAGCTCGCAAGATAGCAATGTTCCTCCGTCGACTTCCTCAACGTCAGAAGAAGCTTACACCCGGTTCTCCCCTAGAAAACATGATACCGTATTTCTGCCTTGGACTTGTGTCGACTTATCATGACCAGACGAGACAGGAAGTCTGTTCCGTTTTGGCGCAAATTGTTGAGGTCAGCCCTGTGGAAGAAGCCGTGGTCAATGTTGCCATTCAATGGCTTCAGTCGCCTGCCCATCTTTCGCTTGTCCAGCGCAATGTTTACTCGCAGTCGAAACCAAATTATTCCATGTTTGAGTCTGCAGATCTGTCGAGCTTGGAGGCGCGATGCCAGAAAGCCCTCGAAGATTTTTCCTATTCAAAAGACCGATTCATCAAGCTGGTTGAAGCAGAGCACAGCATCGACCATACGAGAAGTCCCGAAAATGGACGAGCTTTGGCGCTCCAGATCCTGTCATCGATATCTGCATCTGCGGAACGCCGATCACGTTTACTGGTACCAGTGTTCCTATCTGCTCCAATGACTCGTGAGCAGGCTCAACAGAAGTCAGGCTCGGATACGTCGACCTCATCGAACACGCTTGGTCCAGATGTGGACGATAGCGAGTGGTCTCTTTCTGATCGCAAAGCTCTGTTGGCGCTGTTCAGCAAGTTTGTGAATCCCAAGGTATTGTTCAGGTCGTCAGAAGTCCACGAAAAATTGCTCGAACTTCTCGGCAATGGCAACCTCGACGTAAGGAAGCTGGCACTTCAAGCAATTTTAACGTGGAGGCAACCTTCCTTGACTCGGTATGAGACAATTTTATATCAAGTTGCTGAAGACAAATCAACTACTACTGAGTTGGGTACCTTGTTAGATGCCTCAGAAGAAGAAAGCGCTGTTAAGTCTGAGGATCGTGCTGTCATCCTTCCAGTGCTTCTGCGGCTGATATTCGGCGTCATTGTTGGGAGGGCTGGCACCGTAGGCTCACAAGAAGCGAGAAGAAAATCTATCATCCGCGTACTATTTCGTATGCAAGAGTCTGAAGTCGCAATGTTTCTGGATATTGCCCTGGGCAGATTGAGAGATGTGAAGATACTCCCTGATCGGCCTGACAGTCTTTACGAAGAAATTCTGCTTCCGGAAGACCAACAATACGGTTTTCTGCGACTACTTCTGTCCATGTTGGAAACTCTGCAAAGCCGATTTGCCCCTTACGGTCGACAGGTGGTGGACGCAGTTGTGTTCTGTGTTATTAGGGCCTCGACCCTAGCCAAAGCTACAGCTGCATCCTCAGCCCTTTCGAGAAATATCAGGCGGGTAGGGTTTCAATCCTTGGTACTTCTTTCTCGAGATTGTCCCGACATTCCGTGGTCCCAATATCTCCCAAGTCTCTTCGCCCATGCTGTCACTCCTCGTCTTGGAATTTTTGCGTCAGAAACGAGCCAGGGAATCTCAGGTTTACTACGATTGTTTGCTGCATGGTCCCAGTCTCCGGAAATGGTCAGCTTCCTTCGACAATATGATAGGAATGTTCCAAGCGTTCTATGGAAGACACTTTCCTCCCCAGCCACACAAAACGAGGTTAAAGTTTTCATCCTAGAAAACATAGTTCTGCCATGGGCGGCTATCACTGAGGATGAAGCAGCATTGCCGAATCAAGCTTCCGAAATCCTCGAAGTGGAAGCGGATGGACTTTTGACAGCATTGGTGTGTCTCTTGGAGAATACGCCGCCGAAGGAGATCCTTCTCGCCATCACTTCGGTCCTTCCTAAGATCGCTCCATTTGCCCACTCCCCGGAGTCGAAGCAAGCCACGCTTCGCCTGCTAACGGCTTTGTTGAAGGATTCTGCACGTCGTCTACCCCCAAACGTCAAAAGTCAGCTCCTAAAGTCGATCAAATCTTTCCTCGAGACGATAGATGCCTTCCAAGACGAGGAATTTGCTTCCAATGTTCTTGACCTGGTATCCTCTCTTTTCAATTACTTCAAGGATGAGGCAAATCGCCAGATTCTATGTCAAGTCATGGACAGGTTGTCCAAACTTGATCCAGACCTTGTGCTCTCAGCACAGCTGTCTCGGGATTTGAATGCAGTGTCAACCAACCGTCTTGAAGAGATTGACTTCGATAAGCGACTCGAGGCTTTCCAAACGATCAATGAGCTCGAGGCGGAGGAGAATCGCCCAAAGTGCTGGCTTCCGATCATTCACAACCTTCTCTTCTTCATCAGGACCATCGATGAGTTTTCAATCCGGTCTAATGCCTTGAGTTGCCTAAAGCAGCTGATAATCAAAGCTTGTGGAAGCCAGAGAACAGAAATGACAAAGCTAGTCACAAATGTCGTCCTCCCATCGGTGAAAAAGGGAGTTCGATCTGAATCAGAACTGGTTCGAGCCGACTTTGTTTCCCTATATGGCGTACTGGTTCAACATGCACAAGGAGAACCAGATCTTGAGAATTTGAAGCCCTTGCTGGTTGGAAATGATGAAGAAGCGTCATTTTTCTCCAACATCCTTCACATTCAACAGCATCGCCGACTACGAGCTATTAGACGACTTCTTTCTGAGGTTGAGAAAGGAGCTATCAGTGCGCGCAATATCGCTGATGTCTTCATTCCGTTACTTGAGATGTTCGTCTACGATTCCGGAAGTGACGAATCCGCCCAAAGCATCAAAGGTCAGAGTATAGCTGCAATGGGTACTTTGCTCCAGTGGGTTGATTGGAAGCATTTCAAGGCCTTGTTGCACAAATACAAAAGCGACATCACTGCAACCGACAGTAACGAAAAATTTGCAAGCCGACTTCTCAGCCATGCGGCAGATGCGTTGTCCGCAGCAAGGAACCACAGGTCGGATGACAAAACGCTTGCTACTCCTTACTTGGCTCCATCACTTCCTCCTAGCCAGACGATTGAGAATGAATTACGGAAACACTTCATTCCTAAATTCGCCGAACTTGTGCATTACAAAGATGAAGCCGAAATCAGTTTCCGTATTCCAGTCGCGGTCACTACCATCAAGTTGATTACGATGCTGCCGGAAGAGGAAGTCCAGATCCTGGCTGCACCCATCATCCTGGATATCGCACACATATTGAGAAGTCGTACACAAGAATCGAGAGACATCGCACGCAATACGTTGTGCCAGATTGTTATGCTTCTGGGACCGTCAAGTCTACAATTTGTCTTGAAGGAGCTTCGTACGGCATTGACTCGAGGTTACCAGCTTCATGTTTTGTCATTTACTCTCCATGCCATTCTCGTGACTCTTACACCAAACGTGCAGCTCGGAGACCTAGACTACTGTGTCCAAGATCTGGTCGCAGTGATAATGGATGATACCTTTGGCACAGTGGGTCAAGAGAAAGACAATCAAGACTATGTGAGCAGCATGAAGGAGGTGAAAAGCAACAAAAGCTATGATTCGATGGAATTGTTGGCCAAGTCAATCAGTGTACATTCGCTGTCAAGTCTGGTATCACCAATTCAGACTCTGTTGGTAGGATCTCTGACGACAAAGCAAGTGAGGCAAGTTGATGAACTTCTACGGAGAGTCGGAGCAGGTGTTTCACAAAACCCCGGGGCCAGCAAGCGGGATCTGTTGGTGTTTGCATATCAACTTATTCAAGCCATCTACAAAGAGAAGGAGAGCGTCAAGGTTCGACAGCCAACCGTGGAAGAAAAAAGCCGACAGAGGTATCTCATCAAGATGACTTCGGCGCATAAGACGGTCACCAGCCAGACTTCATCATTACTGTACAAGATGGCGCGATTTGCTCTAGATCTTGTTCGATCTGTTCTCCAGAAGCATGACGAAGTGCTGACCGTTGAAAACGTCCACGGCTTCCTTCCTGTCATTGGTGATGCTCTGATCGAAGCACAGGAAGATGTCAAGATCTCTGCCATGCGATTGCTGTCTACCATCATTAAGTTGCCGATGCAGGAACTTGACCAGAATGGCCCCTTGTACGTGATGGAGGCCGTCAGAGTCGTCAAGAATTCCACAAACACCAACGAGGAAGCCGCTCAAGCTGCCCTAAAGCTTGTTGCTACCGTGCTTCGTGAACGAAAGCAGGTCAAAGTTCGAGATCTTGACATTGCCGAACTCCTTCAGAGAATCACCCCCGATATTGAAGAACCAGATCGACAAGGCGTAACATTCAACTTTATTAGAGCGGTGATGGCTCGGAAGATTCAAATCCCCGAGATCTACGATGTGGTCGATAAGATTGGCATCATGATGGTCACCAATCAAGGTAAAGGGGCCCGCGACGTAGCGAGGGGTGTCTACGTTCACTTTTTGATTGAGTATCCTCAGAGCTCCTCGCGATGGTCGAAGCAGCAGAAGTTTTTGATGAAGAATTTGGAGTACGAATACCCTGAGGGTAGGCAGTCTGTCCTGGAGGCCATTAACACTCTCATCGCAAAGACAAAGGGAGAAGCTGCGCAGGATCTGAACTCCACATTCTTCATTCCTGTGTTGCTCCGGATGGCCAATGACGAGAATAAAGGTTGTCGGGATCTTGCAGGTGCTTTGCTCGGACAGATGTTCCGTTCAGCTGACAGCGCTCATTTGCGAGAACTTCTCGGACCTTTACGTGCTTGGATCGAGCAGGATGACAATATTGCTCTGCAGAAAGTTAGCATGCAAGCCTATAATATTCTTCTAAGTTCCGATGTCGGGCTGGATGAAGCCGATGTCACAGGTCTGCGCGACAACCTAGCTACATCACTACAACACTCTACAGCAGAGAACGACGGCGAAGACTGGGAGTCATTATTCCAGGCTCTTCTGCTGTTGTCGAAGCTGGTTGAATCCCGCCCAGAGGTGGTCCTCAACCAGAGGCAAACAAAACTTTGGGTGCCTGTATGGAAGTCGCTAAGTCACCCACATGCTTGGGTCCAAAGCACTTCGGCTGGGTTGATTTGTGAATTTTTCCGACATTGTCTTGAAGCTGATCATTCGAAACTTCCGCTGACATGTGATCACGGTCTACGCCTCGATCGAGACAGGTTCCTCGAAATTCTGAAGGCCAGTGTCAGAATCCTCCGACGTACCGAGGGAAACGAAGATGTCAGCACTCAAGTGGTACAGATTCTCCTGTTTCTCGGGCAATGCATGAATGTCAATGACTTGACCATGGAGGTTGCCGACAAGTCTGTGGGTGACGACGATGACGACATGGAAAACGGTGCCGAATCTGAGGACGAACGACCGACCCGGACGAAAAAGATTCCAGGGCTTCAATACCTTTTGGATCAAGTGACGCGTATCTTGAGGATCGAGTCGACTTCTTTCACTTCGGCAGCGTTCCTTCCCAAGAAATCAAGTCTGCTTCTTCTCTCTTCGTTGATACCAGCCTTGTCGACCGCCAAGCTGAGTTTGCAAGCACACAGCATTCTAGTCCCTCTTCAGCACTTGACCGATCCCAGCACGATTCAGCCCCGGTCTGCCGACCCGTCATTTTCATCCACCTATCAAAACCTTATCGAGTTGGCTCACGAAGTGATGGAGAAGGTCCAGAACAAACTCGGGGACAGTGAATATGTAAAGACACTGACCGAGGTCAGCCGGACCATGCGCAAGAGGAGAGAGGAACGAAGGACAAAGAGAAGGATTGAGCGGGTAGCTGAACCCGAGAAGGCTGCACGAGACAAGAAGAGAAAGAGCGATAGGAAGAAGGAGCGTAAGAAGGAAATTGGTAGGTCTCATCAGTCTAGACGACGAGAGGCCGGAATGTGATGTGATATGAAGTAGTTTGTGAATAAGTCATGTGATGCATGTGATTTGATGTAGGGGGCCCATCATTGACATGGAAAAGATAAATGTATACAGTATAACGTCGGTTCAAATTCCGGTTCTATTTGAGGAGGAGACGACGTAACACGGGCAGAGCGAGGGGATATAGACAAGTAGGCATTTGAGGAACTGGACGCGGATGTGTTGTTGATAATGATGACTGTCGCGTTTGGCCATATGGAGGGTGCTACGGCTCTCTGCAATCTTTGGTTATTTTATTGTGCCAGACTGTTATGTTTTGGCTCCGCCTTGCCTAGCATATCCGCGTCCACTTGGTGCACTTGTTTGTATTTGTGCACGGATCATGGACGAATCATCGATCCGGAGTAGTGAGAGCAGTGAGGACGGTGAGAAAAGCAAAAATTTACCCATTAACACTGGCAGTCGAAGGAAGATCGGTCCCGACGGCACAAGTGGCGCCAGCGTCGACGGGCAAAATCACTCCGGTCATCCATCTCGAGTCGGGACCTGCAAGGAACCTCACTGCACAACCGACGTCCCAGCCGTTGCCCTCGGTCTTGAGCAGACTCCTGTTCTTCCTGGCCTCCCTGGCCTCGTCGGTCATGCCGCGCTCGTACATCATGGGCGTGTAGACCATGCCGGGACAGACGCAGTTGACGCGGATGCCCTGGGCGGCGTGGTGGGCGGCCATGGCGCGCGTCATGTTGACCACGGCGCCCTTGCTCGTCGGGTACAGCAGGTGCGGAGTGCCGCCTCTGATGCCGGCGACGCTGGCCATGTTGACGATGCTGCCCTTGTACCCGTACCCGGGCCTGGAACCCGTCATCCCCGAAGGAGAAGATTCCGAAGGGTGGTGGTCGTCGTCATTGCGCGCCATGGCAGGGATGGCGTACTTGGCCATCATCACCATGCTGGACACGTTGATCTCCATGCTCTTGGTCCACGAGGCCATGTCGACCGTCTCGGCTGTGCCTGGTGTTCCGCCTATGCCGACGCTGTTGACGAGGATGTCGACGCGCCCGTAGGTCGAGAGCGTGGTGTCGACAATGCGTTTGCAGTCGGATTCGATGGATACGTCGGCGGCGAGGGCCGTGGCGCGTGGCGGTCGTCCTGTTTCTTCTCCTCGTCCCCGTCCCACGGCCTCGGCCTCGATCATCTCCACGGTGCGCTGGGCAAGGGCAATGTCTAGGTCGACGCAGACCACGGCGCATCCGTCGTCAGCCATCAAGATGGCCGCGGCACGGCCGTTGCCGATCCCGTCTCCTGCTGCGCCGGCGCCGGTGACGATGGCGACTTTGCCTTTGAGTCCACGTGGTGGTTTGGGGAAGTGGTATTCCATGGTGATGTTGATATTGATGTTGATGAAGGTGAATGTGATTGAAACTCCTTGGAGGGAAGCGGAGCGTTCCAGACTTGAAAGACAAAACTCCTTGACCGGGTCTAACCCTACTTATGGCAGATAGCAGTCGTACTCCTTTCCGTATACCTAGTTTGACGGGGGAGGTGGTAGGCTCAGTCAGGCACGGGTGAGTAGAGTTAGTGGGTGAGTGAGCGGGTGCGCGATATCCCCCCTGTGCGAATTATAGACACACCAGGAGGAGAGATGTAGGAATGGGGATCGTTTGTTCACTCCGTACAAGTACAAACCTGGATGGAGTTCAATCCCACCTGGTGGAGTGAAGAGGAAAAGGTGCTCGTGATATGCGAAGTGTTGCCGAACTGTCGGATAACAGCTGCCCTGCGAGACCTACCTGAGGCATACATGTAGTGGCCCAGCGTACCTGTAGGTGTTGTTCTCCTCACACGGATGATGTTCATACAGAATGTTCGGAGAGCGATACCCCGTGAGTACTCGATATAGAATAAGCCTCGGCTACCGCAGCAAGATGTGAATGTGGGAATTTGGAGACATTTGGGTGTTGATGGTTGATTCTCGGCAAAGAGAGTGTCACGTCGTGTGTTTGTTTGCAATGGCGTCGGAGGCACTTCAAGTCAAGTTCACACCACCAACACACAGCACACAGCACACAGCACACAGCAACATGATCTCTTGAGGCTCCGTCTTCTCTTATGTCTGCCGGATGACGATCATGACTGCAGTTGCACAATACCCTCCCTGCTGAACAGTCTCCAAAAGCATGAGTTTCCATTGCCAACAACTCCATCCTCACCAACCCTCCAATGGCCACCGTCAGAATATGCGTCTGCGGTGACGAGGGTTGTGGTAAGTCGAGCCTTATCACTTCTCTGGTAAAAGACACCTTCATCAGCAACAGAATCCAAGCGGTTCTGCCTCCAATCACCATTCCTCCAACCCTAGGCACTCCCGAAAATGTCACCACTACCATCATCGATACCTCTGCCCTGCCTCAAGACCGTGCGAACCTTGCTAGAGAACTGAGAAAATCCAACGTCATCCTCCTGGTCTATTCGGACCATTACAGCTATGAGAGGGTGGCCCTGTTCTGGCTGCCATATTTCCGCTCTCTGGGTGTCAATCTGCCCGTCATCCTATGCGCGAACAAGTCGGACCTAGTCACGAGCAGTACACCTGCTCAGATCATGGAAGAGGAGATGCTCCCGGTCATGTCAGAGTTCAAAGAGATCGACTCTTGTATACGCACGAGTGCCCGCGAACACTTCAATGTCAATGAAGCATTCTTCCTCTGCCAGAAAGCCGTCACACATCCCATCGCTCCGTTGTTTGATGCGAAAGAGTCGGTGCTCAAACCAGCTGCGGTAGCTGCTCTGCTTAGGATATTCTACCTTAGTGATAAGGATAAAGACGGACTGCTGAATGACAAGGAAATGCAGGATTTTCAGTTGAAATGCTTCGATAAGAATCTGAGCGCAGAAGACCTACAGCACATCAAAGACACCATCGAGCATCATCTACCGGGAGCTGCTCTGGGTCGGGGTATATCCTCACAAGGCTTCTTGCTGCTGAACAAGCTCTACGCTGAGAAGGGTCGACACGAAACGATATGGGTCATCCTTCGCACATTCCAGTACACCGACAGTCTGTCCCTGCAGGAGTCCTTCGTCCACCCCAAGTTTGAGGTGCCCGAATACGCTTCAGCCGAACTGTCTCCTGCCGGATACCGCTTTCTGGTCGACTTGTTCCTCACCTCTGACCGCGATAACGACGGCGGTCTCAAGGACGAGGAGCTTGGATCCCTCTTTGCACCAACTCCGGGAATTCCTCAGCTTTGGGTGGACAATAACTTTCCTTATTGTACGGTGCGCAACGACGAAGGCCATGTCACACTCCAAGGCTGGCTAGCTCAATGGTCGATGACCACGTTCATGTCTCCCAAGACGACTCTCGAGTATCTCGCGTATCTGGGTTTCGAGTCTCCGGATCGATCGAATTCCAGCACTACAGCCGCTTTGAAATTGACAAAGCCTCGAAAGAGAAGAAGGCGACCAGGACGAGTAGGTCGGAATGTGCTTCTTGCACATGTACTGGGAGCTCCGCAGTCTGGGAAGTCAGCTTTGCTGGACGCGTTCCTCGCTCGACCATTCAACGAGCTGTACCACCCTACTATCCAGCCTCGGGTTGCAGTGAACACAGTCGAACTCCCGGGAGGCCGACAATGCTATCTCATCCTCAAGGAATTTGGTGAATCAGAAGCGGCTGCTCTCGACAATAAGAATAAACTACTTGATCAATGCGATGTCATTGTCTACACCTACGACTCTTCCGATCCAGACTCGTTTGCGTACATTCCAAACATTCGAAAGAACTATCCTTACCTCGAGGACCTGCCGTCTGTATACGTGGCATTGAAGGCAGATCTTGATCGGACAATGCAAAGAGTCGACCATCAACCAGAGGAGTATACTGCCCAGATCCAACGGATGCCTCAAGGACCACCGATATCTACGAGTGTGACGTGGCCTTCGATCCAGGACTTGTTCGTGGTCGTATCAGAAGCAGGTCTTGATCCGGTCACTGCTTACCCACGACCACTAGAGGAGGATGATAGTGGTCAATTGATGAGATATGGGCTGGTTTTGGGGGCGGTAGTTTGTGCCGGTGCTGCAGCAGTGGTGATTTGGCGAAGGTCGACAACACCGTCAGGTTAGAACTGTGATGGCGGCAAGGAAGGAGACAATCAGAGTATCGGCGGAACGATATCTGGACCAATTGACACCAACATGAGACGGAGACATCTGATGAACATTCGAGTGAATACTTGACCCCATGATTGGCAATCACCCCTTATCTCAGATAAGCATCACGGCATTCGGCTGGTCTCAGGGACCTAGGTAGGTAGGCATGAATGGATAATTTGGTACGCGTCACATTGTACGCGTTGAAGTACCTACTTACTTCTTCTTCTTCCTCTCTTATCTTCCTGCTTGCCGGCGGTGCACCAAGTGACACGGCTCCATAAACTCCCAAGACGGACTTGTGTACGCGTCGTTAGTCTTTTGCTCGTCGTTAGTCTTTCGCTCGCTAACACAAGGACCAAGGGTATCCAGGTGGTTACAGTTGCAGCTACCGAAGTTTGTACTTTAGTAGACTGACTATCCCTTCAGCACGTCTTGTTCTAATCGGTGGTTTTAGAGTTGTCGATGAATCAATAGTGCTTTTTCTAGGCCCTGGTCTACTCGGTACCTACTGTATGTACTAACGTTAGTTACCCATCTACTTAGTTTGCCCTAGTAGGTCCCTTTAGGTACCTACTTTTACGTACATGCAATGCCCACCGGGAACAAGATATCGACGACATGCTTGACTGTCAGTATTCCAGGGAGATGGCTGAGCTACTGATAGGACACGTAGAAGCAAAATCCACCCATCCATCCTTCAGCAATTGAGCACTGACTACATACGTGGTTAGTAGAGGTAAAAATAGGTTAAGTACTACTGCATCTTGACAGGGAAAGGCAGCGTCGAGAGTCTCGGCCAAAATCTTAAAGTTCAGGCCTCCCAACCGGGCGATGGAAGTTTTAGCAAAGCATCATCTACTCGTAGTGTCTCGCTCGCCGTCTGCACGATTATTCATTCACCACCACCACCAGCCCACCACCATCCCCCGGATGTCGATTTGTGTTTGTTTTGTCACTTTTGACGTAAAGATTACAAGTTCCAGCCGTCAAACAACGTGGTATAGACGCGACTCTTTTTACCTGGGGGACTATCCACGGAGCTAAGAAGATCACCTATGTACCTACCCGAAACCGAGTCAGCCTAGTTAGTTGTCTGAGAACGACTACTTACTACAGGTGATAGCGGACGCGAGAGGAAGAAGAAACTTGCTCTGCAAGCTGACGAGCGAAACGACTACCGACCACGGACCACGGACTAACACTCGTACGTGAGACACAACCTCCCCTTTGAAAAATGATGATTCCACCGAGCGACACCGACTACGCGCGCGCTCTCCTGGCCCATCCACCGTCTTCAGACCCCGCCGCCGTCCAGCACACCATCTCAGCTCTCTCGCTCCAGGCACACATCGAAGGGGGCTTCTTCGCCGAGACGGACCGAGACAAGCTCCTGGTGCCGAACCCGTTCCAGAACCTGCCGTTGCTCGCCAACGCGACGTCCCGGCAGAAGAAGGACCTGGACACCTCGGCCACCCGCAGCGCCAGCACCACCATCTTCTACCTCGTCGCCCCGACTAGCCCGGTGGGGTACTTTCATCGCAACCGCGCGAGGACGGTGCACACGCTGCATCGCGGGCGGGGGCGGTACGTGATCCTGCACGTCGACAGGCGTGACGACCAGGGCAGAGTCCCCGTCGAGTCGTTCGTCGTGGGCCAGGACGTAGAGCGCGGTGAGAAGTTGCAGTGGATCGTGGAAGGGGGGAAGTTCAAGGCCAGTTTTTTGTTGCCTGACACTGCTGCTGCTGCTGCTGCTACCACCACCGAGGCTGCCGAGACGGGAGTGAGTGAAAAGGGTCTCTTGATCTCGGAGACGGTCGTGCCTGGATTCGAGTACTCGGATCATGATTTCCTCACGGCAGAAGGAATGGTGGAGTATCTCGACCCCAAAGAAATCGAGGAACTGAGATGGTTGTTGAAACGAGGCGAGCAGGACAGATTGGATGAGGCGTTGAAGTCGAAGAAGAAATGAACCGAATGGGTGTCATGTTATGTTGGCGTGTGCAAGAGTCATCCATTGGAAAAAAGATAGGAGGGAACAGTGGTGGGATCACTCCTGAGTCCACCTCCACCTTCCATCTTCATCGTCATGGCATTGACCGCCAGCGTAAGTGAGAGTCATGGACAGCAAAAGTAAAAGTCTCGTTGGGATGAATCGAATTCAATTCGCACTCACTCACTCACTCATTCATCCATACATTTAGCCATGCATATATGGTACACATACATAGCGACGCGAGCATTATAGAGCCATCGGTAAGGGCTTCAGTAGATTCATTCATGTGCACATTCAGACACATCCTGATCTGCCTCACATCACACCACCCTCGTCTTCCCAACGCATACATTCACACACAATACACAATACACAGGCAAGGAGGGAGATCCGCCAATATACCTCGGTCATGCAAGGAATTCGTATCTGTATGTGATGTGTATGTGCATGTATGTGCGTGCGTGCGTGGGTACGTGTATGCATGGGTAATCACGGGTTATAACAATTCAACATCCCCCCTTTCCACTCCAGCCTTGACATCCCTCCATCTCACGATCCAAATCTCTCCCCCTCTCATTCTCAACTCTACAGTCGGCCCGTTATCCTCGTCGTTCTGATCATCATCATCATCAGCAGCAGCAGCAGCACCGGCGGCGGCGTTTTCAATATCGTCCTCGTTCCCCCACAGCTCCGCGAGACACCTCACCACGACGGCACTCCCCACGTCCGGTCCCTCCACCATGCTCACGCCGGCACTGACGTCGTCCAGCCTCCTCAACCCGGCGGGAAACGCGCTCAGGAAACTCGCGTCGTAAAACTCGCCCAGGAGCGCCTGGTGGTTCGCCACGAACTGCGCCTCGGCCGCGCTCAGGCACGCGGTCTTCCGCTCCGTCGTCAGTCGAAGGTAGTACGTCGCGTACTTTGTCAGCTTGGCCAGACGGACCCTCAAGAAACTCCGCACGAGGAACTGCGTGCGCCCGAGGTCCGTCTGTAGAATGCTCAAGACGAGATTGGAGTTTTGCATCCCACCACCAGAAACGGACGCTTGACCTCCTCCTCCTCCCACTCCGTCTCCTCCCACGCCCGCAGCCATGTCTTCGATCCGACTGATCTGGCTCTGCACCCGACTCATCACCCTGTAAAGCAGGTCCGTGGGGTACGGGAGCAAATCAGGCGCGCACCGCTCCGACGTCCACGCCCGGACAAGTAGCTGGTGGTCGGTGAATGTATCCGTGTCCGAGGCGCTGTGCGATAATGAGCCCGTCGCCGCCCCCGCAGCTGGTCGTGAGACGTCAGCTAGAATGTCAGATATGTCGAGATCCATGCTTATTTGTAGTGTCTATCTTCTTCGTCTCCCCTTCTCCCCTTTTGGCGCTGCTTCCTCCCCCCACCCAGGCTGCTGAGCACCTTTTTTTTTTAATATGGAGAAGGATCAACCACAGATCAAATGGTGGGGTGGAACTCCTCAATTGTCGTCTTGGTAATTGTCGGCTAGTAATTCCCGTCGGAGCTATAGTTGTTGTCGATCCTCAGAGCTCTCTTTGATGACGAACGTGAAAGAAATATCTCCTCTCGGGGGAGGGCGAATGCTGGCTGGCACCAAGCTAGCAAGACGAACGCTCGGAATCCGTCTTTCTCGAGAACGCGCGTCGTTTCGTGCGATTCCAATATCTCCCAGGCATAAAACCCTTCTGTTTCGTACACCGCTCGTCGCAAAATACACCCCGGTAGAGTACCTATTACATAGGTAATAGACGGAGTCCTTTTGCCCCCGGGGGAGGTTTGAAAACAAATGATTTTTGGAGATATGGTGAGATGGTCGTAGACCAACAAACCGATATGTGCGGTCGGGTCGGCGGCGACTTTTAAACAACTTTTGTATTTCTTCGAATAATCACAATTGAGGGACGCCCGTTCAGTGTCCTGCACTCTCGGTGATTGTAATTCGTCTTTCCTTCGGTATGGATGCTGTGTCTGCGTGGTAGAACAGTCGAGGTGGACGCAACACGGACGCGTCGAAAAGGAGAGCGATTCACAAAGTTAGACTCCCCCCTGTCTTGGCAACGGAGTGGAAGCCTCAGCCTTGCTATACCCATATACCGCCTCAACACCATCTACTCGCATCAGGGAGTCAACAGCTCGTGCACAACATCTACATTACTACTGTAGCTGACGAGAGAGTATTAATAATGAGCACTTAAGAAGTCAATTCTTATTGTAAGCATGGTGGCTTTCTGTTTTAAATCGATGCTACAACAGCCTGTCTGATCTGCTCATGACCAGGCTCCAAATCGATTGAGAAACACTAAATGTGTGCTCTTCAGCCCTGACGCCACGCTAATGCCCTTTGTGATGCCTGTAACATACATGCTCATTTGAATCATCATAACTGAACTCTCGCCTCATATCTTATCGGCAAGCCAAATTCTTCCCCTCTCTTCAAGCCATGTAGACGTATGAAGGTTGGGTTGGGTCGGGCCCACGTTCCAAAAATTCTCGGTCCATCAGCGACTCAATCCTCTTCTTGATCATGTTCACGTCCGGTTTAAATCGTGCCGATAGTTGTGCCAGTGTCTCCGTCATCAATTGTGAGTGGGAGAGATTCTTTCTCGACTTCATGATCCGAACAATTGCCGCGTCGATGACGTGCCCTCGTTCTTCGTCGGTTTTCTTCTGGGTGGCTCGACGTTCCTCACTGTTCTCAACCCGGTTACCTCCGCCAGACACCACACTGACCTTTATTTTAAGGTATTGGCTCGAGAAGCCCTCGTTAAAAGAGAATTTGTCACTCGGTTTAACCTCTTTATGTGGCGGGTCCTTCTTGAGCACTCTCCATTTGGCCACCAAAGACAGTGACTGCAAATTTCGGACTAGGTCGGCTTGAGGAATGTTTGTTTCGGCTTGAATTTGCTCACAGGTAAGGCATTCTCCAGAGGGCAAGTCGTTGAATAGCATCAAGATGACCATTGCGTACGTTGATACATTCAGCTCATATCGTCTAGTTTTGCCGTTGTTAGTAAAGGTTGCTCGTATATCCGCATCTCCAAGGTTCGGCACCCATTCCAGTCGCCGTCCGGTATGCTTGTCTAGGTAGAATTGCTCGAAACGTTGTCGGACTTGATCTACAGTTGATGGCCATTTGATCGTAGGTCGTTTCCTTGAGTCGTCATCGTCATCTTTCCTGATGGTTTCAAAGGGCCATGTCGTTGAAGTCAATACTCTACAATCCAGCTCCACCCGCTTGGGGTCTGGGTCTCCAAGTGAATTGACGTAAGTCTTGTACTGCGCACTGAGGTTGTCGGACAATTCTGTATCCCGGATGAGTGCTTCCAACTTCTGCGTGAATTGGTTGCCAATCTTCATCTTCATCTTGGAAAGCATCAGTCGCTCCATCTCTCGGCTGACGGACTTCTTCATCAATAATCGCTTGGCCATGTGTCTCTTGTAGTATCTCTCGAAGATGTCTTTGTTGGCGAGGTACTGAAGTAGTAATATGCCATTATCGAGAATGGCGTCGACTTCGGCATCCGTCTTGTCCTTTCCGCCACGCTTGAGGTATTCATCCAAGAAGAGTGACAAGTGCTCCGGACTTTGATCGTTAGCGTTGATAAAATCTTGAAATGATACCTCTAGAGCCTTCTCCATCACGACGTCCTTTCTGAATGCCTCAACCCAGAACCTATCGTATTTGTTTCTCAGCTCCAAAACTTGCTCAACCCAATTGATTGCGGCTTGGGTTTGTTGGCTCAAGGACTTTTCGGCTGGGGCTTTGCCGTCGGCAGGTCGCTGAGGCGGCTTCGCGGCGGGCTGTGCTTCGCTTATGACATTGGCTGCCTTATTAATATCCGAGCCTTGTTCAATAACTCGCTTCTGAAGAGCATCCCGCAATGCACCTTTTCTCTGGTCAACTCGAGCAATAAGATCATAAACGTTGGCTAAATCTTGGATCTTGTCGTTGTCCAACATATTCTTGACACCAGTGCCTTCCATGTTGATGACTTCTCGCATGTGCGCCTGGATTAGCTCTTGCTCCACCACAGACTTAATCTTCTGCTCGGTAGTTTGCGAGATGGTCTGTTTGCACCTCTCCTCTTCTTCCGACAACCTCCTTCTAGCGTGTGTGCAGAAGGTGCTCGCATCTGCCTCCGCAAGAAGTGCCTGACCTTCCGACTTGTAAAACTGACGACTGGCCTCGAGGAACTTGGGTTCAAAAGAAGTAAGGTATAGCTTTGTGGTTTCCTCTTCAGTGAAAGACTCGTACAGGCCTTCCAACATGTAACAACACTGTCGGACTAAAGAGCGGTCGATGACTTCGCCTTTTCGTTCCATTCTTATCATGTCGAGCAAAACGGTTTCGAGAAGAGACAGAGTGTCCAACGTGGCATCTTCGCTGAAGGGAGCTTTGAGTATTTCAAGTCGGAAGGTAGACATGCTTGCAGCATATATCGATGGTTTACCTCCATCGTGACTCAGATACTTGTCCATGTACATCATAACGTCGGTGATCATGCCCATTGACAGCGTATGGTGGTTGAAGGCGTCCTTAAGGGCTCGAGCAAAACGCTCGCCTGCGATTCTACGCTCATTGGAATCCCCCACTGTCGTCTGATCGACAAGGCCCACGGTGATCGAGGGGTTGACTAGCGATAGAATCTTGGTCCGAATGTTCTCCCGCAGCCAGACTTGCTCCAACTTGATCACCCGGTCATATAACAGATCTGCCTTCTTCTTTAAAACAAGCTTGTAGCACTGCCGAAATAATTCTTCGAAGGAAAGACCGGAAGCACTTTTGCCAAAGATTTGCGTAAAGGCCGTGGCGATGGTGTTCCAAGTAGATTCGAAGTCGACATCGCCTTGGTTCAGACCCTGCCGTAGACAAAGTTGTTAGCAATTGATTCTTCCAGGACTGGACGCGGGGCTGAAAAGAAGTTCCCTTCTGCAGGACCAGGTCGGCATGGCAGTGCCACGCTATCTGTGGGGTGAGGGAACGGACAGTAATCGAGCCATGATTCCTTTGAGAGTCGCTGCGACAGTCCGTCGGAATATGGTGATGAAGAGAGGAAAGATCGCAATACATACACGTCGAGGCGCCCTTATCTTTCCCGCTCTTCCTCTGGCCAGCATCGTGGCGGCGGTGCGTTGCCCGCACAAGACCTGTCTGAGGCTCCGGTATGAAAGAGCGTGGGGGAATCCAGACTGCGAGACAACGACGTCGCGAGACGATAGGGTTGCGAAGGAGAGTTTGTCTCACGAAGTGGGATGAGACGGGGGAGGAGTTGGTCTCATTGTCACCGGAATGAACAGAAGTGAAGGCGAACTGGACTGAGAGGCGAACAACCCATGGCAATGAAAGCCTTGGGGTGAATGTTCGGCGCAGCTGCGATTCGCTTCCCCGAACGGCTTTACTATTCGGGACGCTAGAAGTGCCAAGACTCGACAAGGCTGCGGCTAAATTGAGGCAAGGCTGAACTCCAATTGCGACTGCGCTTCGGAGAACAAACAACCCAGGCTCAAGAAAGAAAAACCGCCGCCTCCTCACTTTCCTCTGCCAGTCTGTGTATCCAGCAATATTGCGGTCAACGATCATGCAGTCATTCAACGCAATAGCCCGTCGGCTGATAACCAGCCGCAACGCCCCAAATCCTCTCAGACGGCAACTCCGCCTACAATCTCCACTGTCAAAACCCTCCTTCACGTCCAGAGCGCTTCTGACGACTCGTTACCCTTCCTCATCCTTCAAGCGACACAACTCTTCTCTCACCGTCCCTGGAGGACAGGCCCAGGCGCAACCATCAAACGATGCGCCAGCATATCATCTCAGCTTCACTTGCAAGCCTTGCCTACACCGGTCGACACATCGCATCACCAAGCAAGGTTACCACTATGGCACGGTGCTGGTGACTTGCCCTTCGTGCAAGAATCGCCACGTAATAGCAGATCATCTGAAAGTCTTTCTTGACACCAGCAAGACGTTAGAAGACATCCTCAAAGAGAAATTGGAAGCCGGGGAAGACTTCACCAAACTACTGAAGAAAGGGAAATTGGGCATCCGTCCTGGTGCTTTGGTTGGAAACGAGGGCGAGGAAGACCTAGAATTCTGGGAAGATGGCTCAGAAACCCAGCATAAACCTTTGGTCAACGAAGCATCTCCAACAGGAAAACCATCTGCAACTGACGACCAGATATACAACCCAAGATATAAGAAGACATGAACACTACTGGGTTTGACGATGCTTGGTTGCTTTCAGTGCGGATCAACTTGGATGGCACCGTACCGGCTGAAAATACGCAAGACCATCTGACTGTGGAAAGCGGAAGACTACGCCATTGATGGCAAAGTCCCTCCATTCAGCACAGGCTGTTCGATGACTTGACACGACTGAACGAACTTACTCGGATGGCATGAAACCATATTCAGTCTCATATCACTAGAGTGTAACTATTCTGGATGGATACAATGCTATCGCCAAATCGATTGCTTTGGGCCGTGACAACCACCGGTACTGTGTCTCCCTTCAGTATTCCACGCTACCATATGTATTTTCACCACCGAGGCCGATGAGGAAGCCAACCTCTGCGCTGTGGCTGAATAGAGATTTTATCTCAACTCTTGAGCAAAATAGCTCTTCTAACTCTTGTATTATATAGACGTAGATTAATGGTTATGAAATGCGCTACACACTCTGCTATAACTCTACACTACATGATGCTTGTTCTACTTTTTACTCTAAAAGCGAAGACCTTGGCTCGATATATAAGGGGGGATATCCTCTCGTGTCATCATTGTCAGACCAAATTTGTCTCGGCCTCATGCACCATTGAGCACGGTCTCGTTGAACAGATACACCCTTCCTTCCCATGGACTGAGATAGTCCCCGACCTCGTCGGCACTGCTCACGAGGAGCTCCTTGCGGGCGGCCCGAAGAGCAACGGGGTAGTGCATCGGTTGCTCCTCGTCGGAGAAGTTCAGAAAGACGAGGAGAGTGGCTCCGCCGTCGGGATGCTTCTTCGTAAAGGTGAAGACGTGCTGATCCCATTTGTCCCAGACGTCGAAGTCGCGACTGAAGATCATGAGCTCGGGGTGGTCCTTGCGCAGCTTGATCATCTTCTTCCAGAAGCTCAGCACGCTCCTCGGGTCGTCCAGCTGGTTCCCGACGTTGACGTTCTCGTAGTCGTCGTGGACCCTCATCCAGGGCTTGCCGGCGGTGAAGCCGGCGTTGGCGCTCGAGTCCCACTGCACCGGCAGCCTCGCATTGTCCCGCCCGACGAGCTGCAGGCCCCTGAGCGTCTTCTTCAGCCACAGCCGGTCGCCCTTGTGGTGGAGCAGGACCTCGTTGTAGGCGTTGATGCTGTCGACGTCGCGCAGCTCCTCGACCCCCCAGTGGATGGGGTAGTTGTACGTCCCGATCTCCTGGCCCTGGTACAGGAACATGGTGCCCGACAGGGTGCACATGAGGATGGCGAGCATCTTGGCGGCGCGCTCGCGGAACGCGGGGGCGTCCGTGGCAAAGCGCGAGAGACTGCGGCCCTGGTCGTGGTTCTCCAGGAACACCGTCGTCCAGGCGTCGGTGCCGCGGAGGAGGTCCTGCGCCTTGCGGACGGCGTCCTTGAACTGCGGCAGCGTGTGTCGGTGCGCGTGGTGTTTCTTGCCTCCTTCGTTGGTCGTGGTGCCGAGGTTGACAACGTCAAAGTCGAAGACGCAGTTGTATTCTCTCCGCGCCGCCGACACGTACGCCATGACCTCGTCAGCGCCGGTGTGTGGGAGTTCGCCGACCATGAGGATGTCGCCGTACTGGTCGAGCACGCGCTCGCGTAGTTCCTGGAGGAACTCGTGCATACGGGGCCCGTTGACGAAGTATTGGAAAGCCACTTGGCAGTCTTCACTGGGGTTGACGACCGGCGCGTCTGGGTAGCTTGTGTCTTTGGAGTAGAGATTCGCCGTGTCGACGCGGAACCCGTCGATGCCCTTGTCCAACCAGAATTTGACGGCTGATGAGTAGATTGCCGACCGGGTCTCTTCGTTCTCCCAGTTCAGGTCCGGCTGTCCTACGGCAAACAGGTGGAGGTAGTACTGGTCGCGTTCGGGGACGTATTCCCATGCGCTGCCGCCGAAGATCGAGGCCCAGTTGTTGGGCGGCCGGCGTTGGCCATCGACTACCTTTGGATCACGCCAGATGTACCAGTCTGCCTTCGGGTTGGTTTTGTCTCTGCGTGACTCGAGGAACCAGGCGTGCTCGTCACTCGTGTGGTTCACGACCAGATCCAGGATCAGTTTTATGTCGAGGTCGTGGCATGATTTGATTAGGTTGTCCATGTCGGACATTGTGCCGTAAGGAGGATAGATGTCCTCGTAGTTGGAAATGTCGTAGCCCATGTCCTTCTGTGGCGAGTCGAACATTGGAGATAGCCAGATGGTTTCAACGCCCAGGTCTTTCAGGTATGGAAGTGTGCTGATTATGCCAGGGATGTCCCCCATGCCATCGCCGTTGCTGTCCTTGTATGATGCCGGCCATATCTGGTAGCAGGTACTGGCTTTCCACCAGTTTGGCTTTGACTCAGACATAATGTTGGATTTTCACTTAGGGCGAGAAAGAAGCGCGGCGTCAATACCTCGACGACGGGGAGAACACACAGACACACCCACTCTCTGTCTCTGCATACAAAGTTTTGAGAGAAGTACAAGTAGCTCGTCCAAGGATCTGATCCCGCTTTATTCGACAACATCACCCCTTACCCCGGCTTCCCATAGACCTCGTCTCCAACGGCCATCACGGGATCGATAATCCTGCTTGTAACTCGGCCAGAGGTACGAATAGGGTAGGCGGCCCTATCATATCACGGTTGATCTGCGGTCGTTAACGACGCCAACCCGCGAGAACTGCCTGTTCATTCGCCTGGAGAAGCTCCTGCGACGTAGAGAGAGTGGTCAGTTTGAGCGCATAATTGTCCGATACGTGAGCATTTCGCCGAGGATATGGCCGGGCACAAGGCTGTGCCTCGGCTCGGGAAAACTACGGTTCCGAGATGAAGAAAAAGTCGAGCAGACAAGATACAGTGCCTACGTCCAGGCGGGTATCCGCGCCGGGTACCGTATGCAGCTTCCTGAATTCATCCCAGGATGCATGGTTCCATTTGGAAAAGGATTCCAAGCGCGGTTGCAAAAATCGATGACGTTCAATGCCAGCTTGCAGCTGGTGTGGGACGACACTAGGTGCAGTAGTTGCAATAGTTCTCTTGTTCGGGCATCCCTGCTGGGATTCAGAATGCGATCAAGAAAAGATCGGATTCGCTTAGGCAAAAGCGTTAGGATGGTGATGCATAGCATTCGATACTATCGGGGCACCTGCATTTGTCGTCTCGACAGGGATTCCTTTTCGGGCTGTGGCAGTGCCGATTGAAATGCAGCCAAACAGCCCCGTCGAACCTTGGCCCAGGCCCTTCTGCACCAACGTTGCCGGGCCGCGATGGCCAGCCAAGAGACAGTGGCGGGGGAATCTCTGTACACGGTTTGTCGCGCAGGTGGGAGCATTGTGGCAGGCCCTACACTCCGTCCTTTGCAAAGGTACGGGGCCCTGTAAGTCTGTAAATTTTCGTCTCGGATGTGGGCAGCCTGTTCTGGATGTTGCTCCTTTACGGACACCCAAGCAACGAAAACAGGAGGACAGGCGTCTGGCCAGGTACGAATGCGGATACACGGACAGCTCTGCTAACTGCTAGGTGCATACGGCTTGCAGCTCTCTGCTTCGCTTAGACATGCGACTAAATGTCTCACAATAGCCGCCTTTGGCTGTCGCTGGGAAAAGTTCTTCCCACGTTGAAAACAGATCGTGATCGATCGAAGCGATTATTGAAATCTGGCATGACATGATGAAACTTGAAGGCTGGTGGAGGAAGAAGAAGACTCCTCGTTTACGCGTCTCGCGTCGAAGGCCCGATGGGGACTGCACGTGATATTCTGCGACAGTCGGAACTAGTACGACCAGCCACATCTTCCCCCCTGTTCCCAGGACAGCCAGAGATGGGCAATTGCACATCCCCATGATTGTTCCTACGACAACCTAAATTACTGTTTCTGACCTCAGCTGACTTCGAGTGTTGATGACGAGTGTCTGTTTCCCTCCCTGGATACTCCCTGTTGGAATTAGTCAAAGGCTGAATGTGAGGAACCTGGCTCCGCGGTCGTTCTTCATCGCGTAGCTGACCCTTGACATCAAGGAGTCGAGAGTGCCTTCCCATCGACAAACCGAAAAGTTTGTCTACAGATTAATAATGGTGGCCTCGCTATGGGAAAGCTTCAGGATTGTGCGGGGGCTATGTCGCTTCACAGGGCGTTAAGTTTGATGGCTCAAGTTCACATGGTTCTTTCATATTCCTGCTTCAGGGTTCACGAGAGGCCAGGCCACAAGGATCACATTTCCTTTGTGTTGATCCCTGCCTGCTAGGCAAATCACTCTACGAGTACTTTTACCAACGTATAACCCAAAGTGCATACATTGAGGCCCTTCGTATTGGGCCTCAATTGTGGGGAAGCGCAGAATTCACAGGCTTCATAATCCATGACAAGTCGATAGGCGAATTTCAAGTTCAAGTGTTGCATGTTGTTGGCTGCCGAGTAGCCGAAAAATAATAATTGGAGGAATGACTGCTTATTCAATCGAACCTGATCATCTGGGTTCTAGTTGCAGTGCATTCTTGTGCGATCCAGCAAGGTCCCCCCTTGTTCTGAACGTGGGCCCCCTGCTCAATAGCGTAACAGATAATCTGGTCGATTCGACAAGGAGTAGGCCCGTTGCCGTGGTTGCGCTAACGTGTTCGAGGAGAGGTGAACAGATACAGCATGGCAAGAATCCCGGGATTCCTGCAAGGCCTTCGCAGGTTCCGGCCGGAAGACGGTGTGGCGATGAACCTAGCTGCTGCTATCCTCAGTCCCTGAAGCCGCAAGGGCTGGGCTTTTTGTGGAGGATACGCATGTATTCTCCAGTGTGCCGCATCGTTGAACTAAATCGCCCCCTTCTCAAGACCAGGAGTAAGAACTGTCGTCCGAGTCGAAGAGTAGTGTGGAAGAGAAGCGGGAGGCGTCACTCCTGGATTAGGGATGGGAGGCATGTGCTGCTATCGTATGTCATTGTAGCAAAGTCCTTCAGTTCAACCCTCCAGTTCGAAACCCGACAGCAGCGGATGCTTACGTAGAACGGGAGGGGTATGAGTAGACTGAGGTTTGGAGACTTCATCAGCTGAGATAACGAAAAGGCTGGACTCAACCTTAACTCTGTCCCTATAGTACGTGAAAAGTGGGCCAGGCCAACCAGAGGCCGGACTGACTGAGGTCATCGACGAACTTGAGGTGGATGTGTATAAGTTCGTGGGTCATTTAGTTGTATTGCGCGATCAGCGGAGCGCCTGGGGGCGTAAGGTACGTGATAATGAGTTATGGAACTGAACTGAAGCTTGGTGTGACTTTTTCAGGGTCTGGGAATGATTAAGATCAGGGAAACCGACTGTGCCCAGCCGTGAGTCTCATAACAAATGCCAAGACCTTGCGGGCAGGACGGGAAGCCATTCAACCAGCAGTTGCTGCTTCACAATTAAGCTTAGAGATAGAGCTAGGCCAGGGGGAGTCTAGCGCCACACTCTATTTAGATCGCGTCCCTCGCCTCCACTTCTTACAGCTCTCAGTGAGGAATTTATACTGGGACTTCTCGCCTCGGCCAATGCCATCCGCAGCCGAACGGCCCGCTAAGCGCTGTGGACTTGGTCGAGCATACTCCGTACAAGACGTGCAGGTTACCCTTCCGTTCGCCCACCACCAAGTTCGAAAGGTAGGTAAGCACCCAACCTGTGATGCTAGTTCGCAGGCTGCACATAACTGACCCTCCATAGCTTGCAGTAATGTCCGTGAGGTGGATGTAGGATTCTCGTTCAGCATTTTGCAGAATGACTCTGTCCCTGCAGTGAGCGATAGGACAAACACACCTAGCTGAGGAGCTGGCACAACGATTGCGCAAGGTAGTTTTCTCTGGAGAAGATATCCATTGAAATATGGTGCTCCCCGATATCTCATTCCTCAGGAACTGGTGGGCCAGCCAGAAGCAATGTCTCGTGCATACGTATTGTACAAGGCGAAGCGGGCGGAACGCTTTCCCCCCGCTTTACACTTGGACTGCCTAGCAAATGAAAGTGCCCTGCGTTGGTGACGATGATTACTTTACGAATCTTCCCTGCGTTCACGGACACTTGTCCACACACGCACTGCACCAATGGTGAATCGAGTCCCCTCGTCAGCATGTGCCTGGACAAGGTTTACATGAAGGCGGGACAAAGCTGGAAAGCGGGCTCAACGGAGCCACTCAAACCACCGTATTTTTTGTTCGGATGCCATCCGAACATCCTTGCTGACCAACCCCTGCCTCAGTTTCGGCCCACCAAGAAATTGCCCATCTAAACACGTCCTTTGTGGCTGTCCGCATTAACTCTTTCGGTTCTAGAGCGTTGCCCACATTTCCCAACAGAGGCAGAAATCGCTTCGACCGGATGTAGCCACTGCAGCTACTGTATGTGCTCGAGTTTGCACGGGCGGTGAGTAGTGTTTCGAGGATGCAGCATGGCAAGAAGAGCTGACTGGTTTTGCAGGGTCGTGCTAGAGTGCTGGAATCCCCTTTCCCGCCTGCCTTTGGTCAGCAAACGAAATATCCGCGACAAGTGTGCAGTCTAGTCGAGAGCCAGGCGTTCCAACAGTCCCGGATTGGATGCAGCTGCCCTCGTCCTGATAAGACAAGATCCTGGGGTACAGATGTCCGTACAGAACTAGCAGCTAAGGGCGCAACCAGGAAGCCCTGGCGCCAAGGCCTCATCAGAACGGTTATACCCTGTAGAGGGCTTATTGTCCTTCATGACCCAACGAAGATCCAACCTCGGCATGCCACCGCCCACAGTTTGTCATCGAATCATGTCCCTGGAGTGCGCTGATCCAGGATGAACCACCCGGAAACCCCTCACAGGCTCAAACAGATCTCGGTGTCTTGCAGAAACTATTCGAGATCATGCATAATAAGCTAGATTAGCAAGGGCACACCTCGTACGACTGTATCTTTCGCGACAAAGACCGTAGGATCGCGCCACAACTCACGCGTTATGTCAAGTCACCATTCTCATGACATGGAGAAGTCTTTCCCGATACTATCGCCTCTGTTGCCCAGGTGCACCTACGATAACTTGGGATCGCCGATCTGCACCCCGATCCATCGGGTGTGGCGTAGTTTCCCAAAACTAGATTACGGCCCAGGCCTGGTCGCCGCATAACGCCATCAGGCGACTGTGGATGTGCGGTTAAGTCCCCAGCTTAAGACTTGCCAGGAAGGCCCAGGTTGTTCTGTGGCCGGCCGTACCGATTTTGGGTGCAGTGGGCTCGGACAATGCTGCATTGAGATAGCTGCATCCTCCTTCAGTCTCAAAACGATTTCGGCAGAGCCATCTGGAACAGTCGCGAGACTCGAAAAGGCAGCCGAGACTCATTCTCGAAGGAAGCCAACAATTGTATGACGATTTCAGAGGTCCCCAAACGATGCAGCCATGGCGACTAGTCACAACCGAAGTGATCCTGAAAAATCACCTGTTGTGCCACCCGATGTATGGCCTATAGGCTGCGTATTAGCGGGATGCTCTGCCGTTGGAGGCGCAACCACCATAATTGATAGAGGGCGAAGCCTTGAATCGCATCGCGTCGCCAGACATCTGTTCCCGAGGTGCGCGCATCTTTGCGCCCCTATTCCCGTCCGTGCCTGTCTGCGGTAATTTGCTGCGCTGTTCTTCTGCCGTGAGCAAGGACCGGTCAATGCTCCTTGAAACTGGCAGCCGCTGTCTGTCTCTTCGAACTTGCCCGATCCAAGGTGGCAGGGGAGCCAAACGGGGACGGCGCCAGCTGTAAGGCGAATGCAGGCACAGCGTCAGTGTATTCCACATCTCCATCTAGGCTACTCCAGAAAGAGGACTGCAGGACCCACACCACCCAAGCAGAGACATGCTACGAGTAAAATGGTCCCTGACTATCTCAGCAATGCAAATGTGGTATAACACGGTTGGCGGATAGCTTGGAATCTGGTGGAGACCACGCCACCACTGCAAAGCAGTCCATAATACGACTCGACCTACTCGAAAGCCTACACAGCGCGCAGTAGAGGTAGGGCTAACGTATGAATTTTGTGCATGTCTGCCCCACACGCCCTCCATCCTTGCCTCTTTCATATACCTTGCGCTGGCGAACTCGGTCGGATTTGGCATGGTATGAAGTGTCGACGTATTGATCCTGCAATGCCAGCTTCGGGTTGCCCATCAGTGTCTCGATCTTTTGACAGACGCGATATCAAGGGCTCCATTCTATCTTGGGACTCCTTCTTTGTCTTTTGTTTTTGTCTTTTGCGCACTGTCAATGCACTGTCAACCTCCCTCAAAGACTCCTAGACTTTAGTTCTCCTGCAGCTCGACAGGTGCACAGAGCTCTTTCTCCACAGTATCAGAGTGATTGGCGGACAGACGTCGCGCAACAAGTGTGAACAGACCTGGGACGTGCAGACCCGCTTGTATCGCAAGTGAATATCTATCCTCGACTCTGCCCTTCTCTGGGATCTCATTCATCACGCTCGACCATCACATTCACTGTCATCTTCTATCAAAGTCATTCCTTCAAAACATGGACCACTACGGCCAAACAGCTGCCAGACCTTATCCTTCTCACAATCAGCCAGTGCCCTCTCAACCAAGGCTCGAGATACCTCAGCCTGAGCAACAGCTCCCATCTATTCGAGAAGTACGTTGTCCTGACGACGAAGAGACAATACAATGCTCGTTACTTACATGAGGATTAGGTCATTCCTCCTCCGCGCGGGAACACTCTCGAGTCCAACGCTCAAGAAGTGCCATCCTCACGGCCCATGGCAGTATCATATCTCAGCTCGCAGCCCACCACCGGCATGAGTGTCGCCGCAGTCCCAGCACCAGCTCAACCACATTCCAGTCCCATGGCGTACCCAGCAGACAACTCCAGCCACATCCAGATGAACGGACTTCCCCCTTCTCTCCAGTTGCAAACACCCGCCAGAACACCAGCAGAGTACAGCTCTCCCTGGTCGACGTCTTCAACATATACGGATCCAGTTCCTATGAGCGCCGGCCCTACAGTGCCGGCTCAGTTCGGGATGGCTCAGCCTATGATCCCTTCGGATACCCAGGACAGCGTATACTCTTCGGCCTATTCGATGCCTCGACAGGCCCATGAGAGCCCCGACTCATATCAGCGATGGAGGACCCCCGAAGTCCAGTCTACTCCTCGGTATAATCCGTACATGGCGATGGATCGTTCATACCAATCGGTGGACTTTAACAGATATGGCCAACCTTACGATCAATACCGGAGCCCTATGGGATATGATGGAGGCTACCGCTCAGTCGATACCTCACCATACCATGTCAAGTACGGCCAGTTGTTGTCCTATCCCATGATGGGATATCCCTCTCACGCGGGTGGCCGAAGACGCCGGGGCAATCTACCAAAGCCAATCACCGACATTCTTCGCCTGTGGCTCCAAGACCATCTGGACCATCCCTATCCCAGCGATGAACAGAAACAGATCTTCATCCAACGAACCGGTTTGACCATCAGCCAGGTGAGCTCTCTTTTACCCTCCCGGTCCGGTGAATATTTGCTAACAAATTCGTCAGATTAGCAATTGGTTTATCAACGCCCGTCGTCGGCAGCTACCAGCACTTAAACTCAAACGCGAGAGGGCGAAGACCCTACAAAGCCGCGCTTGAAACTGCATGATTTTGATTTACGAGGGCAACGGCGAACAACAAGGAATTAAACGGCCCAAATACACAAGACTCGTTGGATGTTCATAACAGGGTTGGTTTTTACTTCGGACGATTTCTTCTTACGATTATGGCACGAGATATACTACACGCAACGGGAAGCGGGATGGGATATTTACTTCAAAACCGGGGGTCATGGCCACCGTGTACAACCACCAAACAGGATCTTACATGACTCACAGTATATACCCGAATTTTGAATTGGGGAGAACTATTACTCAAGGACGAGATTTGTGACGAATCATGGTTTTTGATATTATCAGAACATGAGTGGTGCATAGCTTCCCACCACCACCACCACCACCACCACCACCAGCAGCAAGATGCATTGGAATAAGGATCAGGCAAATCTATCAGTCAGTCTAGCATTACAATCGACTCTGTACAATACAATAGCACATCAGAATTCAGCACATCGGACTTTCTGCCCTTTGTCAAGAAAAGAGTGAGTAACGGGAGCGCCGTCCGTTGGGGGAGCTCTCTTTTCCGACGATCGCATTCTTCTGATGCAAGTATTGCCGGCCGTTTAGCCCGCTGGTGTTGATACCGTTGCCTCAGTCCAAGCATAACTAGTTCGTGGTAGCATACGGAGTTAGCCTAGCACAACGACCATAGCAGAGACTCGGTACTGGTGGCGCGTTAAGCGACATACGTGCTGCTCACACCACCAACCCGCTCCGACGAGTCACGACAGGAGGGGAGCATAGCAGAGCAGCAGCATTCGTTCGCATGAGGTCACAAAGTCAGACTGAGGCCTCCAAAAGCAGGTCAAGTGGCCTTTCAAACCCCTGCACTTGCAGACGCCAATTGCGGGCTGCTAGCACCAGCGGCCTCTCGCTTATCGATGCCATGGCAAACGAACGACAGAAAGGGCAGCCAGGGTCCGACAGGGGTGCTGAATGCAGAGAAGAAAGCGGCAGACTTCTTGCAGAGTTCGACCGACGAGGTCGTCGACTTTCTTTGACTTCTGGGCCAACTTGAATAGCTTGCAGCAAACGATGGAATGACTAAAGACTCGGATCGTCGTCGTTGACCGAAAACTGACCCTCTCCACAATGGATGCCTCGACAGGGTCCCTCGTCCCTCGTCCCTCGCTTCCTCCCTCCCAAGCCCTTCCCATCAGCCACCAGCCATCCGTCCCTCCATCAACCCGTTTCCTCCATGTCCTAATCCGTCTCCCGCATGACACCATGAATTCAGATCTGCTGCCGCAAACTCCCCCTGCTCAATCTGGACCCTAATCCAGGGTCTGGTCGTACTTTGCGCTGAGGGTCGCCGGTGCGGACACCTCCGCCGCGACATCAGCGGCAAACGACCTCACCCAGCAGGAAAAATCCCTCGATCAAGCCACGCTGTACATGCATTGTACTCGACGGGTCCCCCAAGCGTCAGCACAGTGCCCAAACCTCGACGCCTCCTCCACCGTGGTGCATTATGGGCTCGAGTGTCGCTCACAATTCGAGCGAGTGTGCGCCGGGGTCCGGGAGGAGACCTGCGGCAAGAAGAGGGGACGCCGCCGGTGCTGTCAAGATGCAAGTCAGACTTAGTAGCTGCGTCGTTGTTTGACAGCCACCAAGATAACGCCAGGCGCCTTCTTCAAGCGCCCCCCCTCCCCAGGTCAAGGCTAAAAGCTAATTGTGGACCACGTTGCCGGAGAGGGCGCGACGCTATCCACCCACTAGGCTTTCCCTATTCTTGATCATCGTCTCCTCACTCCAGCAGACCGCGGAAGTCTTTTACGAGGACAAAATCACCATCAGGTCAGATATGCGTAACTAATGTCGAGCGGCAACGCGGTGGTGGGTGCAGCTGTCAAGACGCAGGCCACTATCGTTCTACGTGTGTGGCTTTAGTGGCCCTGTGAGCTGCACGATCTCTTCGAGTTGCCTCTGTTTGCATCATCGCTACCATCCATCGTACCTTTAGCAGCATCGCCCGCGGTTCCCCTCCAGCACCGTGGCCGAATATGCCGGCAGTCCACACCCTCATCTCGATGCTACTCGCCTCCGCCGACCTTGGCGTCTAGCCCCTGTCGTGCTTTATTCGGCCAGTCTCGCCCTTTTTCGGTACGACGGTTCCCAAGAGGTCTTGCTGGGGTGTTCGCAACCCCAGTCCATACTAGGACTGGATCAGACGGCATCTTTGACATCTTGGAAGGTGTGGTGTTTTATGCAGGAACACTGTCTTCTTTGCTAAGTTGAAGGCTCTGAAGGCGCTGCCATTTCGACACGACTCAGATATGGTGGAGAGAGGACTTTTGCCCTGTCGACGGGAGGACGCGCGCTGTGTGTCCTTGAAAGTATGCGTGTGAGTCTGTGCCTGCTTTCTGAAGGCCATGGGACAGCTTTCAGGGGTCTTCCCTTCCCATGCCCACTCCCTCCCATCCTCTTCGATCGCGTACCTGAGTCACTCAAGTCAGTCAGCTTTCAGTGTCTGTGTCTCTGTCGCGGTGGATTGCTGCGCTCCCGTCCTAGTCAGGGACGCCCGGGGCTCACAGACCACCGCCCGCTGCCAATTGCAGTTGGGAACAATGTCAAGATCTGACCGTTCTTCAGCAGGCCCGTGTCGAACGTCAACAACCCCGAAGCACCCCTTCCCGGTTTTGACTCTTGCATGTTGACATGTCTGTGCGAGCTGTCGTCGTCCGTCTGAAGAGATTGCAGTCTGAGCGCTCTGATCAGCGAGACCTCCTTCCTCACAACTCTGCGCTCGAGCCAGCGCGTAATTTTCGCGCAGCAGCAGTGGACTAGCATTATTGTGCCTTGTCCTTTGAGAGGTGAGTGAAATCTATACGTGGGCTGATCGACCTCAAGGCCAGTGCCGTTCCGTTTTGTGGTGGCGAGGATGATTGCGTCGTCTGACGACTCACAACCCCCTCTCGTCGATCTCTGTAGAGGATGTCCCTGAGACTTTCCTTACTTTCCGTGGCGAGAAATTGGCGTTGATCTCGCCACCTCTTGCCATTGATTCCGGTCATCGGCAGGAAACTCACAATCTACCCAAACCAGAGTGCAACATCGGGCTCCTAAATCGAGATCTGAGAGTGAGTTGTTGTTTTGTTGTCGTGTCGCGACCAGAACACGCTGGTTCTGGAGAAGGGGCAAATGTCCAGAACCCTTTTCATTATCAGGGTCTTTTGGAAGCCCACGTCTTTGATGGCATGGATCATCCTCCTGCCTCCGTCAACACCCTCTACAGGACCATGCTCTGACCAGATTCTGTCTTTTCGCAGGGCGGCAGAGTCAAAAGTCAACCATGAGGATGAGGGCGGGAAGGGATCGCGGGAGACACCACGTCAGCTGTGCTGTCGCCACCGTGCTGCCCGTGACGGACTTTTAGGTTTTCCCTGTGTCTGTGTCTCTCTGTCTCTCTCTTGAAGAGGTTCCTCGACCTTGGACGTTTTGACCAGCACCCTCAAGACACCTCCCGCAGAATGACGGACTCGGAGAAAGTCATGTCTGAAGTGTGAGTGACATGGTCTCCTCCTGTGACTTGGGCCTGACCGTGATCTCTGTCTGACACTGATCCCCGTGACTTGAGACACTGAAAGCAACATCTCACACGCCAGTCGAGGGCACGAGTGTATGTGATTTTCCCGTGGCATTTTTGTCGGTTCTCCTCCCCTTCTGCTGTACGCAGTACGGGTACTTACTCACACTATAAGCATGTCATTTCCTTTCCCCAACTGTGCTCCCTTCAGTTATGTCGAACGTCCATGTCGATGTCGAGTGTCGCTATCACGGGTACATACCGTGCGTCTAAGATCTGAAAGCTGTGTTAAAGATCTTCCCGAGACGTTTCTTGTCCCTTGTCTCTCTGTCTATGTCTGTGTCTGTGTCTGTGTCTCGTTCTCGCACATACCTCAAATCTCTCAGTCAACCTGTCTACTCTATCTGGTTCGGAGGTTTCTTTTCTTCTTAGTTTTTGGTTTGCCTTCTTACCCTCGCTGTACGTTTAACGTTTGAAGTACGCATTGAACACTTATGGTGACTTGTCAACAGATCTGACTTTCACAGTCTATAAGGCTCCAATCTCGCCTGCAGTTCAAGCAAGCCTTGTAGCACATAGACTTTTACGCATGCCTTGGTGGCTGGCTGAGCTGTGTTTGAGTTTTTTTATCTACTGGGTACAATATTTTTGCACGTGCTAATCTGGGAAATACAGGGTACAAGAACCAGAGATTTGAAATGCCATAATTTCAAAATAAAAAGCCTTAAAAATCGAGGTTTCAGAATATGAAGAACGGTTTACGTGCATGATGCACGGTACAATGATGATTCATGCATTATGCATCTATCCATACGAGGACAAGGGGTTGTGGTTGTGGCGGTGGTGGTGGCCAGACCCGTCCAAACCAAATTGAAAAGTGTAAAGTAAATGTAGCTGTGGTACTCCGTAACATCTACCCGTGGGAACAACATGGTGAGGTCAGTACTTCTGTACGGAGTACCCCTACTACTACAAAGGGACGGGACAGACGAAATAACAAGTACGGTGACGGAACTTCCCCTTGGCCACCCGGTCTTGCAACTCGTATAAACCCCGTACTCGCATCCCAGCCCTGATTATTAAATTGTTGGTGGTGGAGACCTTTTTCTAAACGAAAACCTTACGAGGGAATTGAGGCGCAGGGTATCAAGACGGTGGTGGTGGTGTGGTCGTATTATTGTGATCGTATCGTGATCGAGATCGTGATCGAGATCGTGATCTCGATCTTGACGCTGATTCCCTCCCCCCCCCCCGGACCTAGATGGGAAACTACAAGAGTCCGGAGTGGTAATGGGACAAAAGCTGAAGAAAAAAAAGCATAAAAGTCCATTCCCACTGCCTATCTGGGTAGACGAAGTCGTAGTTTTGCCTTCTGGGAAACTTCTGATACCCCCTCCCCGGAGCACCCCCACCCCTTTCCCCGGGGGTAAGACACACGAAGTTCCTTGTTTACCCCTTCTTTCTACAGCTTCCCTTTGTGGTGGCGGAGGCGAGTCATGGTTGTGAGAGGCTTTAAAAAAAATTTGGAGAGGGGAACACACACACACAGAGAGAGGAGGGGGGGGAAGCAAAGAGGGTCCGACAGAGACAGTGTGTATGTGTATACGTGTGGCACGCAAGTGACACAAACTTCCTGCCGCTGCGATGTATAATGTAATGCAAATGCGTACACTGTACCAAAGAACCAAAGTGTCACCTTGGATAACTTTCTGACCTTCAAACCTCTCCTGTATCTAGATGTCTGACTCCCACAGTACAACCGTGAGTTTCCGTTAGCTACCAAAAAAAAAAGCAATCTTCGGTCTCGCCGGGACTGAAAATCCTGGATACGAGTCGAGTCAAAGGAAAAAAGTACAGACGGGTGGCTGGGTAATCCGTACAATCGACTTATGGGTAGCCGGTATATACGCCACGCGAGATGTAGGTATTGTACAATACATACGACGGATAGGGTAGTGTTTGACATAGGTTAAAGACAGGTAAGAAAGATACTTCACCACGGCAATCGGTGCACCGTGGAAGACCGAGCGAGCGAGTTTTGTCGTCTCGTCCCTTTCCACGAGGGGAAAAAAAAGGCAAATAAACCGTGTTGCCCTTCCCATTTTGTTTTTTCAAGGCAAAACAAGCGAGCGGTTCAGCTGGAAGGAAAACTCTAAACTCCCTCGTATCGAGATCGAGATCGAGATGAGTGAGACTGCGAGACTAGTTACAATATATATATACAGTATATATTTATCTGGAACCCTCCGGAAAGTTTCGTAGAGGAAGTAAATTTGTAATGGCGCTTTTGACGCCACGGCGTGGAATAGTATCTCCACCCGCCCTGCACCTACACCCTCGTATACAAACTTTTTCATCTACCTACTACTGTGCGAGCACATCAGCAGGTGCTGCGCTTGTGGCGGGTGTGGAGGGTCTGTCAACGGTGCCATCTACTTTTGGTCGTTCCACCCTGTACATAGGCACATACGAGTAAAACACGACAAGGGAGGCCTTGTCATGGGTGGTTTGCGGATGGATGTAAATGGCCAGGCAAACCCAGAGACTAAAGAGCGAAAGTGAAATGCCCAAAAACGGTAAAATACCCGAAAGAGAAAAGATCGTCGTCGTCGTCGTTGTCGACGTCGACGTCGCCGCCGTCGTCTCGTCATCACTTTACATGACAACATATGCCCAGAGTGGGGTCAGTAGCGGCCGAGCAGCATACGAAACGAACATTTTGTCTGTTCGGCGCAGACATCTTACGGTACCTGTACACGTATCAGGGAAAGTCAACTGGAATTCACAGCTTCAGACGTCGTTGCTTGCAAGGGTGGGATGCAGGTCACCAATGGGGTATGTGAAATTCCAAAAGACCAAACGAGAAAAACCAATTAGCAAAACATTCTCGAGCCCGACTCATTTCCAACTTCGATGCTCAAGGGATGATAATGATGCTACATTCATTACCCAACTAGAGACAGTAGACAGTAGACTCTTACTCAAGTTAGGTCATTCAATCGTCTACCTATCTACCTACCTACATGGCTGCCTGTGTATTATTACAACACGTTGTGGTATTCCCCCCCCCCAAAAAAGACCGTCCCTCGGCACCAGTCTCGTCAGTTTGTACCTGTTCGGTATCAAACACAGGCCGTTTCATGCGCCGTCCCAAAACGAATGTTGAATGGTTTAACAAGTGTTACACACTCAGTAACCCAGTAACCAAGTACCCCCAACCCAGTACTCCTAGCCCGGTACTCCGTAGCCTCCCTCAAAAAAGCCCTCAATATTACTCGTATAGTGTTCATTCTCAATCCACTGAGTCCTTTCCCCCTGCTCGACGGATTCATCAGAGCTGGCTCCCTTATCCATCCACGAGATACTTGATCGTCTTCCGTGGCACCCTTCGAGCACAGTCCTTGTCTGACTTCCATCGCATAAAGACGCAACAGAACGGGTACAAGACTGTGTTGATCGCGCACCATGCGAACAACACACCAAAGTTGAGGCCGATGCGGCTATGGAGGTCAAACAAGAGGATGCGGGTGGCTTTGACAATGTGGTAAAGGGGCCAGACGTAGCCGAATCGGAAGAACTTGGGCGCCAATGAGATTGTGTAGAACGATGTTGAAACGTTGGTGATTACCCAGAATATCAGCCAGCTATATGTGGTGTTGCATGTGTTAGTTTGGGGCTCTATCTCTCTCCCTCTCCACCACGCTCAGCTTGATCAAAAAGTCTTGGTTCGTGGAAAGGAAGAGATGTCAGGTCGCGAGGAGGACGAAACAAGAACAACGAAAGTAGCACTTACAACGCCGTCCAGGGCTGTCCAATAATCATAGACACATTCTCACTCGCCAGCCCTAATGCATACATGCCCACCCAATTCAACATCCAGTACACCACAAATGTACCTTTGCCAAATGCGCCATGGCGGATGACGGTTCCCGTCTCGCTATGAGGCGAGGAGTTGGAGGAGAACGGGATCTGGAACGCCAGGCTCACAAGGGAATACGACAGCGACATCAAGCAGTAGGTACATGTCGTGGCGAACAAGCGGATCAAGACGAGTTGCCAAAAGTGGACGGACGGGTGGCCTCGAGGAATCAAAAATTCCGTGTACACTGGCAGGAAGAAGGAGAAGCTAAAGAAAGCCATGATTATGAGGTAGATGAGGCCGATCGTGACCGCGGGGGTGACTTGGTAGGGCTCGAACGGACGCAAGTCGACCGTGGAAAAGCCAATTGCTGGATTCAGCGCCTGCGGAGAGCGAGAGTACGTTGTCGACGAGAGACTGGAATTGCTGAGGATGCTGGGGATCCATTGTTCGGCGAATATTGATGCCGCAGACGTTTGAAACTGAGAGAGTAGAGGCATGATATACTCGGTGTATGCCTTCTGGTCTCGGGCGGAGTTGACGATGAAATGGCCTGCGCCAAGAGGGTCGTAGGTTTGATTTCCCGTTGCGACGGCTCGTTGGAGAAGAGTTGTTGCCTCGGCATTGACGATGACTGCAGCCCAGATGTGCTCATCGTATACTGCCTGGCGAACGGCAAGCGGGTCGTCGTTGTACTGTGACGGTGGGTGCACGACATATCCCAAAGAGCCTCGCTTTAATGCATGCTCACGAGCCAGCTGTTCGACGACGGGGCCGACGAGAGCCACGCCAGAGTCATAAGGAGCTATATTGCTGTCGAAGTCGACCACGGCCACCGTGATGGCCGAGAGGTTGCGTTCGGCGTGGAAGATCACCGACCAGTATAGCGACAGGATGCACAAGATGAAGCACATGATGATGACGACCGTCACCAGCCATTTCTTGATCACTTGCCTCCACACAGGCCGCAGAGACGAATGGAAAAGGCCAACAGGCGTAGGAGGGTTCTCAGGGGCGTTCTGTTCCTCGTCGTCGGGGTGTCGAAGGTCGAGGGATTGTCGCCGTTGAATTTCTTTGGGTCTTTCTGACTCTTGATCTGCCTCTGATTCTGTCCTTTCGAATACGCTTTCAGCTTCATTCTCGCCGTGAGCGAGTGACTGTTTGAGGATACAGCCACTGACCGGAGAATTGAGAAGAGTCCGATCTGAACCTCGTCGTTGCTTATTTTCTGCCATCTTGACCAAATTTCACCATTCATCAGCTTTTCAACCACCGGGGAATCTTCTTTCCATTGTTCAGGAAGAGAAAATCCCTACCTTTGAACGCAACATCTCCTTTTATAATCTCTTGGCCTCTGTTGAATTTGGCTGGATCCTCAGCGATGACAACTATGGTCGGGTTTCATGTTCCTGACGCTAATGCCGACCCTGCTGGGAGAAATCCATGTTGAGCGTAGATACGTGGGCCCGATCGTCGAACCTTCGTAGTTTGATCTTTGGTACGATCGACTTACCCGAATGAAGACGCTTTCGAGGTAATGGGGAGTGCGAAATGCCACGAACAGGCCCACAGGAGGCTGAAGAGGCGTTGTACTTCTCAAGAGAGCTCACAATCATGGGCCTAATGTGTCCACGCCGTTGACAGTATGTGTTCGCTGCCAGTTGGACTGTCGCATTGCGCACCTGTTACCAACAGGTCCCCGCTACCAGGTTCAAGAAGCTTACATCAAGCCTTGGAAAAGGGGCCCATGAGGCGTCGTGAATGCTCCTGCGGGATTTGCAGTTAGGTTTTTGGGCTGCATGTTGACGAACCTTGTTGAAGAGAACTACTGTGAGACTTTTCGTAGCCTGGTAGTCGGAATGGCTGCAGTGCAAATGAGGCACAGAAGCAGATTTGAGTTCATTCTATCATAGAACAATGACGTTCGAAATCCCACCGTGTCGCGTGCTCAAGAAGTGTTGTTGGTGAGCAACTTGGCCCAGAGCCTTGCAGAACCTGATTGGCCGATTCCTGGCAAGGCTGAGCCTCGGTTTAACAGAGCATCTCGTTGTCATCATCATCCGCAGGTGGACTTCATCGACGCTTTCACCCCAGGGTGCCAGTACAATGGACAGGTCGCTGGCGACCCTGTTGCGCTCGTTGCAGACGTCCGAATACACCGAAGACGCTCTAAGGTAGTCCTCCCCAAGCAACCCAGATGTGTACTGACCTCCGACCAGACTGCTCCCAACTGCCACGAACCTCCTGTCCAGGTTATCCAACCCGCTCAACCTCACTCTGTTGACCTCGCACCTCTTGTCGCACGATGCTCTCTATCTCCAACCCATCGAGATCACCCATTCTCGCCAAATATTCTCCGTCTTCTATACAGCACTGCTGAGATTGATCGAAGACAAACAGGATCCTGCCCGAGAATTGCTTCGAAGCCACTTGTCGGTGGAAGAATGGGTGAAGGCGGTCGTCAAAGGCGCAGACGAACGGTCACCGCGATGGCGACACACCCTCCTACTCGGTGGGTTACTGCTCGCTTTCCAATCGAGACAGTTCGAAGAGCTGCGACCAAACCTGCGGAACAAGCTGGAGGCAGCTTTGGTTACGGCTACGAATCTTGCTCTACGAGAGAAAGATGTCGAAGTAAATTGTGAATTGGCCGTTATTTTTGTTATCAATCACACCTTTCCCATCCTTTCCGATGTCCATCGGTCGCAAGTTCAATACGATCTTCTTCTGCCTTTACTGGTTGACGCGACATACTTTTCCAAGGAGGGGCTCGAGCAAGGCTACTGGCTCGGCGCAATCGACAATGACATTCGTCAATCATCACCGCAGAAGTTCAACTGGTCTTCCACCTCGACTACGTTCAAGAGGCTAACGGAAATCAAGAAACGGAGTCTTATAACAGCGCTTGGGTCGCTATCACGCTTGACAGCTCATTGTGTTGACAACGTCCATGATCGGATGTTGATAGTACATTGTACGAACAGGATTGCAGATTTCGCGCGGACATTGGCAACATCTTGGAGGCAGAACAAGCTGTCAGAAATCGATGCTAAAGAAGAAGCACTATATCTAGATCAAGACACCGTGAGCACGACATTACCGACACTTCTTCAGCTATTACGAGACACTATGTTTGCGACAGTGATCATTCTGCGATCTGTTCTCGGACGTTTGATCTGTGACCCTATTTTGGGTGCAGATAACACTGCCCCAGGACTAGCCATGCAGACATTACACATTCTACGAGACACGTATTTCATAGCACATCGGTTCGGCCTGGTCTCATCTTCCCAGTATACATTTGTCAACTTTACCGCCATCGATATCTTGACTCGATATCAACCACAATCAGAAAACTTTTTGGAGTCAATACGGCCTGTGGAACTAGGACGAATTCCTGCTCATCCCCTTGACAGGATGCGCGATCTCTTCTTCCTCAACGCGGCGGAGCACTTTACACTGACTGTCTCGCCACAGATGAGCCAGGAACTGTTGTTTAACGCTGCTGCGCCTTATGTTGACCCTCGCGGCGACCCGCGGCTGGGAGAGATCTTTGAGGCAGCCCATAGTGTTATGCTTGCCATTCTGGCGGCACCACGAAATGCGGAAGTGGCAACCAAGAATGTTCCATTCTACGTGGAGACGTTACTCCGGAGCTTTCCGATGCCTTTAAATGCTCGTCAATTCAGGTTCGCCATCAATTCTGTCGTGCGGTTGGCAGCACCACCCTCTCCTATTGCCGCATCTATGCCGTTGATGCAAGCGATTATTCTCGATTTATTGAGAGAACGTATGGAACAAGCCTCGGAAGATCTGCTCCCTTCCAATCCCGACTTGCCTCTCGAAAGGGAGCAACGGTTGTCCGAAAAGGCTATTCTTCTTCTAGCGATCATTGACTGTCTCAGTTCATTACCTGTTCAGCTATTGGAAGAATGGCTTCCCTTAACAGCCGAGCTCCTGCACAAAGTGAAAAATCCATCACAAAAACAACAATGCCAACACCGTTTGTGGGCGGCTCTGAGTGATGGTGAAATGGATGTAGATCGAGCTGTAACCTGCGTTGCTTGGTGGACTTCGCGAGGCGGTCGTGAGCATGTTTTGCTTGGGGAGCAACCAGAGGAGCAGGACTACATGATGAGTGGTGCACTGAGGTTTGACAATAAACTTTGAAATTGCCCTTGTCCCCTATTCACGGATGTTGAGCCTTCTTTGAATGTGTGCGATGTTTGCTTGGATCGAGCTGTTGCGTCAAATCTCCTTTGGCTGTTTGTCGGGATTTGCAGCTATGGACAAAGCAGGATGAATCATTCCGTGATACTCATTACAGGTGACTGGCACAAAGGCACAACGCAGAAGGAGCAATAAATCTGTTCCCCAAGACATTTTGTGCATATTTCATCCTTCCTCACACATCTGCTACTTTCGTACTCACCAAGGTATTTTGGCTTGTGAGTGCTGTTGCTGAACTGTTCTGCCGCTCTTCAATATGGCTTCCGTGCGGCGAACGAAGAACTTTGCTCTGGACGGCCAGACACCAATGTTTCTCTACTCTATTCTCAAACAACTTGACCTCAGATCAATTGACTGGAACCTGGTAGCTGAGAGCCTTGACATCTCCAACGGTCATGCTGCACGAATGCGATATAGTCGGATGAGAACACAGTTTGAAGCAATGTCCAAAGATGCCAAACCGCCGAAACCGAAGAAGGACAACGAGGCCAAGGCTGCGAAAGAGAAAGCTGCAAAAAGCAAAAGAGCTCTCTTGGAAGAAGAGACTGAGCGATTGGGGACTGGGAAACAGGCCGTGCGAGCATCTGGGCAGGAGAACATCCACAAAAGACCCAAGCTTGGCCAGTACGGCAGCAACCCATGGGTCTCTACGGTCATGCCTGGGCAACAATACACCAACTCTTTCTGGCCTCATCCAAATTCAAGTATCAAGGACGAACCAACAAACGGAAACAGCTCAAGCACGACCACCACGCCGCTCATCAAGAAGGATCCAGAATTGTCAGAGACGTCCACCACCACCAATATCAACATGAGCACCTCCACTGGAACTCGTATCAAGCAGGAGAAGACTGTCAAAGAGGAGCCAAAGACCAATGATGTTCTCCAAGAATCACCGCCTGTGCCATCCATCGAGGACAAGAACGAAGTGGCTGCGATTGCGATGAAGCAGGATCCATCGTACTCACCCACCGCCTATTACTATCCGAGCTATCGATACGGCACTGTGCCTGGCACTTACCAGCCTCAAAATGCCGCCGGATATTATCAGACGTTTCCCATGCCCCCAGGCCCCTCTACCTACCCGATGCAGCAAACATATGCCTACAATCCATGGATTGCCCCGCGACAAAGCATCAATCCATGGAGCCACTCTGCAATGGGGCCCATTGCTGCATCAGCTGCGCCGACGGCCGTGAACGAGAATGTGATGGACCATGTCTCACTCAACCCCCACGCAAGCTCGTATGAAGATTTGCTCAATATGCCACTGTACTCTGGGACGCCGCAGAACTTCCAATTCGATGTCGCTACCCCAGAACCTCCTGTCGAAGCTCAGACGGTAGCCGGGAACATGGTCGACGCCCCAGCTCAGAATGCAGTTGCTGTTACCGTTGAACCACCGTCAGCCTCGTTTGTTGGGTTACAGGCCGAGAAAGAGAAATTTTCTTCGCCACCCGTCCGTGCTGCAAGCAAGGACGCCGCGCCAGAGAAGCCTGCTCAGCACAATGTCGTCGAGGCCAACGCGTTCGCGGAACAGTCCAAGAATTCGACGGAGCTTGCCTTGGTTTCGGGTGTGGGTTCTGATGTGCGAATCTCAGCCTATCCCGTCGTGGCTGGGGACAGGACAAGCACCGACAATGAGGTTGATGCCGAACATGAGATTGATGACGAGCAGACTACCCACGTCGCCACTATTACCACCGCTACTACAACTACTCTCGTTGCTGAAGCCGACAAGGAGTCAAAGGTCGTGATGAAACCCGTGGTGGCGGTGGCAATCGACGTTGAAGAACCAAAGGTCGTGATCAAATCCGAGCCTGTTGAGATTTTGGATCCTTGAGTGAGCTATTCGTGCGATGGTTGTGAGGAAGGGAGTGGTCGTCGTATTGAGTGAGTAGCAGTCTGTGCAAACAAGGTGACCGTGTGTTGTGATCGTGCATGTGGGATGGAAGGGGAGTTGGTGTACCAGACGGGAAAAAGGAAGCAGACTCAACCATGACTGAAAACTGGAGGCTGGAGACGGGCGTGTGAGAATTCAATATGCGGATGCTTCAAGAAATGACAGTCACTGAATAGAGCGACAATGTGCCGTCTTTGTATTGCATGTGTCCTTATGGCTAGATGGTTTATTTCCATGGCTCGTAGTTGAGATATTTATCAAAAGTTTCTGCTTCAACATCTTGTTCATCTCAGACCTAGCTTCCAACGTACCATCTAGTCATAGGCGCGGCTACATGTGGCTTCCAAGTAACTCACTGGCTTTTCTCCTGGTCCTGGCCCTCGTCCTCATCCGCATCCTCATTCATCCATGATGACAAGTGTCTCGAGGGGTGATGAGATTACTAGCTTTGCAGCTCGGGGGTTTGGAGCATGGTCGATTACTCTTCCGGCATCGACCACACGCTTGAATCTATGGGGGCTGCCAACACTTTGCGACATACAGCGAGGTGGCTTGACTGGATCCAAGGCATCGTGCAATTGCAGAGCACTCTGTACCTTGGACGCCGATCGTAGGGCCGAGATAATCCTCCGTAACTAGGAGATGAAGATCCTTCAGGCGTCCCAGATCATAAAATCTCCGGTCCTTGACCGCTAAAGCGGGCAAGGTATCTGAGCACGGCCGAGCCAACGCAGAGTCTCCGAGCTGGGAATAGATTTGCTAGGCCATTTATGGCACTGGGCTGAGAATGTTTCCCATTTCCTGGAAAGGGCATGGGAAGACTTTGTTGTCTCGAAAGTCAACGGGCCCTGCAAGAAGCCCCTTGCTGAAAGAGGTTGTCGGAGGTGAAAGGGAGGGGTGTCATGTCACCGTCGGCGAACATTCACCCTTTACCCGGAGCCGTGGCCACATGTCGGCCACATGTTTGCTTTGCCCCATTGAAAGGAATAGACGAACGATCCCGATTCGGCCGTGAAACCCGTAGCAAGGGTCCTCCGGAGGTAGTATTTTGTCCCTGCCCATAAGGACTGGGTCATCGTAACCGTCGCCTAGGCGTGTCGAGATATCTAAGGCATGGGGATTTGAATAGGTATTCACCTTGGCTAAGCCTTTTAAGCCCCTTCTGAACGAGGACGTGTTCTTCTCGGGACCGCCATGCCATGGAAATCTGCCATTCCCATTTCAACCTTGCGCGAATCAAAGCAAAAAATCGACATCGATCTGATTGATTGTGTTGTCAAAGATATGTTCAGCCACCTTCGAAGGCCGCCGGTGTAAAATTAGAGAATGCTCCAGCCACACGCTGTTGAGTGTGTATTGTCTTGTTCCCACGGGCCCCGGGCACAAAAACAAACCGGTAGTTCAACACAAGAAGAGCCTGAGTTGGGATATGATTCGCCCTATGACACTTACGGTCCGGTGATGTGTTTAGGCTCTAAACGCAGAATGCGGAGTTAGTCAGACGTAGACGACGTCAGGTCTTGATGCTCAGACAACACCTCCCATTCCTACCGGGTAGAACCAGAGGTGTCTCTTCAGACACTGAACCACTATGACCAAGTAATTACCCTTTCACTGTATCATCGCCAAACATGTTTTCATCCTTCATCCCATCCTCCCTCCCTCGCTTCGGCTTCGCTCGGGCGAAGCCAGTTCAAGCCATTGCCATCCCATCCGTCGAGGTCCACGACATCGAAGTATCAAGCGACAAAAGAGGCCGTCGACTCAAGCACCTCATCAAACTCAACCACGCCACCTACTCTATCCTGTACCACAGCCTGCGTTTCCACAATCATACACCTCATGTACTTGAAACCCCCCCAAAGAAAGCCCCCTCTCCCCTGTGTTTCCCATGTTTTTCTTCCTTGGGCTCCTGTACCTAACATGGTTTGACTCTCTTCAGATTCTCGGCTCAGCGTACCTCTTCAACGGGTCGGCCGACCACTTGAACGACATCTACGAAGATGTGTCTGCCCGCGACAATCTCGAACACTGGCAAGACTCGCCGTCCGAGATCGCCGACCACGACTACCGGGACTATCTGGGCCAGCGCAAGTACCAGCGGGCCTTTGTAGATTTCTTCGAAGACCAACTCGTTCTCCAAGGCTACGACTGGAAGGCCGTTGTGGAGAAGTACATATTCGCGCGCGGGCCGAAATCCACGCCCAACGCCTCCCCGATGTTCAACTGCCTGACGTCGGGCCTCGGCCACCCTCTCATCCACCTGGGATACGCGTACGAACTGAATTCGCGCGAACTTGCAATGGAAGCCCTCGGCCTCGCCTCGACATGCTACAACCCGGTCTTGGCCAGACTTCTCGAAGCCAAACCGCCGGCCGCCGCCGCCCGGCCATCTCAAGGGGCCGCCACAAACGACATCTTCCAAGTCTTTGCGGGCGTGCACGCCGACGCGCGCCTCGACCACGCCTTGGACGGCCACGGAGACGACAGCCTCGACCACCTCTGGACCGACCCGGTGCTCGTCTCGATCCTCCTCGAGCACTGGAGGAGCTGGACCGTCGCAGACCCAACGCGGGACTTTGCACAGAGCCAAGCCCTCGCCGTGGCCCTGCACACGTCCGTGGCCTCGAGCGTCGGCGGCCACGGCTACGACTTCCTGCTCGTCCACCTCCTCACGACGTCGCACGCGGTGAGGATCCTGATCCCGTTCCTCGAGCCCGAGCACCATCTCCCGCTCGTGCGCGAGTGGCTCTTGATCGCCCTGTCGATCTACATCACCCAGAACCGGCCGCTGATCAAGAAGGAGAACGTGACGTCGTACGACACCAAGGGCCGAGGTTGGGATTTCGTGACTCAGAAAGCCCTCAAGGGCGAACACAGATACGACGCTCATTTCGTCAAGGCGTGTCGAGCCATGCTCGAGGCCGAGAGGACGTGGGGGAAGCAAGGCACCTCTGCTGCTGGTGCTGGTGCTGGTGCCGGTGCCGGTGCCGGCAGTGATCGCGACCGCGACCGCGACAGTGGAAGTCAAAGTCAAAGTCGCACGGAAGATGTTAGTGGCGAGGATGATAATTACTGGCTCAAAGGAGCGGTCCGATTCGCCGATGAATTCAGCGGGTGGGTGTTTGGCGATGAGGAGCCATCATCATAGTATGGTCACAGCAACGTCAATGGTCCACATCTTCGACAGGCGGCGACTCGGCAGGCGTCGTCGTCGTCGTTGTCGTCGTCGTTGACTCTGCACCGTTCTTGTTCTTATTCTCATTCCCATTACGACCGCGCCGATACCAAGGTCAATGACAAGAACCACAAGACCGCCGATACGGGGTCGAGTGCAAGCAGTAAGAAGAAGACATGTTCGAGTGCGACTGCGAGTACGGGTTCGAGGACAAAGACCAAATCCCGATCCGAATCCAAACCCGACCGCAAACCCAAGACCAAGGCTGACGACCAGACCACAGAGGCAAAGTGGACGGTAAAATTGAACGGCGTGTGGAAAAGTCTCGATTGTTTCGCAAACGAGTACGGGGTGTCGTGGATATGAATATCAAAACAGGCGTTGTTATGCACATACTCTGTATAACGAACTGAAATGAACCCATATTAGCCAGCGCGAGTCCTATCTTCACCTTCATGTTCATTTGATAATGATACTGCTTTCACCTTTTAATCATCATGTCCTCAAAAACATAATGCTACCCGATGTGTTCTGGTTCCATGTGATTTGATATGACGTGAAATGCCCACATTTATTTATTGTACAAAGAAATATTCACCCGTCCTACTAGTCTAGAAGGGACGGACACCTGATCCAAGATGTGTAGGTACATACCTGGTAGGTACGGTACCAGACACTCACTTACTCATCCACCCGGCTCGAATGCGGAAAAAAAGTGAGACACAATGTTCTCACCTACAGCGCTTTTTCTCCATTTCTCTCCCTCTCTTCTTGTCGTACAATGGTTGACTGAACTAGAAAATGGCCCAGTAACACATGTACCCCCCTTACTGCGCCACCAACATATTCTTAATCCTCACCCAGTAATCCGGATGAACGTGCTTTTCTACTTCCTCCTTACTCAGCCACTTGTAGTCTTCAATATCGACGCCGTTCTTCTTCGCAGCAGCCAAGTCAGCTTGTCCAGCCAGGATACGTGCCTTCATGTAAAACGTCTTTTCTCCATCGATCATGTCACCCTCTGCGGCCTTGTACTGTTTGAGCGGCGCTTTGGCCGAGGCTTTTGATGCTTCGGTAGTTGCGGAAGGTGGTGCTGGATTCGGGATCGGTGACGCGAATTTGTATACGTAGTGGCCGACCGGGTGGTTACCAACGAAAAAAGTGTTCATGTTGGGACCCAGAGAGCTGAACAAAATTCGTTGCGCAGCCTATGATTCGTCTTGTCAGCATCAATTCTCCGTCGTCACGTCCCGTATAGCAGAGAACTAGGGGGAACAAGAAGAAGGGGTACAAGTAGACTTTACCTCTTTTAACCCCTCAAAACCTATGAGAGTCCCGCTGGGGAACTTCCACAGTTCGCTCTCCTCTTGAGTCTTTGCGACCTTCTTGTTCTTGACCAGCAGGTAGAGCGTGCGCTGCAAGCTCCGTTCCAGACTCCGCTGATCGTTGGTCTCGTCTGCGGGCATTGTTCTCTTCAGCCCGGCGAACTTGGGATCTCCGGCGCCAGTAAAGTCTTCTGCTCGCCCTTCTTCCGCGATGAGTTCCTGGACCAATTTCGACTGAGATCCCGAGTCGTCGCCGATCAAGACTTCATCGTTCCACGATTCTGGCGTGTACGCATTGTACTTTCCGATGTCTCTCGTGGCAGCTCCGGCGCGCTGTCTACGATAGTTCCGCCAGTTCTCAAAGGCCGGCGTGCCTCGTTTGTAATAGAAGTATTGGGTGAATGGCAGGACCAGACGCTCGTTCAGTCGTCTCTGGTATAGAAAATAGGCTGTTTCGAAGGGATGGGGGTCTGGAGTGATCAGCGGAGGTCGCGACACCACGACTCCGGCTTTGATCGTGTAGATGGGCTGAGAGGCAGGAGACGCTTCAGGGCCGTCTGGAGAGAGCTGTGTAACAGGGGGAGCTTCGACTGTGGCTTTTACTGTTGCCGTTGATGCGGCCCTTTGCTGAGAAAGAGCTTGTCGACATGATCGGCAGACATGGTTGTTGGAGGAGGAAAACCCTGTGAACGTGTGAGCTGCATCGGTTGTCATGGTGTCTGTGTGCTTTGAAAACTTACCCCAAACATCAGCGATGCGCTTCACGCCCCTTGACCGAGGAGACATGGCAACGATGGTTCAATTGAGCCAAAAAAGTGAGTGAACGTTTTCTGTTGCCGTGCTCGATGCTCAGGTTCCAAAATCTTTAGCACGAGACAGGAACTGCCAGATTCGTCGCAGGACGACTAGGGAAAGTCTGCCGAGGCTAATGTTCCTGGTCTACATCCCCGTCACACTTTTTCTTTTCTCCTGGACCGTCATTGCAACTGACCAGTGACCACCAATGTATGTCTCAAAGCGACAGCAACGAAATGTGTTCGTTTAATGAATAAATAAAGCTTCTCGACGATGAAACTGCTCACCGTTGACATCTCCTGAGTGATGCAACCGAGAACCCATCTCCATCACGGTAGTCTCACATACCTGCACCTCTCCTTATCATCAAATGCTTTTTCTTCCATGGCTCTTTGATCATATTATGGTGCACAGAAGGAACTCTCAAAAGGGAATCTTTTTCGCTAGCAGGATCAATATCTATCTTTTATGACGATACTGTTAGATAGTCATTCCCTACAAACACAGCTACACAAAAACCAAAAGTACGAGACCTCCTTGAGCACCGAACAACAGATATATTTTCCATCTATGGGTCCGTTGGCTATGGCCGCCTATATACCACATGTACATACCGACCGCATTTCTACCACTCGTTGTCTCTATATCGGAACCATCAGAGGACACATGACACTTGCGCCTCCATCCACCACCATATTGCTCCCCGTGATATAGCTACTGAAGCCAGACGCCAGGAAGCCTGCCACCCTCGCGACCTCAGCAGGGCGTCCAGCCCTCTCCAGTCCAATGTTTTGTTTCTGCGCAGCGGGACTCTGCAACGCAGCAGGCGGTAGTTGGGTATTGTTCATCACGCCCTTCATATCAGTGTCCAACCCGTTGAGGCTCACTCCGACGTCAATCTGCCCTGGACTGATAGCATTGATACGCACACCTGTCCCCTTGAGCACGGCGACGCCCGCCCTCACCACCCCCAACGCGGCATGTGAACTCATCGTGTAGCACGGACCCCAGCACCCGCCGTATGTGCTGGCGGTGCTCGTGACGATGATGATACTTCCATATGCCTGATCTTTGGGTGCCGCGTTCGGATAGCTTCCTTTCGGGGAAGTCTTCTGCATCGCAGGCGGGGCGTACTTGAGGGCGAAGAACGGCGCGAGACTATTCGCCTCGAAACATCTTTGCAAATCGGCCGGCGTGGTCATGTCGATCGACGGAGGACCCAGCAGGCCAGACGAGCACACCCAGACGTCTATTCGACCCCATGCGTTGAGAGCCTCATCGATCAGGACCAGTGTATCTTGTTCCGAGGATATGGAGTAGGGGTATTCGATGACTTTGGTGTTTGGGTATAGGTTCGCGAGGAGGGAGCTGTACGGGCTAGGGGGCTCATCGCTGTTGGTCGCCGTCGTGCATGCGTAGATACAAGCCGCGCCGTGTGCTGATCCGAGCAGTAAGTCCACCTGTACGTGATGCTGCCAGTAGGGAGTGAAGGGTGCATGACATGACATACCTGCCAGTTCTGTCACGATGGCTGAACCCACAGGCATATTTGCACCTGTGACCACGCACACAAAGCCATACAGCTTCCCATCTGCCCTGTAGGGAGAGAAGTGATCTGATTCTTCTTGCATCGTCATCGGATCGGACATGGCGAATGCAAGATGAATGATTCGACGACAGCAAGCTAAAATATCAAAGCGTGACAGTCAGTAGGGGCACGGTATCTTCACACTTGCTCAGGCTGCAAAGTGTCAGTCAAGCCCACGAGAAAGAAGTCGTGGTGTTTCTCCCATGGAGAGCCCACAGAAGGACAACATCTTGGAAAAGCAAGCAGGTCTCGGGTATTTCCACGCGGCTCTGAGAAGATCGTTATCTGGCCAATCATGGACCCTTCAATTGATCTGCATTTTGGACGAGCGTCATATGGGAAACATCAGAGATTAGGGAAAGAAGAAGTATTGACGTTGTTTCTCCGCGCAGTTGTAGATGCGGGAGAAGATCGAGCGTCAATCAAAACTGTTACTTGTTACTGATAAGACGCTTGACCCCACAGCAGCCAATCAGTGCGCATTGATAGGCTCCGCGAGTCAGTCCTTTAAAGCTCCAGCCTCGTGCTGTCAGTCCCTGTCACACACGGATTCAAGATCCATTCTTCGGTACCTGAGGCAACTAGATAGTGACTATAGTTGGACCAAATTATTTCCTTGTATCCCGGCGAAAATACCGCTCAGAGCGAGAAAGTGGTATGACTTTGAGGGCTGGAAAGCTGGAAGTAACTATATCTTTCGGTATTTACCTACGACGTCGCCATGGAAGAAAAGTTTTATGCGCCCGGCAGCCCGCTCAAGTCCTCTTCTTATGACCTAGAGAACACGCCTCCACGAGGCTGTGGGCAGCACATTGACTTATCATGTGAGACCAGTCTTACGTGGTGAGTAGCTAGATAACGACGACTCATTCTCTCCGGAGTCTTTGCACCAAGGATGCCCGTGGGCAAAAACAAAAAACCTCCTATAATCATTACGAAGCGTCGTCGACGTTCCTTACCGTATCGAACATAACAAGTCATGATACCATATGTTGGCGTTGTCAACGGACGATGGTCCAGACTTCTCTTTATCTCGGACAAGTCATAGTAACTGACTGACTGACTGATGGTAGGTGTACCTCCAGCCAGATCGTATCAAGTGAGGCGTCTCAATGGCCCAATCGCATTCTGGATTCAGCAACGAGAGCAGCTTCTCACGGCTGAGTAGCGTGGGTGGTCAGGTGTCCTACCCTTAGGCAGCAACATGTTATCGGCCCATGCTGTACAACACCGTTAACATCACCTGCAACGCTAAGTTCTACTTATTCCAGCGTCAGTTGCCTATACCGATCCGGCAGTCAGCAGTAACGATCTTTTCACTGTCAGACTAGCACATACAGGGAAAGTGTACGGGGAGGAGGGACAATGTGATCCCCACCGAAGTGTACGGTGTGGACTCACGACAAGCCCAGGTTGTCGGGAACCCGCTTGCGCAAGAATCTACAGAACAGATCAATGTTCGAGACATAAATAGACCACTTTGAGAGTTCACAGACCGGCATTTTGTGAAATCACGGAACGAGCGGCAAGGGTTTCCCAGCCCATTCGAACTCTCTGGGTGCAAACGTGCAGTCCTGTCCAAGGTGGGAAGAGTAAACCCTGCTGAGACATAGCGATGCCGTCTTCCAAGGGGTGTCGGTATTATCGCCTGGTTCGCAGCTGCTCAAGTACTCTTCCTAGAAATCGTCAATGTTATTGACATTATGCTGACCCAGCGGCTTCGGTCGCGTCTTCTCTGCGAACAGGGTGCGAGACATGAGCACATAATACAGAAGATACCTTCCGTGCCCAGAAAAAAAACGGACCTCGCAGTGCTCCTCGGGATCTCTAGACTGTTTGACCAGAGTCTCGACTGCATCTGTCGACCTCGTTATCGGAGAAGACAGTGTCGTTGTGTTGGTGTTTGGAGCTATCAACCAGGCAGGCCCTTGGCAATGGCGATGGCGTGTCCAACTGTTGGGCACCCGGGAACTATCTTCCAGTCAATAATAGTCCGTGTCCGCGAATAGGGCACAAAGGATCAGACCTGGACCTGCAACCGTATCTCACACTCACCCTGAGGCTTCCAGTTATTGACACAGCTGCCACAACACCTTCATCGTTCTAGCTCGCACAGGACTCTACGGAACGGATGATTGGCATGGTCAGTACCACCCACAAAGGGTCGATGGCCCAGAGGAGTGGCGGTGCAATATATCCATACGCCATTCAGAGAAAACCACGGTGTGGTCACACAGCATGGATTGTACCCTGAAAGACTTGTTGGTGGGGGGACCGACCCAGGTCCATGGCGAGATGTTTGGACGATAGAAGCAACGGCAGTAGACGGAAAAGCCTCACGTTCGACTGGTGGAAAGACTGCGGCGCGATATCGGTCGAATAGCGTGACCGACGTGAAGCATCTGCCCTCCTGGAGTTCGTATCGATCTACACGAACAAGCAGGATCTCGCGCTCAATCCGTCTTCGCTCGTACAGTGAAAAAGGTAGGCTCGTGGGCACATGGTGGAAAGCCCCATCATACCCTCAGTCATCATGACTACACTGAGTTTTGGAAAGGTTGGAATTCCCAAAATTTATGGCTTTGGACATTGGCTAAGCAGACGAATGCAATACGAGACTCCTCCGCTCATGGCCAAGGTGGAAGCGGACGACGATGACAGCCATTTCTGAAGTCAGAGCGGATTCTCTGTCCAGCTTATTTCTCTTTAAACCCATAGTAAAACCTTCTTACAAGGCAGTCTTACGAAGCTAATTTCACAAGCACTATCAGAGAGAGGGGACATTAAAGCTCTCAGTCAAGCGGAGAAGATCATCGAGAACTCGCCCAGCTGCTCAAGACTGTCAGGCGAAGCACAGTTTGACGATTCAGGACGGTGGTGTAGGATCATAGCATCATCCTTGAAGATCAAAGCATAGTTTGGGACGTGCACAGTCAATGCGCAAGTGGGGAGGCGGGTATCTGGGGGAATATTGACAGTTGTAGACCGGTTGATTCACGCTTCAGCTGCTCCCCTGCTGCCACCTCCTTGGCCTCGTCGCAGGTATGACCCTGTAGGCAGATACCACGGCAGGAATCTAGAACGTGAGAATGCGTAAGCAAGCGATGTGAGGCGAGCGGGATCGATGGGATCGATGCCTGCATCGAGTACCAGTACGAGTAGTTTTGACTTGTTATCCGGGGTTGAAAGGAGGGGCAAAGAAAGGTTTGAACTTGGACGGCTCCAAGCTTGTTGAGAACCTTGCTGCAACTGTACGAGCTGCCATGACGGTCGATTGAGGGGTTGCGGCGATGCACGATCTGTATGACCCTATTACGAAGTGCCCTTTCACATTCGTTCTTGGTTGTGCTGGGAATCTGGCCGCCACTATTGTCAGTGGCAGGGGTTACAGACCATCTGCCGAAGCATGCGCGTTCTTTCGCCAGGTGCTCGACAGGGAAAGCCTCGTTGAAACAGAGCAGCCGAGCATGATCGGCGCAATGGAAGGGCCAAGGACCTTTGGTATTCGAAGCTTCTAGCCCCGAGGGTGGCGACCATGTGGTGGCTGCAACACCCGGGCCCGGACAGGAATGGCCTGCTGCAGGATGTAGGTGCGTCCCGGGACTTTTTCGATTGTCAGAGATGGTCGGGCAGCAGCAGCATCCTGCGCCTCGCTTACTGTTGGGTGTTCGCTCTCCTGCATGAACCGCCGTTCAAGGAAGAGGCTGTCGCCCGCAGTGCTGGGATGAGGTCGGTGGGAGGCTGCATGTATCTGTGGGACAAGGAGCGGAAAGCGCTGTGAGGCAATACATCTGTTGGCTTAAGCTCAGCTTATCCCGGCGCTAGCTGCCCAGCGAGGCGCTATTGTCCTCGTACAAATTGTATCACCCGGAAGAAGATGTGCAGCTAGACCCGATGGCCCATATTCCCGGTGGGGATCAGGTATCTCGACTCTGGGAATGCTGAAGAATCAAGATCGTATGTCGAGGAAAACGCCCTGGGTGCCCTTCACGAGCATCACGAGTATACGACGACATTAGACTGATCTCCCTCCTCGTCCTTTACAGGATCCTCACCATGACACAGCATACTGGAGACACCACCGTCGTCCAATGGCTTCCGCACTTAAGCGAGGGGTCGTGATTATTTCGGTAATGACCCTGGTCTTCACCCCCTGGTCTTTGAAGAAAAATAGCCATGGGAAACTCGCTCAGACTTCAGTCACCCTTGTGTTGCCAGTATACAAGATATGCGCGTATACTTGAGTCCTTGGCTCGATTCGCGCCATTTATGAAACCGTCGTCTAGTTACACAGCATCCCTTGATCCTCCCAGTACCAACAATGCAACCCACGTGTTGGACAGCAGTAACGCCAGTGAGCTGACCGCGGTCCGTCGTAATCCGGAAACGCTCAGAAAAGCAAGGCGAAAAGAAACGCCACCGTAATGCATCCAGTGTCAAATCTGTACGCTGCAGACCCCATGTCAATCTCTAGCCTTTTATAACTCGTCAATTCGTATGGCTCGCTCTCATCGTACGTTCAGAAAATAAAAAGAGTCAGTGAGGTTCCTGCCAGAGCACATCAATCATGTGTCGCGTGCTGGATTTGTCGTCCCTTTGTGAATACCACACACCTGGCACCCACACACCCACATACCCACACCCTATACCATAGTGTCACCAAGATTTGGACTTGTGAAGCCACGTCTTGGGGTCTGATACGTCAGGCCACTGGAGCACTATAGCTCTGCCAACGCTTGCGAGATTCCAAGACCAAGTCGGCTGGTGTCGACCGTGGCTCTTCCGGCTGGAACCGCCACCCCGCCCACATCTTCGATTTCGTCCGCACTTTCGCTGCTTGGGGTTGTGGTCTGAGACTGAAACTCTAAGACGGTGGACTCAAAGTCGGGCAGCTCCGTCTCCTTGGCTGCTTGGATCCAGAAGGCCTCCGCCGCTTGTAGTCGAGTGAACCACTGGCTGACTGTCATCTCCTTGCCCCGGAACACCAGTGACAGATCTCCGTATTGCTGCAACCCCGCCCGCGATGCCTTGTGCCTCCAGTCCGTGTGAGCATCCTCGAGCAGGTAGCGACGTTCGGCAGCAACGTGGTTGACGTAGTTGAAAAATGCCCCTTCTGAATCTGTATCCATGTCAGCCACGGCACGTCGCTCTGGAACTTCCATTGAGCGAGAGTGCTTACAGTTGACAATGCCTGTTTCCTGTCCAAACGGCAACTCGACAAGACGTTCGAAACGCTCTTCAACCAGCTCCTGGAGTCGGAGGTAGGAAGCGTAGACGATCGAGGTCGACTCCTGCAGGGTCCACAGACTCTCCTGCACCGCCTCGGGTAATTGTAGGAGCATTGAGGTGGGCAGGGCCGCCACGTCAGATACATCCGTAGGGTCGTGAGAGTGAGGCGGTGCAAGGAAAAGAGCATCCGGAGAACTCAACCTCCTCAGAGAAGCTCGTCGTGAAGATGTTGTTGAGCCAGTAGACATGGCGGATGTGCTGTCCATGGTAGAATCGATCCTGGGGCTTGGCTTGCAAATATCAACACAAAGATGAAGAGAAGCTGGTAGTAATACAAGAGGAGCAGAAGAGGAAGTGTTCAATGCTAGTGCGCCAGCAGTGGGAGCGACATGAGAACAGGCTTCCACGGCCAGAGACGGGGACGTTTATATTGATCAATGTGCTGAAGGGTCGCAGCGGATGGAAAGGCACAAGCCAAATGTATTTCTGATTGGGCCGGGGACTGATGCAGGCTGCTGCATAGGGATGGGTGGAGTTTGCATCGCAATGAAACGGCATCACGCCAAAGATCACGGAACAGACTTCAGACATTGGCCGGGAGCGCAGTAGCCGTTTTGTGACGTATGAAGACGCACACAGTACCAAAATCTCAGATCATTACAAGACACCCGGCGTTCCTGGAAGCCTCGAATATTCTAGTTAGTATGAAAGGCATGCGTGAAGTAATGCCGCCCGCCGGGGAGCATTGACATTATTCCTTTCTGGTCGAATCACATCACCTGGAAGCATCCCGGAGCACCTCTCCGGGGCACGTATCTCACCACGTCTTTTGAAGTCAGAGTATTCTCGGTCAGAACACCATTCATCACGGTCCAAGACACCTGGGGAAGATCATCTGGAATCGCCCGATCGGCTGCAAGGCTAAGAAAACCCAGTGACGCCAGTCATTATTGCTGACACTTTTGAAAATCCTGGTTTTAGCAGACTCAATCCATGTAATCTGTACAAACTCAGTTTCGCCTTGACGTAAGGCTTGCACTTCTAACCACCCATTTGCCCCATGTAACGCGAGGAGGATAGCTGGTACGGTAACAGAACGCCCCCTGCTTCCACATCCCGGACGGCCGTTCCGCCTAGGTGATGCACTCTGTCGCAGGCTGGTAGATCGCCGGCATCTCGATGTCACCCGCATCATGCCCCCTATTGAATTCTGCATTTCATATTAGTCCCAGGGTCTGCCACCATCGGGCTAGTGTTCGACCTACCGTTGAATGAGGTGTACGCCGGATGCAGTCTCAACGACGCCACTCATTTCTCCTGGTGCCAGAGCAAATGAAGCATCTTCGAATTCCTTCTGCATCTGGCCCTTGCCAAAGAAGCCCAGGTCACCTCGTTTGCGGGCACTGCTGCAATCCGACTCTGAGACGGCGAGATCTCCGAGGGACTTTTGTCCCGACCGGATCTCCTCTTCGTAGCCCTTCAGCATCTCAATGGCCTCTTCTTTGGAACGAGTAATGTTGGTTTCTCTCCAGGAGGATGGTCGACGACTGTCTCTGTGTTTCACGAGGAGGTGTGCCACCCGGATTTTACCATCAGCTGGAGCACCGTCGATGCGGGTGTTTGCAGAACTGTGATGTTGCGCCATGTATATCTTGAGCTTTTCCGTATCGGCATCCTCCGGAGGTTCCCATCTCGATTCGTGAGTCTTTTGGTTGAAGTAATACGGGAGGTTCTTAGAATTGGAGTGGCGGACTTCCCAGTCTGGGGGAAGGCCTGTGTCGGACTGTAAGTCAGGGTCAGCGGAGCACTCATGCCGTAGGTCGACAGGATTACCATGCTTGCAAACTGCGAACAATTTAGATTCTGGTGACGAGAACAGACGAGGACAGATTGGTAAGACGACTGCGGTGAGCCCCCTGTTGAGACCGCGACACCAGTAGGTGGAAAAGGCGCAATTGGGCGGGGTTAAATAGGCTGTCCTTGTTGTTGTTTGGTAACGTCCTCACCACCACCGGATTCAAGATGGGAATGGGAAACAAGGAGTGTGGCAGAGATGATCGGTCACTTGACTCGGTGTGGATTGCCAGAGAGTTGAGGGTGTGATATACGAATACAAGGCGACAACTGGAAGTCAGGTGCGGGCTGATGATGGTCTGGGTCTCAGGCACAGAGGCTCGCGAGGCTTGTGTTTATTTGCTGCCCAGGCACTCGGCTCGCCTGCTGTGTTTAGTGAACTGATTATAAGCCACTAGCCAACCAACTAGCGCGCCTAAGTTACCTGGGTGAGTGAGCCTAGTGAGCCTCCTGCGCATGATCAGCGCGGGGGCAAAATTCGCAACATCCATCATCCTCCTGCAGACAGAATACGGAATACTGATTTATAACAACACTCGGCGTGTCTCTCTTCATCATTCGATATTCACACCGATCCGTTGTCATTGTTGAAGCCTCGTCGCCGTCTTCTCTGCATAGACAGAGCCGAACAATACAACTCGCGACACCTCTACAGACAAATTCATACTTCGCCGCACCGCTCCGAGATCCTATTGCCTCCCAGGTATTTTCTTTCGACGGCCGTCATCATGTCGGCAGCAGCATCTCCAGCACCGTCGGAGGGTGATTCCAAGAGAGGGGAAGTATCCTACAGATTCTGTCAAGAATGGTGAGTTTCCGCCCTTCACCAAATGTCTAACATACGTGTCTAACATGTATTCTACCAGCTCCAACCTCCTCTATCCTAAAGAAGACCGAACCACGTCAACGCTGCTCTACATCTGCAAAGCTTGTCACGCTACAACCACACACGATTCGGCATGTACCTACCGGCAGCAACTAGGTGCTACAGTACAAGAAACGGCTGGAGTTACTACAGATGTTGCAAATGATCCAACTGTGGGTTCCGCCTCTGTCGAAGTTACTCTGTGTTTTTGTACTCTCTGTGGAGAGAGTGTGAGGTGCAGCGAATGTGATGATGGAGTCATGGAGGATCAGGACCTTTCCGAGTCTCCAGACCGCGCTCCAAGTCCACCATCTCCCTGAGTTCATTTGTCTTTCAAACACCAGGCTGACACGTCGCTCCAAATCTAGCTTCCTAGGGCAAATACGAGATGTCCAAGATGTCGGGAAACGGATGCAGTGTATTTTCAATCTCAGCAACGAGGCGCAGATACGGGAATGGTGAGTTCAATAGCAAGAATGTCGAAGAAGCTCGCTAACTGAGAACCTTAGAAACTCTACTATGTGTGCGTTGCGTGCAACCATGTTTACACTAGCGTATGAGCACGGCGTTGGAGGACATCGAAGCGTACTGTCGTATGCATTCCGAGGCGTTTGATTAATGGGAAAAGGGAACGAAAATTACGAGGGATACCCAGCATGCGCACCTCCAGTGCACAGGAGTTTAGGATAGCATTGTACAGCCCAGAATTGACTGTTTTGATTTCATATATGGCTTCCGATATTCTTACACTCTACTTTTGACTACACCAGGGTATCTTCAACACCGTCCAATTCGGTGATTTTTACATGCTACCGCTCATGCGATATTGCGTCCCTTAGATGTGCAAAGGCGCCAGTGAAAGAATCTTAGACCATTTCTTGTCTCGCAGCTCGGCTCCCACCATGCTTGACAGTCGGGTACCGATAGGATCTCCGTTTCTGTTGATGAGGACACATGCGTTGTCGTCAAATCTGATCAGACTCCCGTCTTTTCGTTGTATCTCCTTCTTTGCTCGCACCACGACGGCATGTCGAATGTCGCCTCTTCGCACCTTGTTCGCAATGCCCAGACTCGATCCGCCAGGGTTGTCGGCGCCAAAGGACCTCTGTTTCTGCACAACGACGATGATTCGGTCACCTGCGGAGGTAGACAAGTCAATAGAGCGAGGGTGCACACGTGTGATGGTGGCATACCTATGCGCGCATGCTGGGTCTTTTTTCTCATGACCTGGACGCATTCGACGATGGCGGCTCCGGAATTGTCGATGCAATTAAGGAGCGTCTGCAAGCTGTGAGCAAGGAAGTGCCATGGAATCACAGCACACTGACCTTTAGTTGTATCATCGCGGCAGCATAATGTGGCAGTCGTGATGGCTGGTTGAAGATGGGACGTCTTGAAGATTCGCTGCAGCACTGCAAAAGAATTGCGTGCATAAAGTGGATGACTGCACGCCCCGATTGGCCGAGCCTCGAATGAGCACTTGGTCTGAATCCGTTACTAGCGACAACACTCCAAGCGCTGCCATTTATGCCATTGTCCCGTCTACTCGCTGTCTTTTCCCATCCCCTCCCCGTCCTCCCTTTTCTTCCTCTGAAAACATGAGTGAAGAACACTGAGCCCCTTCTCAAGCCGAGCCGACAAATCAAGACCTCTCACACTCGGCCTACGCGACCATTATGTCGCATTTCATTCACTTGTCTATTGCTCACACCACCCTTGGGCTGGCCTGAACCAGACCGCGTTTGGAGTGCGGCCCTCGATCAGCCACTTCGCTCATTACCACCGCCCTGCCCTTGCAAGACCCCCAGCAATCAGCCCCCGGGATCGCACAGTCCTTAGGGTCCCTCCTCCGCTTATTCGTCTCCTTGTCTACGTCTTTTCAGCCAGCTCGATTGATCGCTCTAATCTTAACCTTGTACGCGCTCGATAACACGCGACCATGGGCCGACGTCGACCTCAGGAGTCTGAAAAGACTCAGAGGTTGTCTTTAACTGAGCTGGCCGCCCATGACGACGTTTGTTCCGACGCGTTAATCGATAATGTGAGTGACTCTCCAGAGTCCAAGGAGAGAATGTGAAGCTGACCTGACCACCTGCAGGCATACTACAAGGCAAAGATACGGAAGAATCGAACGAAACACATTCCAATCCGCGGTATCAAGGAGGACGAGGTTCCCAGGATTCTTCTGCACAAAGTCATCGTCGAGAAAGACATAGTGGCCGCCGAGAAAGCGTTGCTAGCACTCCCTGGACTTAAAAGGTACAAGAAGAGCCTACGCACAAAGTCGGAACAAGAGCACTTCCTCAGCCATCTTCGCAAGTACATTGCCATGTACCAGACCGACTGTCCTTGGGAGGTTTCTACCACGAACAGGTACACCATCACGACCTACGAGGCGGCTGTGACTGCTCGCCGGCGGATTCGACAGGGTGACACGGTCAAATATCTGACTGGCACGCTCGTACCTTTGACCACGGAAGAATCTGCCGATTTGGACATGACTAATCGTAATTTCAGTATTGTGGTATCGGCTCGGAAGAAGAACACTTGTATCTTCCTTGGACCTGCCCGCTTTGCCAACCATGACTGCAATGCAAATGGCCGTCTGGTCACACGAGGAGATGACGGGATGGAAGTGGTCGCCGTGAAAAACATTGATGTTGGAGATGAGATCACTGTGTCATACGGAGATGACTACTTTGGCCCTGGCAATATCGATTGTCTCTGCCATAGTTGTGAAGAACTTGAACGTAATGGTTGGACATCTAAAACAGCCTTCCTCAGTTCCGACAGCCAAACTTCAACGCCTGGCCCCGAGCCACAACCAAGTCCTCAAACTCGCGCTCTAAAGCGGAAGCGAGGGTCGGAATTGTCTTCGTATTCGTCGTCGGCACCACCTCCTTCCAAACACCTGAAAGCCACACAGTCTCCTTCCAAACTACAACACTCATGGACTCCTCCAGGAAGCGCTCTGTCCGATTCAGAACTAGAAACAGGTGCGAGAGAGATTGGAGATACTACCGAGCAACAAACAAGTCCAAGTCCACCAAAACAGTCGACACTCTCGCCGCCTCCCAGCCCGGCCCAACTGGCAGACCTCGACATGCTCGAAGCCCCAACTGTACCCGAGGAACCTCCACGGAAATCTGAACCCCAGCTGCCTTCACCAAAATCAATGGCCAAAAAGGGGCCACGGGAAAGCAAAATGACTGCTAGGCTATTGGGTAAATTGTCAGCTCGTGCACCCATATCGCCCGCTCCAACCTCACCTTCGAGCCATGGTTCGACTTCTGATTCCACAACCTTAAACCAAGCGACCCCTTCTGTGTCATATACCCTTGCTCCCGTCACAATCAAAGTCGAATCCGTGGAAACCACCAAAGTTGAAGCTGATGAAGATACCATCGTCGTGGTCACAACCCGACCGACCCCGGCAATGTCAAGCGAGCAATCCATGAGCGCAGATGAGCAGCAAGCTGAGGCGACTATTCCTCTCGAGCCAGATCAGACACCGATACCTCATGTAGTTTCGACTCTCACCACGACCACCGTCACCAAGGATGTGCAGGTACTGGACGAAGCCAACAGTCGCAATCCAGAAGCCAGTGTGTTGCCTTCGATAGAGCCCGTAAGCAATTCAACCACTGTGGCCACCCTGAGCGTCCACCCTGTCACCGGCACGATCCGTATCGCAGGCGATTACATCTTGACACGAAAATTACTTGCTCAACCACATGATCGGTGGGTGCAATGTCACAATAGCTTGTGTTTTGGTTTCTTCATTCAGCCGAATGGATATCAAACACGACGCGAGTGTCCTCGTTGTGAACGGCACAGCATGCTGTATGGCTTCCCTTGGCCCAAGACTGACCCAGATGCACGCAAACTCCTCGAACGGACAGGACGTGGCAAGAAAGATGCTGTCGAATATAGTGCATACAGACGCAAAGGACGTTGCGGTAAGGGCACTTGGGTCGAAGGGGGTGGGGACGAAGAAGAAAGAGTGATGGATCATCGTACCATCCATCGCTTCGTCCTACCGGAAGAGGAAAGGGAAATTACCAGGAAAGGACTTCTCAAAGAAGCCGAAGAGGCCAGGGCTGCGGGAGATCATGTCCTTGCCCTTTTAGAAGCAAAAATGCGAGCTGCTTCAAGAGGCATGGGAACCGAAAGCGCAGCACGAGGGAGCGAAAGCGACAATGGTTCGGCGACTCCTGATGAAAACAGGAGAAGAAGTAATCGGTTTGTGACGAGACCAGTCGCGGTGTATACTGACAGGTATTCACATCGAGTTGTCTGAGCTTGGTCATAGCAGCTGAGTTGATCTGTGGATTAATCAGAAGGACCGCAGAAAACCGCGGCCTCAAAGAGTGCTCGATCTACCACTTTGAGCACGATGGGTATGCTTTGAGTGGAATGAGCAACAAAGGATTTTGTTTGTACGAGGATGAGGGATGAGGATTGGGATGAGGACGAGGGAGAGCAGCAGAGTAGAAGCTTACTTTTACTAGTCCTCGTTACTGATAACAACTAGCATTGAGAGTATTGAAGTATTGCAAGATTTGAGATGTGATCTTTTTAAATATCCAGAGCTCCATATTCCAGGATATGAGTACTCGTATAGTCGTACTCGTACTGGACTGTAGGTACTCGTAAGGGTGGGTTAGTTCCCTGGATGATGGATCCCTGTCAAAGCCACAAGCCACAGGTCACAGTTGGTGAGGCCTTGTTCGTAACGACGTCATTCTCCAAGGACCCTGGAATACACGAGTTGCTCCCTCGACCAATTGCTCACACTGTCTTGTTGTTGGTTGATGTGCGAGTCCAGGTATCTCGTATTGTGTTCTCTCATCAACCAGGTTTTTGAGCCCCTGGTTCATAACACGCTCATCCCTGCAATGTGACGCACGGCAAGATTCATGAGATGGGGCCCCTTTGATCCTCCCTGTGGATTGTGGATTGTCTTCCCTGTACGGATTGTATGATGTGTGCCTTGCTCTCTCGCCCTCTGCCCTCTGTCGTGGTCTCGTTTCTCGTTGTACCAGCGCCTATTCTATCGTCATATAACTGTTCGACTTTCTTCTCGGTCTCTCTTTCTCTCTCACACACACTCTCTCTCTTTCTCACACACACACACACAAACACACACACATGGCTGACAATTCAGACACCAAGATCAACATGACTGACAATTCTGAAAACACCCCTCCACCTCAAACCGACGGCCAGCAGAACGAGGGAAGTGGTGAAGGTCAAGGTCAAGACAAAGGTACGTTACGATTTTACGGTTTCACAGTTTACGAGACGTGCCACGTGTGTTTTCTGGCCCTTCCAGTTTTTTTTTGGTGGTGCTTGTCTTTCTCACCTCTTCTCTTCTCGTCTGTGACAATCGCAAAACTTCTGTTCTGACGGGATGGATCGACGCAGGCTCATGGTACTCCAAACCCGAGTCCCTGGGTAACTCGGCTGGCGACAAGATCGAGGGCGCCCTCTCCCCCGTCGGCAAACACGCGGGACCCGTGCTGGAAAAGGTAGGCGGGCCCGTCGGTGGCCTCGTCGATCCCACGGTCGGTGGCATCATGCGCGCAGGGAAGGGCTGGGGGGATCAGATCGGCGTCGGGTTCGGGAACGAAGGTGGCGGGCCGGCCAAACAGCAACAGGCCGAAGAGGAGAATCTGAAGAAGGGTCTGGGCGGGAATGAACAGAATGCCGACAATCCTCTGGGGTTGTGAAGAAGATGTAAGAAAGAATGACCACAGATGAGGAGGATGTGAAAAAAAACGGAGCGTGAACGGAACATAATGTACACATGATGATGACGATGAGAATTGACGGCGTCACCTTCGTGTGATTGAACCTGGGTGGCTGATGGATGAGTACCTAACTGCACGTGTCCGGAGCATAACGCCCAGTGTTCCTTAAACTTGGTAGGGAGGAGGAATAAGGTATATGGGGAAAAGAGACGGCAGCAAACTATTATTTTATGTATGAATGTCTACGGTAGTATTTACACCCATTGGGGAAACAATAACACGTACCTTATGGAGACTCTTGAGTTGTTCCAAAACCAAGGATAGGCAACAGCTGTACTTTGTCCTATGGTTCTCACAACTTGACTTCTCGAGGCATACCGACTTGACCACTCTTCCAACCCTTCTCTCTCCACCTCTTGCCCCAGATCCCATTTCTCCCAGGACTAATGATGCCGTTGGGGTCCAGGGCGTCCTTGATGGTCTCGTTGAACCGACCCAAGGCGCCATTGCCCCATTTGTACGTCCCTGCCACCTGATCCATGTACAAAAGATGCGTCCTGTATTCTCCGTATCCCTTCCTGGCGCCTTCGTCGATGAGTTCCCTCATCAGACACGCTGCGCGGCGTTTGCTGTCAGCATCTTCGCGGTCGAAGACAATCTCGGCGATGAAGTGCATCTCTCTTCCCGCGACACAGAGCGTGCTGAAGGAATCGAATCCCCACTTGGCGTAGAGCCTCTCTGCTATCGTCATCATCGTCCGGGCGTGTTTACCGCTTGTGGGGAGGATGGGACTGCAGGCGATATGGCCGCCGTTGGGGAGCCAGTTCAGCCAGTCGAGCTCCTTCAAGACGGGCTCACCAATGTTGACCTTCGCGCGGTCGTGGATGTAGTGGTCATTCGGCAGGTCGGACGGCAGGAAGAATTTAGATCCCTTGATCTTTGCAAACGTGGTCTTGATGAGATCAAGCTGGGCCTGGATGGTGGCCGCGTCGCCGTACTGGCAGCCATAAAAGATCCAACTGACATCTCCACACGGCAACTTGGCCGCCTCGCGAGATATGATGGATCGTGGCATTCGTCCACCTCTGTCGCTTCCCTCGGGCCAAAAGTGACTGCGAGGCTTCCCGGTGACCGCCAACTCTTGAACGACGTGTCTGATCTGAGGGACGTTGCCGAACACGCGGCTCGCAGCCAACGGCCCTATCAGGTCGACAAGCTGCTCAAAGTCGTCCTCGCGAGGGAACGTGACCATGTACGACTGGCTTCCGGTGGCAGGCATAAGCCAGAACCCCATCTTGGTCACAATGCCATAGTTGGACTGGCTGAACATGCCATCGATAGCGGGGCCATATGCGTTCTGGAATGATTGCCACGTCAAATTGTCTGTGTCGTCTTCACCTGGCAGAGCCCCCATTCCTGTCCGGAGTAGCGTCCCGTCGGGGAGGACCACTTCCATACCACAATGCATGCCGAAATGGTCGCCGTAAGGAGTATATCCGACACCTCGGTCGAGCGCATTTCCCATCACACTCCCTCCCCCCAGGTCCGGGCAGTCGATCCAGAGACTGTGGCCGCTCTTCTTGACAGCTTCGTACAATGCAAAGTACGAAACTCCGGGCTCCAGAAGACATGAGCAGTTCTGGCCGTCAATCTTGAGGACCTTATTCATGCGCTTTCCCAGATCGACCACCACTGAGCCGGATACCCGGGGTGCAGCGCCGCCGTAGCCCAAGTTTCGACCCATCGAGATGGGATGAATTGGTATCAGGAACTCATTGGCCCATTTGACGATGCCTTGGACCTCTTCAGTCGTCGAAGGGTACACCACCGCGCTCGCAACGAGAGCATCTTGGTTGGCAACATGATTGCTGTCATGGGTATTGCTTGGGGATAGGTCAGCCGGGCGAACTTCTCGCAAGCAAAAAAGAGCAGCACAACGTACGGATGTTCCATGTACCAACCATCTACCAAAGCACCGTCATTGACGTGCACCCAGTGATCGCCAACAGCGGCTTTCAATGCGGCGATGGCATCGTCGAACTTTGCTTGAGTTGTGTATGGTGGTAGTTGAACCCCTCGCTTCGAGCTCGAAGTATTCTCCGTCTTGGTTCTCCTTGAGAATAGCAGCTCTTTTGCTCTCTTCGCCTGATCAACCAGCCTGGACGGGATCCCGCTGTGTTTGTCTTCGAGAGTTGGTGTGACGGGTAAGGTGCGTGAAGACATTTTGCAGTAATGAGCGATCGAAGAACAACCGACACAAAGAGGGTAAGAGATACAGATGCAATACTTGCCTCAACTGCTTACTATTGTCGAAGAGCATAAACCCCAGACTTAACCCCACGTCCGGAAAACATCCATCCTAGGGGGTGTCTGGGGAACACACGCTTTGTCTCGCTGGCTGCACCGTAGGCCCCACGCGGGTGAGCCTTCATCTGTTTGTCCCTTTTGCGGGGCTATAATGATTGCTCGAGGTGGGAGAAAGGCATTCCCTTCGCTTGTTGATAGTGGTAGGAGTCGACCTGAAGACCATGGGCGTCTGTTTACCAGAGCGCGGGGCCAAATCTGCATAGTCTAGGGCAGTAGACAACCATCTTGTTGTGGTCAAGCACATAGGTCAAAAGCGAGACTCCGATTACTTCGGAAGGTAAAACCTTTCGAGGCGACTGTCACAGTTACAACAAGAACAAGAGATCCCGGGGATTTTGGGCTTTTGTCTACGATCACGTGTGGCCGTGATTCGCGTCCCTATGTGGCTCGGCGCGCGAAGCATCTTCTCCTGACGGCAAATGTCATGCTCCTTGCCGCATCGTGCAAAGCTCACAAAAGCCGCCGTAACGTATCAATCTTCTGCTACGATCGAGTGCGAGCAGTTTCGCCGACCAAGCCCAGTTTGTGTTACCATGGTCTTGTCGAACCGCAGGCGCCTTCCCAGGCTGCAGGCGCTGCCTACAACCAGAAACAGAGGTCGTTTCAGATTGTCGCCGACTGGATGAAAACGACTGCATACGCTTTAGCGCTCGTTAGCTTGTCGGCTACGTAGTATCAGTCGAGACCAGCGGCGCATAAGCGATGGCTTCACAGCCTTGCTGGTCACGCTGGCGCCGTCTTCCATCGGCACCTGTGCTACCTTCCGATCCCATTTCATCATGCACAGCCTCAAGTTGATGGTCACTATTAATCAACCATCAGGATCCTCGGAAATGGCTTGTTGAATGTCCTCAATTCGCTGTGCTTACGTTGCTCAATCCACGCAACCTTTCAATGCAATCCTTATGACACTCAGAGAAAGAACGGCCTTCGAGAAATATGCCGACTGTGACTTTGGCCAATTCTAAATTGTTGGATGAACATAAGGATTTTATTCAAGATCTCTATCTTACCCATGGACTACGAGCCAAAGACGTGCGCCAGCAACTGCTAGCTCTGTTTTCTCTCCAAGCGAGGTACGGCAACTTGCAAATATCCTCCCCTCCTATTCCCATTTTGACGCAATGCAGCGAGGACCAGCTCAAACGGAAGTTCAAGAAATGGGGCATTGGCAAGAATGGAAAGAAAGAAGATTGGGTGGATGCTGCTCGAAGGGCCAAACAACGCCGGCTGGATGTGAGTCAAGCGAGCATAACGGCCAAAAATGGAATGCCCGTCGATGCTGCTCGGGCTAAAAGGGCTTTCCGGCGGCACAATCTCCCAAGGATGGAAGCAAAACAAGCTAATAGTAAGTTTTCAGGCCCATGATTGCTTCGTGGACTAAGCAGGTGACTAGAAAACATTCAACCATGCACTTCCGAAGAGATTGCCCTGCGACGGAAGTTTGTCAATCCTAATGCGATTACGACGATCACGCTGCCTTGCCATTTCTACTGGGAAGGGCTACGAAAAGTCTTACCCTATCGCGGAAAGTCACTCCCTTCGAACATGCTGAACCCCCCTTCGGCTTCTTTTCAATCCCTCAACGAGTTGTATTTTACTGCTAGAAATGATTTGTCGAACACAACCGAGTCACTTACTGCTTTAGCCTCTCTGGGTTCTGCGAAAGATGCCTCGAGTTTGGCTGTGACAGAATTGCATTCTGAAGCTGGAAAGAGGTCATTTGCCATTGCCCGAAGACTCTTTACCTCTGCCGGTAGCGATTACGGAATCCTCGATGAAGCCTTGACTTCTGAAGTGTTGACTGTGATTCTCCCCGAACAGAATCAATTCATCAACGATATGGAACTGGTTGCCTACTACCCCGGGATAGTAGATCTGCCTGTCTTGATGAGTTATTTGGTCTATCTTTGTTCCAATAGACTCATTCAAAATGGGTACTTCGATAACCTGGCTGACGATTTACTGGACAAGTACGGCAACGACGCTCTGAAGTATTCCTGCACAGAGCAGCTCAAGTATCTCAGGTGCTTCAAAGAGGCCATTTTGCTTTACGCGGCGAGACGGGGACGATATGAGATAGTACAATTCTTACGCCCATTCATCTTAGACCTGGACCAACGACTGTACACTGGAGCATATCCACGGACTCTACTTCAGGAAGGCATTGTATACAAACAAAGCTCATTCTGCAACGATCTCCTTGACGGTGGAGCAGACCCCGGTTGTCCCATGGACCCGCTGAAACTTCAGGTGTTACTATATGAACGCTCAGCTATGGATCTGGCCGCTTACTTCACGCCAGAACTTTTCCATCACATGTTCAACATCTCAAGGCGGAAGAAGAGCTTTACTCCCACGCTATTACTGCCTCTTGCAGTGAAATCTGGTATGGCTGTCGCTGACTGCCTCAACCTGATCGACCTTGGCGCGGACATCAATGCCATGGATAGTCAAGGCTGGACTGCTCTCCAACATGCGATTTCTGCACAACAGCACCGTCTGGTTTGTGTATTGCTCGGTCTTGGAACCTCTGCAGATTTTTTAGAAGAGCACAGGACAATGCTTGGACAATATGCATCACTACAAAGAAATTTTGCTCTGCCATTGTCACTCGCCGTCGAATTCGATGACTTGGAAATCTGCGAGACCCTTCTTCGGGCAGGGGTCAACGTGAATGCCTACTCTTTCAAACCGCACGAGGATCTTCTCGCCCGACATTACAAGCAAGAACCTCTGGCTAATCTGCCGAGGGCGATCTTTCAGACAGCTCTCCAGCGTGCAGTATGGGACAACAATACACGAGTAATCCAGCTACTCATCGAATATGGTGCAAAGGACACAGTTGAGAACACAATCCCCTGCCTGATCGTTGCGACGTGGAGAGGCAACTATGAAGCAGTCGCACTGCTGCTTCAGTATGGTGCCGATTTCAGAGAAACATGGCATGGAAGCTGGCTAGGGAAAGCGGATGCAATAGTACATGCTTCCTATGGTGGACACCTGCAAATCATGCAGGCCCTCCTTGATTCCGGCTCACACATTGGCCCGACTCAGGAAACCCGCGGGAATGGATGGACTGCACTGCAAGCCGCTTGCCTAGGTGGTAACTTGGCCGCCGTTCAATTATTATTGGCCTCTGGTGCCGATGTGAACGCCCCATGCTACTGTGACGACGGTCTGACAGCCTTACAAGCGGCTATTCGTTGTGGGGAACTAGACCTGATCAACCTACTTCTCAACTGGGGAGCCGACGTGAATGCTTCTCCATCCAGAAATGGGGATACGGCACTCTCAGCGACGATCAAGTCTGGGTCTGCCGACCTTCTGAGGACACTCATCGCGCAAGGCGCGGATGTCACCTTCAATGGGTGGAACACTCGACATGACCATGATGTATCGACCATCCCGATTGTTGCTGCGGCAATACTTGATCGGATAGACTTCATTCAAGAGATGTTACAAGCTGGTCTGAACTTAAACGCACCGGTCAGTCCAGGCACTAGAAATACTGTCTTGGGAGAAGCACTCTCACGAGCGGCAAGAAATGGTAGAGAGGAAGCTATCGAGTGGTTTCTTCAGCACAATGCTCCTATAATCCCTTCGGACCTGTCCAAGATACTTTTCTCCGTTCACTTTTATCAAAAATTTGACAGCCAGGTCGCTAAGAAACTCACGCAGCACCTGTTAGATCGAGGCGCTGATGTGAACGCATTGCACGTTGGTGAGACCAGATCGCCGACCACCATACTCTCGAGAGTCTGCCATTCTAGGAAGGAAGACAAAGAACTAGTCCAACTGTTGTTGGACAGGGGGGTTGATGTGAATCCAGACCCTGGAAGTCACACCAGGTGTGAGGTGCCTCTGATAGGTGCAGTGTCCAACGGCCATATCGCTATTGTGGAGCTCCTGCTAGAATACGGAGCAGATCCCAATGCAACTACTGACATTTTCAGATGGACTCCCCTTCAGCATGCTGCCTCCCAGGGCTATATTCGCATTGCACAAATGCTCCTCGCTCATGGTGCCAATGTTGGAGCTCCCACATCCGACGGGCACTACACTGCGCTTGATCTGGCAGTTGCAAAAGGCCGCCTCGACATGGTGAAACTCCTTCTTGATAATTACAAACTTGGAGATCGTCAAACCATGCTTGAGATCTGCAGAAAGTATGCTGAAGTCGCACGAGAAGAGTGCCACTGGGCAATCCTTGACCTCCTGGAAAGTTACGAGTCAGAAGCACAACGCTCGATCAGCGAAGTCAATTACTTTTTCGATGCTGATGCTGTAGAGACTGGCTCAGAACACTCAAGCAGGGCAGTCGAAAAGGAAATTAATGAGCAAAACATTGACTTCAACCCCTGGGAGACTCCGGACACACCAAGTTGGCAGACATGAATACGAAAACTGGCGCAGAGAGCCGTACTATCTGATCATTATTCACGATGTGCCTACGTTGTTCTGCTCCTTGGGCCGATCGTCTGTATCTCTGTTCACGGCCCCATCATACAACCTGAATCCTCGACTCCAGCCCAGACAGTATGAAGATAGACGATTCTTGTGCCACACATGTTCTCGGAGGCCGTCTGTCCCTACTAGAAGAAACCAAGCTCCCCCCAGGACGCCCATTATAACAAAATTGCGGACGAGAGAATGAGTCTTGACAGGCGGAATGCCAACTAGTTGAAAGCCCAATCCCGAGTTGATCCAGCCAAGACAGATCACGACACGGCCTGTCCATCGATGAACATATGCAAAGACACTCCTGCCGCCGGTCCGCTTGAATTGTCGATGTTGGAGGATACCCATCGCCGGCTGAACGACGATGACAGTGCACGTCACAAGCAGTCCAATCGCAACGTGGGCCTTGACCGGGGTGAAATAGTTCAGGTCGTTTTTGGCAATGTCGATGCCCAGGCCCATGGCACCGATCATCATGGCGAGGCCGAGGAGCTGGATCGGAGCGTGGACGCGACTCGTCACACGCATGCCCTTGAGCGGGAGATGTTGTGCTATGGCTCCCAGAGGAAATAGAACAATGAAGACGATGGACATCATGCAGGCATGGGCATTGCGTTTGCGGAGAAATATCTTGTAACTATCTTCGAAGTATGCTCGTTTCTCGATGGGTGGATTCGTTGGGGGTTCATTCTCAAGTGTTTTTGCGAAAGCTAGAGCTTTGCCCACGTCAGGTCGACTATTCAAGATTTCACAGATATCATTGAGGGTATAGACTCACCAGTGAATATGGCCAAGGCCATTAATCTACAGACGGGAGAGATCATGGTTCTGTTGGAGAAGCAGCCCTGTTGACATCTGGACAGAAAACCGAAACGTAGAAGAGGTGATCAGGGTTAGAGGTGTAAATATATAATACTGTAGCCCTAAACTTTCTCCGCACGAAAGCGCCAGAATACTCTGAACCCGACGTCGAACAAACCGCTCATTGCGAGCGTCCGTGCAGAGTGGGCAACCCGCAGGGACCAATGCCGTGGTCGCGCATATTGGCCGAAGGGGTGAGGAGGGTGGTCAGGGACTTGTTTCATGCTCGCATTCTTGCGATGAGGCGAGGATTAAAAATAGAATAAGACGTCGACAAGGCTGAGGGGAAAACCCCGCGGCCAATGTTGTAACTGGTGTCAGCATGGTAAGAGATCACTGACGACTCTTCGGTACGCATTGTCACACCGTGAACGTCGAATTTCTTGTTACCTCCTCGAAAGAATGCAGAATTTTTCCTATGTCTGTTTGTATATCTGTAATAACAATAAATGATCATTGCGTCGTCTAGAGGCGTGAGCACAGGAGGAACAGCGGGTTGAGAACATACCCTGCACGAAGACAGGGTTCATCTCGTTTACTCGCCCCAAGAGGTCACTTCCATTGTCCAGACAAGTCAGACTTGCTCCTGAAGCTGATTCTTGAAGGTCTCAATTTGCGGTAACAGAAAGTCGAGGACTGTGGAAATGACCTTTTGCGATTCATGAGCCACGCCTGGAACGATCTCGAATCTTGAGACAATGCCTAGCTCTTTCCAACTATCGCGTAGCTTGGTCAGACCAGTCAGTCTTCCCTCTCTCATCGGACTGAGTTGCGGGTCAGCAGCCACAGATCGATGGCTGCTGCCGCCCTTACTCGTACTTAAAGATGCCCTGAATTGTGCGATGAAGGCCATAAATTCCTCACCACCGTGGATGAAGTCGTCTTCGCTCCCAACGAGTAGTTGAATTGCTGGGACAGCCCGAATAGCGTCGATGTCGACCTTGGCACCGGGGCCGAACACATCCTGAACATCCCTTATACCATTTGGCCAAGATTCACTGGTGTCGAGGAATGTAGGGCGGCCCGGGGCGCCAACGGACACAGCTTGTAAACGTTCCGGATGGATGTAAAGCATTCGCAGGGCAAACTGGCCGCCGCCGGAGAAACCTACTAAAGAGAATGTCGAGGTCGATATCCCTGGCCAGACGGCGGCGATCTCATCGTCAATTATTGACAACAGGATTTGATCCGAGTTGAAGTTTTGAGCAGTGCGGAGTAGCTTATAGCTGTCCAAGTCAATGGCAGACGTGATGCCAGCTGGGAATAACGGCGCAAGGATTGCAACGTGATGCTTGTCGGCAAATTCCTTGAAGCTGTCGCGGCACCCTTCGGCTCTGCGCCCTGTACCGTGGACTGAGACTACCAGGGGAAGACGCGGAAGAGAGTAGACTGGGTCGTCGGATGCAGACCGTGATGGATCTGGGTTATAAGCATGGGGAGGGATATATAATGTGTAGGAGACCGAGGGATGAGCACGAGATACGCGGAAGGGGATGCTCCCGGTCAGAAAGGCTGGTTGGAGGAATTTAGGAGGGATCAAGGTGGTAGATATGAGGGAGGACATGGTGGACGACTGAGCGCTTCCAGATGGTTAGTGATGACGGAGGAGAAGGTGTCTCGACATGATATAGAAAAGTGTTTGCCTCATTTGTGTAGTCTATTGGACATATACCAATCGAATAGAGTTCAGGATAAGAGGTGCGAAATTCGGCTTTGGTGCGACAACGTGGAATTGGAGGCATATAGTGATGCAAGATGGCGTCAACTTACCCGTTTCATCGTACCCTGAGGATACTTGACATACAGTATCCTTGACTTCGTCCACCAAGACAGTGAATGTTACGAGTAGATACAGGAGAAAAAGAAGAACGGCGAGAGGGCGGAGGGTGAGTAAATGAGAGGCTGTGGACTGTTTGCGGATACGAATACGAATACGGATACGAAGAGCCTCCCCCGGTCTCGGGCGACGCGGCTGCCAAGGAGCCTGCGTGGGATGAGCTGAGTTCGAACTTGTGATGTTCTCCGCGCTGCCGCCCAGGGAAAAAAAAGTGCCGCATGACGAAGCTTCTGGTACTGCGCGAGGGCCGTCGGTCGGTCACCACCAGCTGCACCGCCCTCGGCGTCTACGCATCTCCCAACACACTCCATGCCTCAATCTCTTGTTGGGATTCCGTTCTTATATATTTCGTGCGTCGTTGGTCGACTGATATACCCCGTACATGCTGTATGACCTTTAGGCACCTTGTGCACTCCCGTATCTCATCTGCATTTCCCCGGCTGCCCCACCGATCCATTGAGCCCGTCAGCTTCCGAACGAGGCCCTCAGCCGCAGTGCGAACACCTTCTGCCTGAGCGAGCTCTTCGAGACCACTGAGACTCCCTCTATACGAGTAAGAGGTGGAAAAGTAATAAATATATATACGAGGAGACAAGATGCCTTTTGGAATCAACAATCCGCTGCCATCTTCTATGAGAAGTGAGTCTCGCTCCAGCCATACCGGACTTTGCAACCTTCCACCACTGACACTGTTCAGGCGAATGCAAAAAGGCGGGCAAGATTCTAGCATCTTTTGTTGATCCCAGACAAAGCTTTGGTCCGGACAAAATCATCCCTCCCTCTATTCTGGGAAATGCCAAGGTGCGCATTCTTCACGCACCGTCTTAACACCGACTGCCGCTAATCATTTCCACAGGGTCTCGCGGTTCTCACGGTTTTCAAGGCTGGTTTTCTCGGCTCAGGTCGACTAGGCTCCGGTATTGTTGTCGCTAGACTTGCAGATGGCTCGTGGTCAGCTCCTTCCGCCATCGCAACCGCTGGTGGTGGCTTTGGAGGTCAGATTGGTTTCGAATTGACCGATTTCGTCTTCATTCTCAACGATGCCGCCGCTGTTCGATCCTTCTCGCAAGCAGCTTCGGTCACTCTTGGTGGAAACGTCAGTATCGCCGCCGGTCCGGTCGGTCGCAATGCGGAAGCGGCAGGCGCAGCTAGCACGAAGGGTGTGGCTGGTATTTTTGCATACAGCAAGACGAAAGGACTGTTCGCCGGTGTCAGTCTGGAAGGAAGTGTGCTGATTGAGAGAAGAGATGCGAATGAGAAGATGTACGGAGGCCGCATAACGGCAAGACAACTCCTCGAAGGTGGCGTCAGACCACCTCCAGCTGCCGACCCGCTGATGCGGGTTCTGAACACTCGAGTCTTCTCGGGCGCAGCATTCTCGGATAACATGTACAACGACATGCCTATATACGACGATCAGCATGATGATCTGGTGTGGGAGGGACGGACAGGATCGGGCTATGGGGCTAATGTCCGCAACAATCGGTCGTCAACCGTTGGATCGCGAGACGATAATTATGAGTATCACGACAATCCGCGACGAGCGACTACCTGGGATGATTACAACTCACCCTCCAGAGAGAACAATGGGTTCGGCAACAGAAGTCGATCGAGCACGATGAATGATGATTATACATATTCCGACAACAAACCCAGCAGACCCACTGCGCCGAAGCCTGTTTTCCGCCAACGCACGGGGTCAATCGGCCCCAACCAAGCGATTGCTCTGTTCACGTTCGAGGCTGAGCAAAAGGATGATCTCGGCTTTAAAAAGGGCGATATCATCACCATTACCGAGCGAACGAAAAGTAAAGAGGACTGGTGGAGGGGACGGACTGCAGATGGCCGAGAAGGCATGTTCCCTTCAAATTATGTCGAGACAGCTTCATGAGAAGATGAAGGGGGGTTTGATGTGACGAGGTGACATTGATACCCATTTTCGTTTATCTTTGATGTTTCTCACTGCCTTCAGCAACGGCGTCTAGAAGTGTGTTTCTCGCAAAGCAACATGTTCCTCAGAGGCGCAAAGCAGAATTTAAAAGAGCGTTTCTGTTCTTGAAGACAGTTTTGCATCGTCTAACCCATATAGTTGTCGGCTTACAATGATATTGTGAGTTGTTCATTCATCAAAAAGGCTGAAATTTTCTGATTCTCAACTAAATCGAGTATATTATATCTCTGCTACCGTAGTATGCCTTTCACGGTATGCTTTATGGCTAACAAGACAAGACACGACAACCACTCCCGGCCTGGGTTTTCTATTCCCCCAGCATTCAGCTGATTGCATGTGGCTTATATGCCCATCGATCGCTTCATCGCTGTTTCAGATCATTTGACATAATACATAACTACGTCGTGAAATCACCGGCAACATCTAGAACTACATACTCTGTAAAAAGTCGTGGATTTGAAACATGTCAACCTCGAGCCGCAGGCCTCGGCGGACCCCAAACATACATGGTCTTCGGTCCATTCTCCTGCACAGTCACCGGCGTCTCACTGTTCACCAGGTCCCCGTCGGCGTAATGCTCGAGTTCAAATCCGGACTCATCGTACCAGTAATCAAAGATCTGACTACCCAGGACATGCCTCCCGACACCCCACGAGAGCCTGTAACCCCTGGACTCGAGGTAGTTGTGGGCCAACTGCTGCACGTCGTAATCGTGAACTTCAAACGCACTGTGCGCGACGTCGGGCTTCTCGTCCGCCTTCGCAGGCTTGACGTAGAAGCTGTGGTGATCGGTATACTCTAGGCCTCTGTCAATGTGGAAGAAGGATATCGCGTCCTCCCCTTCGACAGTCACTTTGTCGGAGAAGGCCAGCGTCAAATTCGACGTGTACCAGTCCACCATCTCCCGGTACGTCCCGGGGGGGTAGCTGACGCCGTAATGTCCCCATTTGTGCACGGGGGCAGGTCCCTCCTTGAGTCTCTGAAACCGGCCGAGCCGGGGCTTCTCGTCCTCGTAATTGACCACGAGCTTCGGTAGGCCTTTGGGCTCGGGCTGCTTTTCCTGGATGCCGTGCACGAGATGGACCAGGTGGCCGACGGGGTCGGTCAGGGTGATGGAGACGCCACCGCCTGGCCCGTCGAGTTTGCCGACGGCCGACGCGCCCGGTATCCTGCTGGCTTTCTCGAGCTCAGACTCGGCTTCCACGAGGTACGAAGCGCCGCCGAACCTCGCCACACCGTCCTCGGCCTTCCTTGCGACATAGCAGTATGCGTCTGGGCCGTAGCCCTTGAAGAAGACGGCGTCGTCTCTTCGTTCGGCGACCTCGAAGCCGAAATCCAACAGAAACTTGGACGCTCTGTCCAGGTCTGCATGGTGATATGTCACGAATGCAGTCTTCCGCAAGCGGACTCTCGGGTCGTCCAACGCGACTGGCATTTTCTCAACGTCGAGGTAGTGATAGTGGAAGAACTAATCTGAGGGTTCAAGGGATATTTGGTGAGTGAGCCTAGGTGCCTGGCGTGCTCTGTGGCTATAGTTGTTGGCTTTTCGGGAACTCTGCAACGCGGAATCTACGGCGCACCTCCCACCCATCTGCTTACGTTGTCAGTCTGATCTTGGACCGCGGACAGTGAGGCGAGAAGCACGACATTTTGGCCTAGCCTCAGCCGAATACCGTCCCACGGGGAACATAAACGGGGGAACAGGGCGCATTTAACGCTTTACCCCGCGTCACCACAACACACACTAGGGGTCTGGACTGTGGAACTAATTTCGAACCACCACGAGAGCCACGTGAGTCGTACATCACTGCAAGGCAAGCATGGTTTGTAGCTACCAGAGCAGTGTGCACATTGCTTTCCGCACGGCGTTGTAGTCCGAGGGCACATCCCCACCTTCGACCAGTGTGAAACGCAAGCTTGAGGAAAGTTGATCACCTACATATCCAAGGGGCTGAGAATCGTCGTCCGTCTTCTTTTCTGTCATGCTGCATAATTTCCTGCGAGCCCATGCACCGTCAGCAAGTGGGTGGCACTTCAAGTGCCGGTGGAACTGCAAGCGACGTGATCATACTGCGCGTTCCTTGTCGAGTCCTTTCTCGCTCCTGTATCGAGCAGTGCAGCGGGTTGGAGGTTTGCCGACTTTATGACAGATTCTGTTTGTGGAAGATGCTCAGAAACGCCTCAGTATGTCTTCCCAAATGGACGTTTGGGCCACAGTTCTACCTCTTGACGTGGATTGAGAATGTTTCGAGTGAGATGAGAATAGACAGAGTTACCGACCTCCTCAATAAAGTCTGGAAATTTCTCATTCGTTCACTTCAAGTGTCACCTGAAGGAGTCGAAAAGTTACGCTACTGTTGGGTATCAGGCAATAGCGATCAATATATTGCTTTAGATTAAAATGTAAAGGACGGTAATAAGGTTGAGACTATTGACGATGACGTTGTCAAGAGGTACGTACAGTCGATAAGGAATAACTATGTTCCGGACGCTAAGATCGTCAGAGTTGCCGTATTCGAGAGTTAACTCGACAAGAGCCAATCAGGTCCGCGGCTTTATCGACAAGACATGCACTTATATGCGCTCACTCTTCCCGTCTCGTATTCATCCCCGCGTCAACCACTGGAATGTGAAGCGACGCCTCCAAAGCCAAATAAAAGTATAAGGGGGAGCAGAAAGCTCGGTTGAATCCTAACGGGGCTGTGACAACTCAAGTACTAGGTAACTACTAAAGTGCCAACGGTCCTGCGGATCTGTCGACCTACCTGGTACCCTGGTGTCCAGACCTCCATCCTGCTGAACATATACATACGCTTTTGTTCGTTGTGCCTCGATCACAATCCTTTTTGAGAGGAAATTCTCCCGAGGAAAGGCACCACGAAAGGCCCCAACGATGTACTTCTACTCGTCCCCACGACGTCCTCAATGGACAATGCTCACATTCACCCTCGCCGTCGGAACACTGCTCGGCGCAGCGGCAGGGGCGGCAGTGTCAGTTCCACCGGACGCGCAATCCGTGAGACATTGCTCTAGACTCTGCTTGAACCAGGAGAGGTGCGAGTTCATATTCCGTGGACGTGGCCGCAGCGCAGCCTCGGCCCTGTGTGGTGCCATACCCGAACGGTGCGCCGACGTTCCCGGATGTGAGCAGTTTCTCGTCCAGGGTGTATCACCACAGCGAGAAGAACAAGATCAACAAGATCAACGGCGTCAGCACTATCCGTCAAAGATCGTCAAGGACGCCAAATCCGTTCGGGTTCCTTCGCACCAAGAAGCTGACGATGACGCTCGAGAAGAAGAAGACGAAGAAGAAGAAGCCTCAAAAGAAACTACTAGAGACTGGTCTCAAACTCAGCCAGGCCAGTCGTGCGCCAGCATCTGTGACGCTTATTGGTTCTGTGTGCGTCGTGATCCGTGGGCGGAGGAGATCTGCGGATCGATCCCGCGGCAGTGCAAGCATGAACCAGAGTGTAGAGGCATGCAGGTCAATGATTCCCGTGGCGGCGATTCCAAGTCTACTGCCAAAGACTACTACACGTCCCGCGAAGAAATGGAGGACAACGTCAGGAACAGCCATGGTCATGAAACGCCGGACAGGAAGAACATGAGGAGGCCAGGATGGATAACGGCCCAGCTCGGAAACAAATATGGCGGCCAGGAAGACGAAGAAGAGGGGATACATGATCTGGAAGTTTCAGATCTCTAATTCCCGTGATACGGTGTTACAGTGCTGCCGGAGTTGTTTTATGACTTGGCCTCCCTTTTCCGCTCGAACTGAATTTGCCATGTTCCAGGGCGTGTCGATGTGTTGCTTGCTGATACTGCTGGGAATACGTTGGACTTAGAGGAGAAGAAAGCCATCCATGATTGTTATCCATTAAAGTGAAGTGAATGCGAACTGCTTCTTGTGAGTCGTTGTGCTGTTGATCCTGATATCGTAGCTAGAAACGTTGTTTACAATATCGGCAAGGCTGCCATTGAACTCCCTACCTACGACTTCACCGAGACAACAAACCCATTATGATGATGCCCACTGCAAGGGCCCTATATTCCCCCGACTCATCACCATGACGAACGCCCATCTCGTCCTCTGATGGAGGCGGTAGTGCTGAGGCTGGTATTGTCGTGTCTCCTCGTCTTCAACATTTGGCCAATCATAAAATGATTGACGTCCTCGTCTGCCCAGTAACTCAAATGACTCGCAATGCTGGCTAGCAACGAAACGTCGAACATGCCTTCTTGGATGTGATAGTCGACGCGACCGTTGCTGTTCAAAGCCCTGACTTTCATCTCTTCACGCTTCAGTTTCCGAGCCCTTTCTTGGGACAAGTGGTATTCGGAAGCAGCAGCATCAGCGGCAGCAGTAGATTGACCTGATGAACCCTCCTCGCCACCCTCGGTGGAAGCATGTGACCGGCGACGTTTCTGAAACCCAGAGTAGAGTGTCTCAATTTCCGAATCGATCAGTGTCGGCGCTTGTTCAGTCGGAGACGCAGACTTGGCCATGTTTGCCAGCTCTTGCTGTCTCTTGTCGCTTGCAATAGGCAGGTTTTGTACGCTTGCTGGTGTCGGTGTAGGAGCCGCCGTTACTCCACCGGACGCTTTTCCTTTATCTTGAGGCAGGGCTTGTTCTTCACCTGTAATCCCAAGACTCCTATTGATCAAACTTGACGCGACCCCGGATGTGAGGTTGTACCAGCTCGACATGACTTGTTGACCCATACGAGCCGTGACATTCGCTATGCCGGGTGCTGCAAACAGACCTTTCTTGGTATATGGGAGAGGCTGGGATTTCAGCTGTGCCATCGCTGGAGATATGAGTGGCTCCATTCGGTAGGCTATCGGATCTGTAGGATGGAATATATTGAAGAGTTCATTGCACTTGGGAGATGACGTGCTGATCGGTATAATGTCCCTCGCGGCCCCGGCACCCGGCGGTTTCAGTGAGTTGTCAAACGGATCGTTTAGCATCGGATCCGGGTCAAAGGGAGAAGTAGGTACAGCACCTGCACCAAAAGTAGTTATGCCCAAGGTGGATCGAGCGGCAATTGTTCTTCCCTTTAGCATTTGAAAAAGGGCAATGGGTGATCCAATGCAAAAGAAATTTTCCACATCGAAGTCAAGCTTGAGATCCTTTTGTTCCACATTGAACTCTCTCGACGTTTTGCTGGATACCCGTCGCGGCCTTGTTTTACTGGCTTCTTCCTGCCGACAGAGAATATCGAACAAAATGGCACTGCCGAGCGAGTGACCACAGAAGCTGACCTTACCAAAAAATCCTGTTCGCTGTTTGAATAGCTGATAAACTCGATTTGCTTCTTTCTGTACGATGGACGCGATATGTTCTCGATATGCGCTTTGGTATAAGAGGACATCCATGGCAAGGTCTGTGATCAGATTTCGGACAGCTGGCACTCCTTCGACGGTGATATCTTGCAAGGAAGGGTATTCATCATCGAAGTCATCATCAGCATCCCCAAGATCGAATTCTTTGCGATTCTGCTTTAGACTCTGCTTGGGGAAGTCCAGAAGGTGACGCCAACAGACCGGTAACACCTGAACTCTGCAATTCTTAGGATCTCCGCTTAAGGCCTGCAAGTCAGGGGCTGATCCAAAGACTGCCTTCATACTCTTTCGAAGTGTATTGACGTCGTGTATGAACTGTAATGAACTTAGAATATGCACCGAAAGGGGAAGGATTGGCCGGGGCGGAAGAACTTACGTTGATACTGTCCAATCTTAGGCCGAGGCGTTGCCCAATGCCATGCGTAACGAGAACCAGGTGGTCAATCTGTCGAGCTTGATCCTCACCATCCTTCTCTCGTGCATCCTCCATTTCCCGTTCTTCCTCTTCCCGAGCATCTTCTTCAGCCTGTCTTTGTGAGTCTTGAGAGTCCGGCATCCCAGCTAAGGATGATAATTGTCGCTCAAGAGCAGTCCGACGAGGTCTCTCGGGTTCTTGTTCCACATTTTCATCAACTACTGGAATCGCTTCTGATGGGATTTTGGCAGACCGGCGTTTCTCTTTCGTACTGGTGCCATCGGTAGCCTTGGAGTCGACCTTTGTATCGGTAGACTTGCCGTCAACAACCTTTAGATCTGTCCAGCCACGGACGACTTTCGTTCCACCATAGCCAACGAATCGGCCGTAGACCGTATTGCTCATCCGTGACAGGAAGTCGTCAGTAGATAGATATGCCACGGTGGCATCTTGATAGGTCACAGTTGTGTTCATGTGTGAGCCGAAAAGCCGATAAGTGTTGGAAGCGGTAGATTGATTCTCATCTTGGGAGGGTTCTGCTGAATGAGCTGTTCCATCAAATACTGCAGAAGCGGGTCTGCTCCTTGGTTGAGAGGTAGATCGTTGTCCCGTTAAGCCTATCCTTCTCCAGGGAGCAACCTTCAAGTAACCTTCTTCAAGTTGATTGGCAAGATTCTCATCGCATGGCTTCAAAGATGAACCATCGCTGTAGAACCAGCTTCCTCGGCGGACTTCGTATACCGGACCAAGCCAATAGGCAGGCTCAAGTTCTCGCTTTTCGATGTGGACATCGAAAAGATAGTCTTCGTTAACAGGAACCTTTGTGCTGGTAATCCCGGAGCTGTCACGCTGGGCTTCCTCGTCGCTATCCAGCGACTGAAAAGCCTTCTCGATAGCTGCTGAGTCAGATGCCGAAAACGGCACCAACTTCTTCGGAACCTGTGGAGGTTTTGCCTTTTCCTCAGATTTCGTCTCTGCCGCGAAAGGCTTCCTTTTAGCCACATCAACTGCATAGAACCATCGCGTCTTGAGCGGAGGACAGTCCTTCGGATACCTGCGGAGACTGGGCGACGGCCGGAGGTTGATGGTATGGTCGAGACCTGTCGACTGTTTCAACCCCGGAGGTTCTTCGCTTGATTTTGGAAGGGGAGACCTTGGAGGAGGGGTACTACTTCTGCTCCAAGAGGTAATTGAGCCTAGGAACGACGAAGCTGGTCTCGATGACTCGGCCATTCCTTTCCGAAGAGCCCTTAGGAGGGCGGGAAACCGATCCAATGTGACGGCATACGTATGCCCTGGTCTGTTCTCTTTTCAAACCTACCGATGAGGATGGAGGACCCCTGAATATCAGGATCTGGGATTTAGCAAGAAATTACTGGGCTTTGGAGATAAGAAATAAAACTCGAAGGAGATATTCGAGGGATAAACGTTTGTGAGCGATGTGCAACAAGGAAATAAAAGACACTCTTGATCCTAATCACATGTTTTGAACCTGTCACAATGATATGGGATCAGATCGTATTGGGACTAGTGCGGTACAGAGCCCGCCACAGAGTGTGGCTCTCCATATCACGTGATTAAGTGCACCGCCTCACGGTTGGTGGCGGGTTCTGCGTCATTCCAAATCCAATTCCCGACCCTCACTTTTGGTTGTTGGCCTTGCGATCAGCCCTCCAGCCTTTTCGAATCCGCAATAAGCTGCTTGCGACGCTTGTTCAGGCACCACAATTACACTCGACTACATATTCTCAGTCCTGCTCACTCAATCTCTCTTCGAATCCCCGGTAGTTGTCCTCCCGCCTGTAACGGCGCATCTCTACTGTTGCCATCCAAACTCGTCTTAGTCTCCCTGGGCAAAAGTCCCTCTCTCGCGGGCCACCATGGCTGCTATACTCAAACTCACCCGAAAATACCCTCAGTTCCAGCAGAACGAGATCTTTCAATTGCAAGATGCATTTCGCAAATTGGACGTTGACGACAAGGGGTATCTAGACGAAGCTACCGTAATCAAGGCCACCCAGCAGTCCGAGAGACAATCCTACGATGTTGTCAGACAAGCGCTCAAGGAGGTGGAACTGGACAGCTCGAGACGAGTAGAACTCGAAGACTATGTTGACCTCATCTCGAAAGTGCGCGGCTCTCCACCGACTCAGCAGCGCATTCCGAGCGGGTCAGTACGACCGGCTGCAGGCAATGGCACTCCTGCGCCCGGTCATGCTTCAAAGCCTAGTCTTGGAGGAGGGGCAGGGAAAATTCAGGTCCAAGGCTCTTCTGCGAATGTTACACACACCATAAACGAAGAAGAACGAACTGCCTTCACCACTCACATCAATGCGGTCCTTGCCGGCGATCCGGACATTGGCCATCTGTTGCCTTTTCCGACCGACACTTTTGAGATGTTTGACCACTGTAAAGATGGCTTGGTATTGGCAAAACTCATCAACGACAGTGTTCCGGATACGATCGACGAGCGTGTGCTAAACACTCCGGGCAGAAAGATCAAGACCCTCAATGCTTTCCACATGACGGAAAACAACAACATAGTCATTGAATCTGCCAAAGGTATTGGTTGTTCCGTGGTCAACATTGGCAGCGGTGATATCATTGAGGTTCGAGAACATTTAATCCTTGGTCTCATTTGGCAGATCATTCGACGTGGTTTGCTGGGTAAGATCGATATCAAGCTGCATCCCGAACTTTATCGTCTCCTCGAAGATGATGAAACTCTCGAGCAATTCCTCCGACTTCCTCCCGAGCAGATCCTCCTGCGGTGGTTCAACTACCACCTCAAGAACGCTGGCTGGCCCAGACGAGTCACGAACTTTTCGGGTGACGTCAAAGATGGGGAGAACTACACCGTTCTGCTCAACCAGCTGAAGCCAGATGTTTGTTCCAGAGCTCCTTTACAAACCAGAGACCTCCTGCAACGAGCCGAAGAAGTCCTTCAAAATGCCGAGAGAATCGATTGTAGAAAGTTTTTGACCCCCACTGCATTGGTAGCAGGAAACCCCAAGCTCAACCTTGCCTTTGTCGCCAACCTCTTCAACACTCATCCTGGGCTGGATCCTCTTACAGAAGAAGAGAAGCCAGACATTGAAGACTTCGACGCCGAAGGTGAACGTGAAGCTCGTGTCTTTACCCTCTGGCTCAACAGCATGGATGTCCAGCCTACGATCAACAATTTTTGGGAGGATCTGCGAGATGGCACAATTCTGCTTCAAGCCTATGAGAAAGTTATTCCTGGCAGTGTCAACATGCGCCACGTCAACAAACCTCCTGCTCACGGGGGCGAAATGTCTCGATTCAAGATGGTGGAAAACACCAATTACGCCGTCGAACTGGGCAAGCAGAACCGCTTCTCGCTCGTCGGTATCCAAGGTGCTGATATCACAGACGGCCAAAGAACATTGACCTTGGGTCTGGTGTGGCAGCTCATGCGTCGCGACATTGTCAGCACTCTATCAGGTCTTGCTCAACGTATGGGTAAGAGAGATCTCTCCGACTCGGACATGATTAGATGGGCGAACGACATGTCTAAAAGAGGTGGGAAGAACTCGGCAGTGCGCTCTTTCAAGGATCCTGCCGTTACCAGTGGTGTGTTCCTTTTGGATGTTCTCAACGGAATGAAGAGCAACTACGTCGACTATGACCTCGTCACCCCGGGCAAGACTCAAGACGATGCATACGCGAATGCCAAACTATCAATCAGTATCGCTCGAAAGATGGGTATGTCTTTATCTAAAAGTGCAGATTTGGAGCATAGACTGATATTCTTTTTAGGAAGCACCATTTACCTTTTGCCAGACGATATTGTACAAGGCCGAGCTCGACTAGTACTGACTTTTGTCGGTGAGTTGAATTTGAATCATGCGAACCAGCAGAATATAAATGCTAATGAGTGGATTAGGTGCGCTGATGAGAACAGCCGAAAAGCTGGGCGTCTAAGGTAACCTGCACACCTTGCGCACCGGACAATTCCAGCATAGTTCCTTTTCATCAGGCCTTTGAAAGCGGATGCAATATTTGGAAAAAAAAAGTTGAGGGAAGCTGAGTCTTGTTTGTCCGAGGTTGTGCGCAGCCTCGGTGTGTATACGTTGGGCGGGAACAGCAAGGGAATTTACTCTGTAGGATCGAAACGCGGAGACGAAGAACAAGACGAAGACGGAAGGACGACGATACGTTTCATAAAAAAGGTGCTGCTTGATACTTGCCTCGGTAGTGTGCACGCAACGAACATTTCTTCCGTCTCGAGTGAGAGAGCCGGCTTTGTGTTTTTCTAGACGCCAACAACACTTTTAGCGAAACAGGACCGAGGGTGACTGATTGGTAGGGGATATGGCACAATAGCACTAGCACTTACAAAAGAGTTCACCTCTCCTTCCCAAAACCGTGAAGCTCATCACTACCTACCTAGGCAGTTGACTATGTCAGTTGTTGTTGTTGTTGTTATGGATGTTAGTTATACTCTAAAGTTTTGGGACTGGCTCGTCACGCGTGATCCTATTTGGATCGTGAAGGGCGATCAAAATAGTGTTTCTTTTTGACGGACCGATCGGAGACCCTTTTGTCTCCATAAACAGTTTAGCGGGAGGCCTGACTGATTAGTCACCAAGATATACATAAGGGCCCATTACTCCCCGTACACGGTTGAGGTTCAGCTGCGACTGAAAGAGTTAAGGAAAGATCGTTTCGACTCCTTTTGATACTGAAAGAGTGGAACTTTGTCTGCTTCTTGTGGAATCCATGGCTTCAAAAGCCAAAAAAAAAAAAAAAAAGTCGAAAGTCGGCTTTCTGGACTTTTTTCTATATAGGCTTCGAACAGATCAAGGGGTTATCGGATATTGGTCTATAATTGAGTATGTTAGTGAGATCTCTCTTGAATGAGCTGGGAAGAATTAATTACCTTGCGAATAATCTTTTCGAACGGTCGGGGATTCGAACCAGCGGCCCTTCTCTTCCTTACTACTCGCCCGCGGCCCTCGGTTTTCCTTGCTCGCCGCAGTGAATGGGACGTCCGCCACATAGCCATGTGGTTTTAACCTGAGCCATCACTGCGGGGTCTTGGTGGTTGAGGGAAAAAATTCACGGTTTGATCGATGTCGTTTGATTATTCGGTGGTGAGTGAATGGTCCCTGAGTGGGTCCCGAGATACACTCGAGGTACATCTCACAGCATTAAGTGCGGGTAAACATGACCGTTTTTTTCCGATTACTAGTTACTATGGAACGCAGTTTTTCCATTCCGGTTACGAGTACCTACCGGGACGCAGTATTTACAAAGGTGTAGTCCTAAGGAGGTACCAGGGTAGATATATGTTGTCGGTGCTCACGAAACGGTTGAATTTGTCTATCTGCCTGTCTGTCTGTGCTCCTGGTTCCCTTTCGGGAGTCAAAATACTGGTTCTTTTCTTTGAGGACGGTTGAAGAGCTTCATGGTTCGTGGGATATATGATCTGCATTTTCATTTGCATTTACCTCACTTTGAGACCACAATTCTCTCAAGGGGTTGCCAATAAGAAGAAGAAAAAAGGACCAACCAACCACTCTGGGAACTCAAGCAAGCCACCACCTCATCTCACCTCACCTAGAAAGACAACCCTCAATCGACCATCCCACCACCAGACCTCATCTCCGATAGAAGAAGTCGTCGTCGTCGTTGTCACTGGTACAATAACGGTGCCATGTAGATTCGACTTGGGGGCGACTTGGGACTTTTCTTTTTTTGGATTCTTGGGAGTCGGGACTTTCTTGCCCTGCCTTGACTTGGCTTGGGCGTATACTTGTCAACGTGATAGTTTACAAATACTCCTCGAACCACTGGACGGCCTGCAAGAATGCATTCTCCTTTGCGTACAGGGCGCGCCTGTTCTTCGGGTCCCCTCGGACGGCAAAGCCGTGCTCGACGCCGCTGTACAGGTTGATCTGGTACGGCTGCCCGACCTCCTTGAGGATGGCTTCCGTCTCGTGGCGCTTCTCCGTGGGGAAGATCTGGTCCGTCTCGGCGGCCGAGATGGCCAGGGGACCCTTGATGTCGCGCAGCTCGTCGGCGTCGACAAACGACGGGTGCGCCGTGTATCCGGCGTCGATCTTGCCGGCCTCGGGACGGAGGTGGCGGACGACGTACTTGCCGCCGAAGCAGTATCCTACAGCACCGATTTTCTACACATCACCACGTCAGTAGACGGACAAGATGAAGAAGGAGAGATATTTGTGCGCGCTGTTGTTGTCGTTGTGGTCAATGGACGGGACGAATATAACCTACCTTGCAATTGTATTTCGTCCTCATCTCAACCAGACACGAATCGATGATCGGGTCCACGACGGGAGGGGTGTGGGCGATCTTGGCCTCGTTGTACTCTCCCTTTATCCACTTCGCAATGTCAAAGTCTCCAGGGCGGTTCAGCGGGATAGGATCCTTGTAGAACAAGTCTGGCATCATGACAAAGTAGCCGTTCGCCGCGAATTGGTCGGCGATGAGGTTTGCGTTGATGAAGCGATGGCCAATGACGTCGGTGATGCTAGAAAGAAGAAAGAACCCTTCTTGTTAGCACACAGGCACGGAACAAAGCAGGACGGAACAATTCTACGGGGGAGAGAGAGAGAGGATGAAGGAGTTTTTGGACCAGGTAAGCAAGTAAGGAAGTAAGCGACGCAGAACCAAGCAAGCAACCCCAAAGCAAAAACGTAGCAACATACAGCAAGATCCCCTTTTCTGTGCTCTTGTTCTCTGGGTACTTGGTGTAGATTTCAAAATCGCCCAGGGTAGAGAACTCTCCGGTGGCGGTGCCTTCGTGCTTGACGCCCTTGTAGCAGCATTTTCCTGGTGGATGGGACGTCATCCTGAAGAGTGGGAACTAATTTGTCTTTGGAGAGAGAGAGAGTTGTACGCGTGAGTGAGTGAGTGAGTGAGTGAGTGAGTGAGTGAGTGAGTGAGTGAGTGAGTGAGTGAGTGAGGGAGTGTGTGTATCAAGGTAGATGAATTGTGGTGTTGTGGTTTTGTGAATATCGAGTGTGGGTGTGAATGTGAAGGTGGATTGTAATAAAAGCGAAGACGGCGAGGGTGGTTATAAGTTTCTTATCGGTAGGTATTGGAGTTGGTTGTTTGGTGTTGTAGTAAGTGAGCAATGAAGTAATATCGAAGAGGAAAAAAGGAGGGGGCTTCTATTCCCTTCTATATATTTGTTTAATTACATAGAAATCCTCATTCCCCCCCTCCCCCCCCAAGGCTTCCTTCATAGCAAAATCCAGGGTTCGCAATGTTACATTCGACCTTTCCACCTTCCGTCTTCCAAAGTCCGATAATCGATTCGTTGATGCTACGAGCTTCCAACGAGGGAATTATCGTATTGCGAAACTGTAATAATGTACGAGTGCGATGATCGGACCGAGTGCGGCGGGCACGACTGGTACAGTACATACAAGATACAAAATCTGAAGCTTAGCTTACCCACTCGGGGTCCATCGACAGTCCTACCGTACTTGTACCTTCTAGGTATCTATCTGAGTACGTGGTATCTACAAACTGCACCCGTAAAAGGTACCCGTAGGGGATAGGAGTACTCCGCAGGAAACCCCCTCCCGATAAAGGGATGACGAAAAATGCCCCTCACCATCATCATCGTGCTTCAAACACGGAGATAAAGGAAATAATCATCAGGAAATAAAATTCAGCAGCACGCACCTCGGCGCTTGACACTCGACGCGAAACGAAACGCGAGGCCGATCACCGGATACTCCGGCGGCGGACCGGACGTGGGAATACCATTGAGATAGACACTAAGAGTACTTCGAAGGCCGCTGAAACCCAGAAACGGGGATAAGGAATGTATAGAATATGAAGACGTGATCATTCCTCCCTCTCCTAAGTCCTTTCTCAATACAACAATCTCAATATCACGAGGTAGTACACTCGTACGTCGATGTCAAGGGCGACCTCGGTCAGACCCGTAGCTTACAAGGCTCATTGAAATGTACCATGTCCAGCTCAGTGGCCTACAAGATATACCTGTAGGAAGCGCCGTAGTTTTCCTCTCCGGTATTATTGACGCCGGTCTTGCCGTCTCGGGCCGCAGCAGCTTGTACCTCGTCCGCCTTGCCATACTTCTTGTCAAGTTTCTTGTTCTCCCAAACCAGTAACGTTCTCAAACTGAGCGCCAGGAACGCATTGAAGAACATAAAGCCGGCGCAGATACTCTGACCCTTGACGTATCGTGGCCCTTCGGTTTTGGGAAAGATTCTTGTGCCGAGGAAAGGGCCGGTCTGACCGACGAGATTGAGCAACATGATGCTAGACAGAAGCAGTGTCAGTTCCACGCTACAAACCCCACGCTTTCAAATGGAATCAAAAAATACTCACCCCATGCCTCGCCGGGTATCGCTTCCTTGATTGTTGACCACCCATGGCAAGATGTTTGCAATGGCAGGGAAAACGCCGCTGGCGCAGAGGAAAGTTCCAAAATACCTCGGAGCTACAGGCTTGCAGGTGGCCAGCAGAATATAACCTGTGCCTCCAACCACACTCAAAAACGTAATCATCAATCCGCGTTGTCGAGTGCGATCAGCGATGTAACAAGTGGCAATCGTGACAATCGTCGAGACAAAATAGGGCGGCGCCGAAAGTCCTTGAGCGTTGATCGAAGAGAAGCCCATCTCGTTCAGAATGGTGGGCAAAAACACTGGAAGGGAGGAGTACGAGACGTTGCATGAGAAGTACATCAGCTATAACCCGTCAGCGGCGAGGTTGAGAGGAGTTGACGGGTCTTTGCTTACCGCTGTGAACCACGCTTTTGCATCAAGAAGAGTCATCCCAATCTCCTTGAAGTTGACCCTGCGACCTTCTTCCTGGTCACCATGTTGTCGGACCACCCTTGCTTTCGCCACTTGTTTCTCTTCTGCTGTCAGAAACTTGGCCGTCTCTGGACTGTCGGGAAGGAAGAACCAGGCAATAGGGGCGGCCAAGATGGTTGGGATGCCTTCCACCAAGAACAAGAGTCTCCAGTTGGCGAGTTTGGAGTGGCCGCTGGTTATACCGTACGCAAGGGCGCCAGCAAACATACTCGCAAATGGTGCTGCCGCAAGGAAAATACCGCTTCGAAAGCCATGTTCGGAGCGAATATAGAAAAACGACAGAAGATAAGGGACCGAAGGGCCAACTTAAGAAGTAGTCAGCATGTATAGGCCGCGGGTTGGTCGCAAAGAGGAAGCCAAGATACAACAGGGTTGACTGATAGGCAGTTCGAGCAGAAGGGTACGTCTGTCGTGGTATCGGGGCTTCTGGTAACTCACATCCTGCCTCAGCAGCACCAAGCAGAAAACGCAATGCCATCTCTCCTCCCCATGATTGTGTCGCTGCTTGGCACGTTGCAATAATGCCCCTGGGTCACGTATCAGAGGCGCACAAGCTAATAATGGGGTGACATGACATACCAAGCAAGAGTAATCAGACATGCCCATGTATGCGGCTTCCTGTAGATTGTCAGTGGAGAGCTTTCAATATGTCCGACGCGACGCACAGGATCTTCCACATAAAAGCCTGCAACCTTTGTTAGCACCAGTCACGCATTGACATCCGACACGTCTTTCTCACCTGGAATTGAAACGTGCAATAGGAGATGTAGAAGATGGTCAACAACCAGTCATATCGGTCACCGGTCAAGGAGAGGTCCTCCTCCATTCCGGCGATTCGCGCATTGCCGATATTGGATCTGTCCAGGTATGACAGCAAGACTATACGATGTTGTTTATTAGACACGGTCGCCATGGAAAGGAGCTTGGTCTGCAACGCAGGATGCGCTCCTTTTGATGCAGACCTTCGATTCTAGCTGAATCGGTGGTAGCCTCGGATCTGTCACGTACATAAAAAGGTCACAATCGGCGTGACGTGTAGGTCGAGTTTTCGCACAACTCGCCTTTCAATCTCGGCAGCGTACTCGGCCGTCCGTTGGCCTTGGGTCTCATCTTGCAAAACTCCAGTCTTTTCCGGATCATTTGCGCTTGCTGGCTCGACCTGACCGGACTGTTGAATACTAGTCGCGACAGCGGAAGGCGCGGACTGCTTGGTTTTGAATATAGCCATGACGGCCAGTAAGAGGTTATGAAATGTGACGCGTGCACAGGTACTCGGACTTGTACGGATGCAGGGCTGAAAAGCACAGATATCGAGCTTGAGGTAAGTGAGGGATGCGAGTTAAATTTGAGCCCAAGGGCTGGACCACCATGAATCATATGACAGCTTGGAATGGGGCAACTGCAACGCAGGGAAGCGGGCGATGCGCCGATGAGGTGGTTACATCCTGTCCGTGTACGAGAAGTCGACGATCAATGCTGTGTCTGTCCAGTGCGGTGCAAGGGCACATGAATAATGTGGGATTGATCTGTGGGGGAGACGAGGAGGAGAGTAATTCGTACTGTACCTCGTAGATGGATGATACGTGTAGCTTTTCGTACATGGTCCTACCTTGCACGCACTGTCGATCACAACAGCACGATAATCCCACTCCACGTTCTTCCCACGAAGTAAGAAAACACATGTATCGCCATGTCAATCTCCGACCGCGTGCACCGAGCGATATAGAATACGTACACAGTGAGTTGTGCTCAGGCTCATTCACGTTCCAGGCCGCCCAAGAGGGATGTGCCATGTTCACACGGTGACGACAAAGAAATTGTGGCTTGCCGGAAGAGGAATAGCGGACGGTGCCAATTTTTAGCGCCTGAGCTTGGCGTCGCTGCTTTGGGCCATTGCAGAGTCTCTCGTCCCCACCGATGCGCCCTCTTGCGCCCTGCTTTCTGCCATCGAGATATACGAAAACACAGAGAGCCCAGCGGATGTTGGAGTCTGTCTGTGCAAGGATCCAACATCTCCTCGTGTCTGGCAACAACGGCTGCTGGTACGATGAACGACTCGATCGATGCAAGACTTGACTTGGCGCATCCTGATCCTTGCCCACAATCCCCTCGGCGCGACTCCTGGTTCTCCTCCTTGTTTCTGGCAGCATTCCATTCCCATGCAACGATAGCCTTCAAGGACGTACAGTGTTTCGTCCCCGATGGAGCTGCTAAGGAGGATCAGACTGCGCCTTTTCAGGCCACCGCAGCTGACACTGTCCAAATTTGCCACGTCTGCACCTCTCATGGCGTATTTTGAGGCGTGTCAAAGGTCGATCTGACGGCCGTCAATCTCGTGTTGGAAACCAATTAATATCTGGCATCAGATCACGCCAATCGAGCATACGCCTCCTATTTGACCCAGCTGGTCCAGGCACAGACCAAATCATCTCGGATCCAAGTCATCCTTCCATGACATCCTTCACTCGTAATGCCATCGTCGCGGGAATCCCCTGGTAGGCTGCATCGTCCGGAGAGTTTGGACTGACACGGCCAGCCCCCAAGCCAGCCCTTGATTCTTGCATAAGGAGACCTCGTATCCCCCCCCGCGTCATTCTGGCCGCAAGTCGTTCTGTCGCCAACGCCTTGTCCTGAATATCGTTTTGATAGAGAGGAAACCTAACCTGCGAGCCACCATCAACGATGGCACTCCGTGTTCATCTCGTGTTGTTGTCGGTGCTCTTCTTCGCGATCACCACCACCGTCTTCTCAGCGGTCGTCCCGGTCGTCCCAGCCACGTCTGACGACACAGATCAAGCTTCACTCAACAGACTGCTCAATCCGCCACCGACAGTCGACAGTCTACAATGCAAGGCCAGCACGCAACGCATGCGATGTTACGGCGGGCCTCTCGTCACCATCCAGGTCTGCGCCTCACAATGTTCGTGTGAAGGAGGCCGAATCTCCTGTTCCAGATTCAGCCACTGCGACGACAGTTCCATGGACACCTTCTGCGGCTCTCTCTGTAGCTGTGGCCTCGCGCCCGGCGTGAAGAGCGGATCCGGTGTAAAGAAAGACATCATTAGCCACCGCTACTCAACAACACGTAAATCCTACCCGGACGATGATGACGACCTTGAAAACGACGACGAACTCCCTGTGACTGGCCGGGGTAAGAGGGTGGCTTCCTACCTGGAACGATGAAGACGCATCTCTTTCTCTGCCGCTCAATACACATTACATATAAAAAACACACTCTCTCTCAATGCAACATTAAAATGAAAACGATTTCATGAGCGGCCACAGACAGACAGATTTTCACAACACACCCAAATACGCATCCACATCCACACACTCACAGAGAGGGGGGGAGGGGGGGGAAGAGAGAGAGAGAGATACCCGTGTCTCTCTTTCTCGAAATGATTTCTTTCCTCAAGCAATTTCAAGTTATCAACGCGCATGGAGTCTCATTACTGGTGCTATTGTTCGCCTCCAGAACAATCGAGCCATGCAAGGTGACCAGTCGGTCTCACAAGAATCTTGGGAATGCATTGCAAATGGATTTGAGACCCGGAAAGGAAACCCGAGACTACCAGGAAAACGAAAAAAAGGGATACACGTACACGTGAGCATGGACGACATACATTTGGTGACTGGGGGCTTTTTCATACGTTTAGTCGACGAGGCGTTTTAGAAGGCACCTAGGCATGTTTGGTGAAGGAATGGGGAGTTATGTAGCCTCTCAAGGGATAGTAATTGCCTTATTCAACCGCCCCAGGAAGGGGAATCTTTTTACAAGAATTCAGGCTTCCTAGGTCCTTGGAGGTATCTATTTATAGTGCTTCGTGCCAGGCTTCGTGCGGCGTTATTGTGTATGCTGCTGCGTCAAGTTCATAAAGATATCTTGAACCATGTTCCTAGGGTACAGACTAGGGTGCGTGCCCTGCTCAGAACAAGCGAGGAAAAAAGCAAACAGCAGACGACTCAAGCTACTTTGACACAACCTCACAATAGGAACATTTTGGTCAACTCTCATGCAAGCAGTACTTTTGTATTCTCAAGCCAATTAGTTCAAAAACCTCCGGAAGGTACCAGAGGTATGAAGGAATGCTATACTGTCCGTAAAGCATTTCCAATCCTTTCCTTGAAGCCACTGCTAGATACAGAGGGGAATCGCAACGGTAAAAAAAGGAGGCCACTTTCGGCAATTTTTCATGAGCCACAACGCCACTCAAATGCCGATTGCCCACAACACACTAGAGTCTTAGAGGGCTTCCATACGCATACATTTTGTTTTGATGGGGATCCGCTGCCTTACAGAAGATCCAAACCTTGAGAAAAACCAACCCGATTCTGAAATAGACCCGGCGCAGCTTGTCATCACGTCGAGTCCTCGTCGGTTGCTGATCATCCAAGTGTTTATTTCACAGCCAGACACTTAATGTCGAACGTCAACTTGCTGTTCTTCGGAATGCCAGGGAGCGCTTTGTTGCCGTAAGCAAGATGTGCTGGGATGACCAGTCGTCTCTCGCCACCAACTTGAATACCTTGAAGTCCAATATCCCAACCCTTGATGACCTCACCGGCACCGAGCTTGAAACTGAATGGCTTGCCGGATTTGTTGCTGTCAAACACCTTGCCGTTGTCGAGCTTGCCAATGTAGCGCATTTCCAGACGGTTGCCCTTCTTCGCAGCGGGACCACTACCAATCTTGCGGTCATCCACGGTCACGCCCTGAACGTCTTTGACGCCTAGGGAAGCATTGCCGCCTTTCTTGTCTGTTTTTGTGGTTGCTGGGCCGGCTGGGGTTGGGCCTTGTTCGAGATTCTTTGCGAATTGGACTTTCTTTTCGGAACCGGTGCCATTAGTCTCTTTCTTCGAGTCGGTGGCGGCGTCAACAGCGGCAGCCTCGCCGTCGTTCTTCTTGAGCTTCTTGAGCTTCTTCTTCTCACTCTTGCTGAGTTTCTTGGAGTCGTCTGCAGGCGCAGCTTCATCCTTCTTCAAAGACTTGGCCATGATATCGTCGAGATTTGCCTCCTCGTCTTCACTTTCCTCAGCAGGGCGCTTGTTCTTGCCTTTGACCGCTTTGGGTGCTGCTTCCTCTTCGCTATCGACTTCCGTCACTCGTGGATCCTCTAGATCGTCTAGGTCGTCGGATTCCGAATCGGCGCCCTCAAGCAAGTCGAGTTCATCCTCATCTGGAGACAGGTCATATTCGTCCTCTTCCTCATCGTCTTCGTCATAGAGAGAAGCTGAACCATCGTCTTGGGGGATAACGTAGTTGCCAGTAAGATGCACAGTATGGGTACCAGAGACCTTGAAGAAGACACGCTCGCCCTCAGCGACTACAAAGTCAATGGGCTGTTGGTAGTTCTGGTGAACAGTGTTAGGTCAAGGATGAAAGGCAGGAGTGGGATTATACCTTTTCTGGGTCAAGGGTGCAGATGACCACCTCATCGAGTTCAAGGGACTCATCCTCCGAGTCGTCCTCATCATCATCCGAGTCGTCGGACTCGCCGTCATTGGCCTTGCCTTTGCCTTTTGAGTCGGCTCTCATGATTTTTTTGAGCTCGGCCAGTGCCTTCATCGTGGCTTCCGGATCGTCATCATCTTCCTCATCGTCATCCATGTCTTCATCCTCGTCTTCACCATTTGCAAGTTCCTTGGATTTTTTCTCACTTGGACCGCCATTGACCTCGTCCTCGTCTTCTGAGGACTCGTCATCGTCCTCCAGGTCGTCGAGATCAAAATCCTCGTCGTCAGAATCTTCTTCATCGTCAGAGTCGTCGAAACCTGGAACTCGGACCAGTTTGAGGGTGGCGCGCGGGGGTGTCTTGTCGTCGGCGGCTTCCAAGTCTGGTTCGGCGCTAGGGTCAATCGCGGCCATGGTAACTCGAAACTGTATGGTGGTTAATTACTTGGTGAACATTGGAGTGTCTGCCGGAACTCACCATTGCAGCGAACTCTGGGACAGCAGGAACCATGATGTCTCCAGGAGGGACTTTCATGGCGTAGACCGCCACAGGTTGAATGCCTGACATCTTGCGATTGATTGCAAAGAACTGCAAAGGGAGGATGGTATTGTTGAATTAGACCAAAGGAGTCGGAGGGCACTGAAAGATCCTTGTGTCAAGACTCGACAGGGAAAATTCTGTCGAGAAGAAAAAAAGGTATGCAAGCTGGGGTTGAGGCTTTGAAGAAAGACGGATGCGGCTGCCTCAGAAACCGAATCCGCTAAAATAAAAAAAATTCTTTGGACGATTTCAATGCAACTCCGCAGCCTTATCTTATCAGGGCTTTGATGCTTAACTAAGCCAACACTACGGAGTACACAACACCCAATAAGCCGCTCCTGGGAGCCTGGAAAGCCTCGCACCTGTCGCCTATTGCAGCCTTGCGGGCGTAGGCAGAGAGACGCCTGAAGAGCCCGCCAGACTGCGCTCTCTTATTACGTCGCGTCTTGCTAAATTACCATGACGCGCTCCACAAGGTCACCCATGCAGATGGCTACGGACCTATTTGCCTCCTCCTCTCTACTCTGGCCACAACGCGCTCTTTGCATACGGCGCACTCCCAGTCGATGTCCGTCCAAAGCAACGTCCAGCCGAGGACTTCGTTATGATATTGCCTCATAGCCCAACATGGGCTCCAGACTAGAAAAGAACTCTGCCTCGGTGCGCAAGCGCATTGAGAGCCACACCTTTAGCGACGAGCATGGCGAAGAATATGAAGCCTCCAAGTTCGGCGGATTTGCCGACTATATGCGGCGGAAGAAGATCAAACTGCAGAATCTCGATGCTGAAATACGATCGCACTCCGGCGACAAACCTCCCATTTTCCGCGGCGTGGTAGTCCACGTCAATGGCTACACTCAGCCCTCACTGAGCGACCTGCACAACCTGGTTGTCAGCTATGGAGGTGGCTTCCTACAGTACCTTGACGGCAAGACTGCTGTGACGCACGTTGTCGCAAGCAACTTGACTCCGAAGAAAGCGGTCGAATTTGCTCGATATCGCATTGTCAAGCCGGGCTGGGTCGTTGATAGTGTCAAGGCTGGCAGGCTCTTACCATGGGACGCTTACAGACTTGTGGATGAGGGTGTGACACAGAAAGTGCTGGGCTTTGAGAATGGCCAGATGATCAGCCAGACGAATAATAATCAGAAAGACACGTATCGCGACCAGAGCGAAACGAGCTGGTATGCTTCGCAATTACGCCGGGTGAGAGATATCGTGACCGAGACTGCTCAATCCTCAAACCCACAAAGCCTACCTGAAGAGCCAGATGGTTTGCCCCCTGATCGGAGCGAAGCCGGTTTGCCTCGAGGTAGCAGCGCAACCGTGCCAGCAGTACCCGAAGCGCGCCTGGAAGCTATAGCGGGTCTAGTAGACGACCACTCTGCCTCTAATGCCCGAGACCACGCCGATTCTCCTCTTCCCTCTCCGCCAACGTTCCCTTCACATCCTCTGGCAGTTTTCGACTCGAATGCTGCGCACAAGTCTGAAAACCGCCAATTGACGGCCGAAGAGCACAATGCCGTCCTACTTCAGAACCCGCACATGGCCAAGTCCAGTACTGCTAACCCTGACTTCATCAACCAATACTATCGGGAGTCGAGACTTCACCATCTATCTACTTGGAAAGCTGAGCTCAAAGCTCAAATGCAGGCACGAGCTCAAGAAAAGTATTCGTCGCGCAAATCCAAGCAGAGTAGAACCCCTGGCGCAAGAAGGTATGTCATGCATATAGACTTTGACAGCTTTTTTGCTGCAGTCTCACTCCGCAAGCATCCTCATCTATCGGACAAACCAGTTGTGATCGCTCATGGAAGCGGGCCGGGATCGGAAATTGCCAGTTGCAACTATCCGGCCAGAAAATTTGGCATCAAGAATGGAATGTGGATGAAGACGGCGCTTGAAATGTGTCCAACGGTGAAGGTCTTGCCGTACGACTACAAGGCATACGAGGAAGCTAGTCGCCATTTCTACGACTCAATCTTGGCCGTCGACGGCATTGTGCAGAGTATCAGCATTGATGAAGCTTTGATTGATGTCAGCGAACAGTGCATCAAGGCTGGTGGGTCTGACGGCAGAGGCGTGTCAGAAGGCTCCATTTACCGTGAGCAGGAAGCTGCACAACGTCTTGGTGACGAGTTGAGAGCCTCGGTGAAAGAGAAAACTGGATGTGACGTTTCAGTTGGGATTGGAGGAAACATTCTCCTGGCGAAGGTGGCATTGCGGAAGGCTAAGCCGGCCGGACAGCATTTGATCAAACCAGAGGACGTCCTCGACTTCATCGGCGAACTAGTCGTCACCGACCTCCCAGGTGTTGCTTGGAGTATAGGTAATAAGTTGGAAGATATAGGCATTAAGTTCGTCAAGGATATCCGTTTGTGTACCAAAGAACGCTTGATCAACGCCTTGGGTCCAAAGACTGGCGAGAAGCTGTGGGATTATTCTCGCGGAATCGACAAGCAAGAGGTTGGTGAACAGGTGGTTCGGAAATCAGTTTCGGCAGAGATCAATTGGGGCATCAGGTTCATCAACCAGCAGCAAGCGGAAGATTTTGTGCAGAGTCTTTCCGACGAGCTGTCAAGGCGCTTACTTGAGCAGCTTGTGAAGGGAAAGCAACTGACCATGAAGATAATGCGAAAAGCTGCCGATGCAGGTCTCGATCCGCCCAAAAACCTCGGCCATGGCAAGTGTGACACCTTTAACAAGAGCATAATGCTCGGTGTTGCCACGAACGACGCATCGGTGCTCGGGAGAGAAGCCGTTTCCATTCTACGAAGCTACAATTTCCCTCCCGGAGAGCTTCGAGGACTCGGAGTCCAAATGCAGAAACTAGAGCCCTTGAAACCTGCGGTATCAGGCAGTGCTGGCCTCCCTGATAGCAGTCAGCGTCGTCTACAGTTCAAAAAGCCTCCGACCCCATCTCGACCTGCAGAAGAACCTAGCCTCCATGCAGCCTTTCCGCCAGTCGTTCATTCACCCAACGCCAAGCACGTTGAGGATCCTATTGAAGAGATACCTACCCCGGAGAAAGGAAAATTGCAGGATAACGTTTACAGTGCCTTGGATGACCACACCAATGATGCAGCCCAGCAGAGGCCTCTCAATGTGAGCGGGACTCAGTTCATCATGCCTTCTCAGATCGATCCAACAGTACTAGCCGAGCTTCCCTCCGAAATAAGAACCAAGCTTGCTCCAAAACAAAAGAGCATTATGGACAGCATAACACGATCCTCTCGATCACAGACACCTCCAGTGGATGGACATTCCAGATCGACCTCGCCCTATCCTAATGACCACGAATCAACGTTACCGCGGCCGAGTCAGATTGACCCTGAGGCCTTAGCTGCGCTTCCACAAGATCTCAGAGACGAGATACTGGCCCAGTACAAAGCGCAAGAGAATGGCGTATCACTATCACGGGCTGTGGCAACATCCCCTCGAAAACCTAAGGCTCTTCCATCCTCGAAGAAGACATCTGTTACCCCCACGAAACGGCAGAAAACCTCTACTTTGTCTGGGAAAGCCAGGCTTAAGAGAGTCGGTGATGCCTCCTTATCCACCCTCGCTCAGTCTAGCTTTGTCTCCATTCCGAAAGCAACAGAGTCTTATTCAACTGCGAATCAAGATCCCGTGGAGATCTCAGAATCCTTTCTGAATGAATTACCAGAAGACATTCGCCTCGAAATTCTGGAAGAGCAGAAAAGAAGCAGGATGAAGGCGAAGTCTGGCCTCAACTTCGAGAGCGCCAGGAAGAAGACGAAGGTGACAACTACCGTGGAGTCTGGCGTTGCGGGTCAGCAAAGGTTGCAGCTAGCCAAGCAAGCAGAGAAGCCGACTTTTACTTCTCAGAAGCTGAGTTCTCTCCCAGAGTTGCGTGATGCAATATCTGCATGGGTCAGAGAGTTTTCTTCGGCTGGAGAAAGCCCAGATCAAGACGATGTCAATGCTCTGGCAGATTACCTCGCCAAAGTGGTCACCATCGAGCGAGACATGGCTAAAGCCGTCGCTGTCGTCAATTGGCTCGGCCTAATTCTTGAATACGAAAACTTCACAGGCGAGGACGTTCACGGTGCTTGGAAAGGGGCTCTCGAGATTCTGAAGCAACAGGTTCAGGTAGCGGTCAAGGAAAGAGGTCTAGCAGCAGTTGTGTTTGAATGTTGAAAGACGCCTTTATAAGCCATTACATGCCAGAGGACTTTTCCGTCGTTGCTCCTTCTGTTGATTTTGAGGTAAGCGCAAAGCTGGCACGCGGTTTCTTCGTCGTGATATCTGCATGGGCGGGTAGGCTCTCTTGAATTTTCAGCCCAGCCCTTTGTTGATCATCAACACGATTAATTCATCCAATCATCCAACTTATCGTTGCCTTCCTTCGCCGCGAACCGTTTTCACGAGCATCACTATGCTGGTTATGGGTAGTAACCAAGTATCTCAGGTACCTCATTGACTAAGCCCTCCCTGTGATGACCATGCCATCCATTCTGGCAGCCAGCCGGAAGCGTCGACAGTCATCAAAAGCCAGCCTCCCAACGACCAGAGGGAATACGGGTTCTCGATCTTCCAAAATACCTAGACTGAATCACCTTCTCTACGATGGAACAAGCTCCAGGTCAATCGAATCCGTCGGCACCAGTCACTCTAAGGCCAGCGTCAAGACTCATATCAAGAGAGGGGTTACAAATATCAAAACAATCCTGAGACTGGGAGACAAACACAGTGCTACCACACTGCAGCCGCAGGCTTGCTCCGCCTCTGCACAGAGCTCGACGACTAGTTATCTTCTCCAGAATGATTCCACGGCCACGACGCTTTGTCCGCCATTGACAATCACATTGACCGGCATGAATCCTGCAGATAGGACAACTGCCTCGCCCACCATGAACAGTGCACGAACAAGCCCTGGACCTCGTGCTCTGCAAGATCCCGAGGTCGCGGCCGATAGGTCTTCCAATCGAGACGGTCGTGACATACGTCGGAGCCAATCTCTTCCTGGTTTGCATCATGCAATTGCACAAAAGTTTCATCAGACGTTCATTCACTCAACTGTGGTGAAAAGGACCGAGTTGCGATCACGTCCAAGTTTACAAATGTTTGCGGTAGACGCAGCACGGATTGACAGAGATCTGCAGTCATCCACAACTTCTACCCTCAACAGTGTTTGGGGTTCAACACCCGAAAGGGTCTCATCTAGCCAGGTGACATCTATTCCTATCACCACTACCTCCGGCTTGACCTATCTAGGGAGTCTGGATTCATATAATATCGATCGCCACTCATACGCTTCATGCGCCCGGCTCTTGGCTCCTATTCCGGAGATCAGTGTATCTCCAAGTATTACCATCAAGACCGTTGAATCTGCTGCTGCGGCCAAAGCTTTCTTTGAGATGCATTTCAATTCCTTGCTCAAGGAGATATCTGGAAGATCACGCCGACGATGGCAATTAGAGCTCAAACTCAACGAACTCCATTTTCCCACCAGCAGTCAGTATCGAGCCAAGAGAGCATGGGAGCAGGCAGAGAGTCAGAATCTCAGACAGAGCCGAATACTTAAGAATACCACCAATTCTTCAAAAGCCACTCGAGGGATCCATATTGGTGGCTTTGAGGTCATCAGTATTCTTGGTAAGGGAAGCTTTGGTGTTGTCCGTCTTATCAAAGGGACGCCTGAGATTGAGGCAATTCAGAATGAGGCTACACACGGCGAGGGCAATTCAGAGCATAAGCCTTCTCGGCTCAGCCTAAAGACTTCACCAATGCGACGACCAGGTTCATTTCCTAAGAACAGAAGTCAAGTAGCTCAGGAGAAGAGAGAAGTTTTCGCAATGAAAGTCATTCGGAAGTCTGACATGATTCGAAACGCTCAAGAAGGACATATCCGGGCTGAGCGAGACTTCTTGGTTGCCGCCGAAGGGTCAAAATGGGTTATCCCTTTGATCGCCGCCTTTCAAGACTACAAGCATTTGTACCTTGTGATGGAATATTGCATTGGAGGCGACTTTCTAGGACTCCTCATACGCAAGAATGTTCTCACCGAGGACGCCACCAGGTGGTATGTTACCGAGATGATCCTCTGCGTCGAGGAAGCCCATCGGTTGAGATGGATCCATCGTGACGTGAAGCCCGACAATTTTCTTATTGGCCTTGATGGACACTTGAAGATATCCGACTTTGGTCTCGCCTTCGACGGAGACTGGAGCCACGATCAAAAGTTCTACCAAAACAATCGGCGCTCACTACTCGAACGATTAGGGATTGACATCGAAGGCGATGAGCAAGACAAGCAGGAACGAGAATTTGGACAGTACTCGGTCGGGGCTTCACCGTCGGCCCAACAACTACTGCCTCTCGAGGGTAAATCAGAGTCCAAGGACGAACCGTGTCTCAATGAGCCAATCCTCGACTGGCGCAATCGTGCTCAACGGCGACGTCTAGCGCGGTCTGTGGTCGGCACATCTCAATACATGGCTCCGGAAGTCATTCGGGGCGAATTATACGATGGTCGATGTGATTAGTGGAGCATCGGTATCATCATGTATGAATGCCTCTATGGCTTCACTCCATTTGCCTGTGATGATCGCCATCAGACAAAGCTCAAGATCCTTCAGCACAAGAAGAATCTTACTTTTCCAGAGCGACCGGCTGCTTTTGCCCCCAGCGCCGAAGCTGTGGACCTGATGATGAAAATTCTAGTTGAAAAGGAACGTCGGCTTTGTACTAGACAGTATCAGCTCAACGAATACACGAGGAAAATCGTCGGAGGCAAGGTGGTCAAGTTCGATGCCGACAAAACGAGCAGCACCTACGATGGCTATTTTGTGTACGCCAACGATGCCGCAGAGATAAAATGCCATCCGTTCTTCCGAAATATCGATTGGGCCATGGTTCACCTCCAGCGTCCTCCGTACATACCTCACGTAGACGACTGGGAAGATACGAAATATTTCCAGGAGGATGAGCCCGTTTCCGACATTGAGTCCACTAGCACTTTTGCAGTAGGGAACGACAAGTCTACTAAAGCTTTCAACGAGCATGGTGAGCTTACACTATTGCCGCTAGCGGCTCATCCGTCATCCAATGTCAGCCAACATCACCATGAAGGCCAAAACATTGTGCCATCGCTAGCCATCAACATTCCTCACAAGGATAGTGCTGCACCGGCACTAGGCCTTGCTCGGCCGGACAGTCTGACCGACATGAAAAACCCATTGTTGATGCCGCTCGGGAAGCCAATAGCGAGTGTCGAACATAATTCGTGGGGTCGCGAAGACACTCGTCAGGTCGACGGCGCCAATGAAGGCGTGTTCGCTGGGTGCAGGAAGCCTGACGCAAAGCAGCGGGATAAGCGACGAGCACGAGATATCATCCTACGAGACAAAAGCACCAGACGTGAGGCTATGAAGATACGAAAGGCGTCGGCTTTCCTTGGGTATGACTACCGGCAGCCAGCCATGGTCAAAGACATTGTAGACCAAGTATTGTCGGAAGATGTTGTGATGGCGCAGGCCAACGCTGAATACGAGAGCAGCGATGTTGACGATCGTGATCTAGCCTTTGAGAAACGAGTGTTTATTGGGGCAGGAGGTCATCTATCACCATCGTCGGAAGCAGTGACGGTGTAAAGCGTCGCTCCAAGGGTTGTCAGAGTGTCTAGGGGGACAGGCAGAGGGAGAGCACTCTGTTTCTTCTATTCTTATTCTAAGACAACATCAATCGCTAGTGTAGAGTTCTATAATTATGTACTCAGTCTTGAGCAAGCCAGAGGGTTCATTTATGCCTTGACTTCTTGTTCAAACTCGGCGCTAAATGGAAGATTGGTGTAGCCTATTTCGGATTTTGGATTGTAGAAGGTGGCTCGGTCGTAAGGATTCAAGTCGATGCCCTTTTTGATGCGGAACGGCAAATCGGGAGTGGAGATGAAGTGGCGGCCAAAGACGATGGCAACGTCCTTGTCTTTATAGTCATGGTCAACGGCACGCTTCGCAGAATCCGGGGTGAATCCACCGGCGACCAGGACGGGACTCGTATTGTCCCAGGCGTCGATGAGGAAGTTGACGTTGTCGGTGGTCTCGACGTCGGTGATGCCCGAGACCCTCGCCTCGACGAGGTGGATGTATGCGAGGTTGAGGTCCTTGAGGGCGGTGACGAAGTGGGTGAACTGCGGGACGGGGTCGTCCATCTTCATGCCCTGGAAGGTGGAGAAGGGGCTCAGGCGGATGCCGACCTTCTCCGGGCCGACGGCGTCGACGACGGCGCGGGCGACCTCGAGGCCGAAGCGCGAGCGGTTCTCGACGCTGCCCCCGTAGGCGTCGGTGCGGGTGTTGACCCCGTCCTGCAGGAACTGGTCGACGAGGTAGCCGTTCGCGCCGTGGATCTCGACGCCGTCGAAGCCGGCGCGCTCGACGGCGTTGCGGGCCGCGGCGGCGTAGTCGGCGACGACGCCCCGGATCTCCTCCGGGGTCAGCTCGTGCGGCACGACGGCCTCGGGCTGCCCGTCCTTCAGCAGCGGGCTCGGCGACGACGACACCACGCGGATCCCCTCGGCCGCGGCGACCTGCGGGTTCGCGCACCGGCCCAGGTGCCACAGCTGCAGGTAGATGTACGACCCGCGGGCGTGCACGGCCGACGTCACGCCCCTCCACGCCTCGACCTGCTCGTCCGTGTAGATGCCCGGGACGTTCGCGTAGCCCCCCGCCTGCGGCGAGATGAAGGTCGCCTCCGTGACCAGGAGCGTCCCCGGCGTCGACCCCCGCTGCGAGTAGTACGTCGACACGAACGGGAGGGGCACGTGGTTGTCGTCGGCCCGGAACCGCGTCAGGGGCGCCATGGCGATCCGGTGGCCGAGTGTCATGGTCCCGATCTTGAGCGGCTCAAAGAGTCGAGACGACTGCGACGCCGTGCTGGTGGCGATGGAACCCATATTTTGTTGATTTGTGTTTGTTTAAAAACAACAACAAACAAACAAAGGAGGAAGAAGAAGAAGAAGAAGAAGAAAAAAAGTGTTCTCTCCTCGGACTAGACAAAAGGATAACAGGTGAACGGCGTATGAGATGATGATGATGATGAAAATCCAAGCCCGTACGGTGGTATGTACCCTCTCTCGATAGTAGTGAGGTCGACGATCTCAAATCTCTATCGCAACCCTCTGCACGGCGGACTGACTTGACTGGGTACTTGAGTTGATATTCGATGGGCGCGGATTTGGCGGGGTGCTGTCGCAATCTCGAGGAGGAGAAGGCGTGAGGAAGATAGGGGTGGGGTTGTAGGACAGTAACAAAACTGGAGGAAAAGATGTCGGAAGTAGGGGACAGTGTGTATATATATATGTGTGTCCAGATGAGGCGTCGAATGGTTTTTATATACCGCAAAGTACTTGGGAGAAGGAGAGAGGTACCTACTCGTAATATTGATTACATGTGCAAAAGGTACGGACGGGAAAGAAAACCTGTCTGCTGGGGCTAGTTTGTTGTGCGGACGGATTGTCCCACTCGGGGAGATGCAAAAGAAAGAATTGACATTAATAAGCAGCATCGGGCGGCGATGTGGTGTTGACGAGGCTGGCGTCGCAGAACGTGAAGGGATTCCGAGGCACTTGGAGTTGGACACGTTTTGCTCTTTTCTTCTCCTTACTCTGAATACCTGAGTAGAAGAACCACAAGTACGCTCTCCCTTACTAATGAGTACCTAGTTAGTTGCAACGGGGGCGGGGGTCCCTCGCTCGCTCGGCCATCTTTCGGGTTGATTAGTATTGAACGTTTTTGTCGCGATGTCCTCGACGTGGTCAACAATCAACAATAGTCTGCAGATGGTGCGATGCATTTGTCACCCTGAGCATCGATCACGTCATTCTCAGCGCCCAGTCGTATCTCTCATGCAGGGGAAAAAAACAGGGGTAACATCATCCTCATTCTTTCAACTCCAGCACTGTCGTGAGTGATGCAAGGGACAAACATCATCCTTTTGCTCTGAGATCAGTCAGACCACAGAGCTCGCCGTTCGCAACCGGGCACACCTTCAACATCGACACCTGACTCTCCTTGCCTTCTTGAACGTCAATAGCGACGTGGAATCTGGACCACCTCAATTAGCCTTTCCCTCTCTGATGCTTCAGATACGTTTGTCTGGATGCGGCAAGGCAGGCCGAGTCAAACTTTCCCCAAGACGATTGTCAATGTAAAGGGAAAATATGAGCGAGTTTTGCTCTGATCTCCATGCGCAAAATGCTGACTGTAGCATCATGTCGTTGGCAACCTTTGTGTTGTCGCCGTCTCTGTAGACGAACACTAACTGAGGTGATTCGTCGTCACCGGTACTCTTCAACATCATTATGATCTTGTCCATCGTCATCTCACTAAGTGGGATGTCATCGGGTGGTTGGCCGAAAACGAGGGAGAACTTGACGCGAAGCACGCAACTCAGGCTGGATGCCACCAAGAGCCTCAGCTCTGGTACAGGAGCAGGCTTCAATTCGATAGCCAGACTTGGATCCTGTTGGTGCTTCTGATCAACACTTGGTTGGGGGCAGTGATGATTGTCTGGCGTCAATTGCTGATCATCCTTCGGCTTTTTCACCTTGTGTGCACTCATCGTGTCCTTTTTGTCATGTTCCGGATCTTCACCGGTCCTCTTCCTTTTCTTGCCAAACTGGAGATCTGCGTACATGCTCATAACTTTATGGTTGACATGGCTAATTAATATCTTCGGAAGTTTGCTGTGGTAGAAGTGCTTCTCATTCTCTCTTGCTTGAGGTCGAGGACGTGGAAAATCCGGGTGGTCTTGGACAACTTTGCATGCCTCCTCGAATACATCGCGCTCAGGGCCAGATGAGCTCTCCGATAGCATATATGGATTGCGGTTCAGATTGTGTTTCTCTTTTGTCTCTTGAATTGTTGTCCACACAGCGTTTTCGACTTTAATCCACTGAGACATTCCTGGAGCGAAGAGTACGATCTCGACTTCGACGCCGTCGCCGTAAAGAAAATAGGGATAACTCAGACACCATGTGAAGTACTTTTCAGGATCCTCGTCTCGTAACCGGCGTTGTGAGGTTTCAGGCATCCATTCGGATCGGGCTCCCTGGGCCATGGCTCATATCAAGAGCGGGGAAGGCGTTCGGGAAGAGTTCAGCGTTGAAGATAAGAAGAAGTTTTAGAGATGAGGAAGGTCAAAACGGGAGAGCAGCTGTTTATTCTGAGGAGTCAGTCTCACAGTCCAGACTGCATTGGTGTGCATGTTTTTCACGACGGCCAAGAGTCAAGATTGGTGAGTGAAGCAAGTGTGAGGCCATTTAGAAATGTGCCCTTGCAAACGTACCATTTCTCTCTTGGATTTCCTCACTGCGTTATGTTCTTGTGCAAGGCAGCGGGCCCTTTGCTCTCGATGCCTTCGCCACCCTCAGTGTACTTCACAAAGTATTTGAAGAGCTTCTCAGGCTCCTCTCGGACTTTGGCCTTGGTCACTGGACTCAGCAACGAGCCCAATACCACATCGTCTTCAACCAGCATCGATGTACACCACCAGACGACCGTTTTGCATGGGAGACCACACGCCTCTATCCCAAGTTGCCGTCGCATCTCACAATACTTCCTCCATGCTTCGAAATGCATCAATCCAATGTCCCGATTGCCGGCACAATATTCAGAAAGGGCCAAGAAAAGAAACGCAACCACATCCTCGTCACTCGAGTCTTTGGAGTGAGCTAGTGCTGAGACCTTGGATCGGGTGGTTGCAAGAATCTTGTTCTGCTGGGAGGCCATATACTCCTTTTCCTCGTCAATGAACCCTGCGTCGCGCCTCGAGGATGCGTATTTGCGATGATGGTAAGCACTGAACAACAGGACCATGGTCTCGAAACACCATTGGCTTGCTAGGGCGAATGGAAGGAATAAACCAACCACTGGTTCGTACTTTTCCACAATCTCCTGATGGCGGTCGAAACCGAGCATCCCCCCTGCATTGGCTACAAAGTATCGAATGAGATGGGATTCCAAGGCCGTCGGCGGAAGAAGTGCGCGCCTAGCAATGCTTGCGAGCTTCGCATACATATCATTAGACGCCTCGTTGTCCAGGCGCGGAGGCACGAGACCTTGATCATCGTCATTGGGTGGTGTCGCAATTCGAAGCCCTTCTATCAACGACAGTTTGAAATCCGAGTCGCTCCTCTGGCTCCTCCGACGTCTTTTTGTGGCTGAACCTGGCTGCAATTCACCGTCCTCCATGTTCGCAGGGTCTTTGAACATTTCAGGCTGTCGCGACCGAGACGCAGGGCGAGTTGCCTGCTGTTGTGGCTGCTCCGGCAGGCTTTCTTCCCGTCTCACGCTCGACCTCCTCCTTGAAAAGCCGTCATATGACCTGACACGCCTTGCTTTTAGGCGTTTGTCACTCTTGGGCGGAATGGGTGATACTGGGTGCATCCCTTTGCTCAAGGGTGCGTTTATGACCTTGTCCTTTTGGAAGTCAATTACGGCTGCATAGTGCGACATTGGCCTGCTTGCGATGCCTGTTGATTCGCCGACTCGGTTCAACGATTCATGTATACTGTCTGGACTTGATTCGCCGTTACCCTTTTTAGGGCGCATCCATCTCAACGGCGAGAACTGGTTTCGAGATATCCATTCCGACCTGGCTTCACGTTTCGACCGCACTCGATCCTTCATCAAGTGAGCTCGTGCCACATCGGTAACTCCTCTCTGATTGAGGTTGTAGTCTACAAAGGTAAACGGTCGAGGCCCGGGTGCTTCTTTGCTCATGGTTGAGAACTGCCTCTTCGGTCGAGCCTGTCCCAGGGGTGATCTTCCTCTTTGACTTTCGGTCTGGGGTATATAGCCCGTTCAACATGGCCGCGGCCCCATGTCCCGATGTTATTATTCAGCATTGAGGCTACATTCGCCAATCCACTACGCGGTGACGGGTTGATGCAGTCGAAGGACGCCCTTACCTCCCCCTGGCGCCGGCACCGGGCATGGCGTTGAATAGAGATGTTCGCTAAAGCGCGGACCAATGGCGAGTATTCTTAGCTTGGTGTAGCCCAAATCGCATACGAGCTAAACTGCTTTTTGAAAAGAAAGGATTCTTGCTGATTGGTCCGATGAGTTCGCTTCTCGATCCCTCTCGCAAAGCAGCCTGAGCCACAAACCTTCAAGCCGAGCAGCCTGATGCATAGCAACTCTTGGGTCAAAACATGCCTGAATGGTAATTGCTGACCAAATGCACCACGCAGAATTACCGTGGACTTCCCCCGGTGGTTTCGCGATGCACACGGCTTATCGACTACTGGAGAAGTAGACGAGTGTCTTTTCTCGCCGTTGCAAACTCGAGGCTGCTATCGGGAAACGGGATTTAAACCACCATCCAGCTAAACGATGAAGCCAAATCCGGACTATTGAGGGTCTGAGACTGTGGGGGCAGGTTTGTCATCTCCCATAGTTTCATAGTCTCTTAGTCAGCGCAGTAAGTTACGATTACAATAACAGGCGCCAACGAACGAGGGAACTTTCTCTGATCGACGATGCCGCTCGTCCTATCAATATCCAAGGGCCGGTGACCGGTCATACACAGTGGACGACTCAGCGAGTCAGTATTCGACGGCTCGATCAACCCAGCCAGCCACGAGGAAGAAGTCTGCTCAAAGCTGATCAGGTCCACGACCACTCGATGAACGGCCGAAGCGCCTCTTCGGGCTCCTCGATCATGAGAGCACACGTTCTCTCGGACTTGTTCTGATTGTCAGAATGGGGGATTTGCACCAGGGTGAAATCTGATCCAGGCACCCCCCTAGCAAGCTGCCAGCAAGCCATGCCCAGGGGTTGGTGGCTTGATTGGACACCAGGGGCCGCAAGGCTAGCTTGATCGACGACTACAGGGGATCCTTGTCCGCAGGGACCGCATGCGTCAGCAGATAGATGCTGTATTGTTGATCGGTGTGGTATGGCACGGAGTCGTGGACTGCGGAAAAGCTGAGCTGGCCCTAACCAAGTGAGATCGGCTACTTACAGTATCTCGCGCTACACGAGTATCATTCGGAGGCCCCGGTGCCGGCCAACGGCTTCTGCGAGGCTAACTAGTTGGTCGTGCAGGGTTCCAGGAGTGACAAGCGAAAAGTTTGACCACTTGACGACGACGAGAACTTCTCAGTTTTCGTCGATCACCTCGACCAACTACTTGACCATCTACCTACGGTGGGAGACCGACTGAGTTACCAGTCGCGTGTGTCCGTTGACGTGTAACAAAGTTTGGTATCAAGAATTATAGGCTAGATAGCCACTCTTGATCTGGTGACAGTGGATTGTATGATCTGGTATGGTATTACAAGAAGATACCATCAAGCACGAAGAGCACAGTGAGCGAGGCATGGGGGTATGAAGAAACGGTATCCCAGGATCAGGCGTGACAAGAACATGGGTGTGGACCTCTCATTCCCCTTACGTATAGGCACCTGGTCGCGACACTCTTACAATTTGTAAGTCTTGATGGCTTTCTGTCGTTTTATCCATCAAGTATGCACATACGTGGTCCACATTCTATACTTCCGGCCGGTCCCTTCTTGGGGTCCTTCGTGTCATCCTCCTGGTCCTCCTCCTGGTCCTCCTCCTCCTCCTCCTCCTTCTTCTTCTTCTGTTTTCCTCGCCGACTCCTGTAACTGACGAACACTGTACTGTACTGTAGCCCGTCTGTACCGTCTTACTCAGCGTACTTTATGCGAACAGTTACAAAATCCTGACCATGAAAGTAGATTCCTCGTCATACATCTTCGTTATTGGATCCGGCTTATCAGTCAAGTCCTGGATCGTCTCAGATCTAGTGCCAGAATTGCAAGTCTCTTTTTTTTGGCTTCATCAATCTCGCAAGTCATGGATCGAATTCAGATCTTGTACCGGAAATGCAAGTTTTGCTTGTCGGTCAAGTCATCGAACCCTTCCAACAACTCGTCCTCCCTCTGCGCGTGCAGACCCTTCTTGTCACGGGCCCGGTTGTCGAACCAGCACCACACCGTGTAGATGACCTGGAAGAAGATGAGGGCACAGTAGGTGCCCAGCAGAGCCTTGATGGCGGTGAAATACCGCGGGACCTCCGAGGGCAGGAACAGATGGGGACCGATGATGTTTCCGCCGCAGTAGAAGCAAAAGAAGAGGCCTATGACGGTCGTTCGCTTGGTGTGGCCCGCCGTGTTGACGCCAGGGAGCGTCCAGCCTAGAATGATGGGTGCGCCGAGGACGTTCTGGAGCCAGCACATGGCCACCAGGGCGTACCGATGTTTGATGCTGATGGTCAAAAGACCAATGAGCCCAGCGATGCCAGGAAGCGAGGAGACTGCGAAAGAGACAGCGGTTAGACGTGGCGTTTTCGGGTTCGTTTTTGAAGGCGTACAGATGAAGAAAAGTCAAAGCAAAGAAAGTACAACGCAACAGCCTTGGGCATATGGGACGGCCAATTTCAAGTTTCTTTCATCAAAAGTCTCGAAAGGAAAAGCAGGCGCATGTGGATGTTGATGGCGATCAAGAAAACACCGATCAGTACGACTGTACGGGCAACTTACTGATCACACTGACACCGAGCATGTTCTTCTTGGTCGCGACCCATCCGAAAAACATGCATCCGATAAGTTCGAACGCACCACCGGGCGTTTGCAGAAGACTCGTCTTCAGCGCGTCGAAACCGAATCCTTTGATCAAGGAAGATATGAAATTGGCGACGCCACCGTTCAGAATACCGGTACAAACGCCCATGAGCAGGAGGAGGTAGGTCTTTCCATCCATGAGCGCCTCTTTGATGTGGTAAGGCACGAACGCCTGGTGCTTGATGCCCATCTGGTTCTTGGACACTCTCCACACCGCCACCGTGCGCTCATACTCGTTGAGCATTTTGGCGTTGTGAGGGCCATCGGGGAGATAGATGATGATGACGAAACCCCATGCGAAAGTGATGGCACCAACAATCTGCAAACACAGCCCAAAAGTCAGTCATTGTTGTTTCTCTTTTTGGAAAAAGGAAGGAAAAAAAATAAAAGTGATGGAAAAACAAACTCACCAGATAGATCAACTTCCAATTTGCTACTGCAAGCCCATCTGCGTGGCCGGACCCGTAAGCGAGCAGGGCGCCCAGGATGGAAGAGACACCGTTTGTCGAGAGCCAGAACGATGTTCGGAGCGCCTGTTCTTCTCTCGTCCATAACATGGATGTGAGAATGACAAATGCAGGTGAGATGCAAGCCTCGAGCATGCCGAGGAAGAAGCGGATGGCAAAGAAGCCGCCAAAATTAAACACGGCGGCCTGCAGCATGCAGACTGAGCCCCAAACGAATAACATACACCCCAGCAGCTTGCCAATCGGATAACGCTGCAAGATGACGTTCCAGGGATATGCACCGAGCAACCAACCAAAGTACAGGGCCGAAGCCACCCATGAATAGTCATCTCCCTTCATATGAGTGTCTGCTTGAAGACCGTAGGCGTTGGAATAGTTGAGTCTGTCAGAGAAAATGTCAGGGTGTGACTCTCTCTCTCTCTTCCTGGCTTCCCTGACTCCTACTTACGTCTGCTTGTCCAAGAAACTCAACATGTATGTGCACATCATCTGAGGCCGCGAGGATGATTAGCGCGACATTGTCCAGACCAGGCTCGTCCAGGAAGTGGCACCATACCATCGGAAGCACAATGAAATCCAGCTTTCTCCGGACTTTGATCGCGTCGCGTTCGAGCTGAGCCTCGTCATACTCGAGGGCCTTCCGCAACATATCCCTTCCCAACACATTGAGGTCGTTTGTGGTGGTGCCTTTGATGTAGCCCATGACCTTGCTTATTCTGGTACTGCTCCCGGGTTCTGCAGCCTCGGGGGGCTCCACCACCTGTGCAGGCGTCTTCTCGATATCACTCATCCTGGGCGATCGACTGAAGGGGGCTTGCAGGAATTGTACGTCCAAGGGACACAGCGTATCAATGTCAAACGAGAGGGATTGGATCAAACGGACCGAAGCCGTCCTCGCGGACTATATAACTCCGCGCGGGGTCGGCGCACCGCGCAGACTAGCCGGCCAGGAGCAGATCGTTATCAAACGTTTGCAGCGAGACTGGCTATCTCATGGCGTGCCGCGCAGAATAGCTAGCCAGATAGCGCACTTGCTTGAATGTCATCAGAGGCTTACTTCATGATTGGCTGAGCCATGAAGCAATGCGATCCGTTCCTCCTTGGCCTTTGCCAGGGTCATGTATCAATAAAAGGTACAAGTATTTGCACGTCAGTCAAGTCCGGCGTATACCCTCGTACGTGATTGGGATCGGACTTTGGCGGCCGACTAAGTTTATTTTATAGACATGATCAGCATGCTATCAATGTTACCCTAGTCGGCCAACGGGAGATGGCCGTCTGGCGCAAAGCGGGCTGATTCGTCTCAGTCTAGGGAGCCCAGGGGGAAATAAGTGGACCTCACAGGAGTCGGATCCAATGCTATCTTGGACATGCTATCAAAGCTCCGTTGCCTCTCTCGTCGATAGAACGCATTTGTCCCGTTGAGGAAGTCAAGAATGTAGACATGCAGTGAATCTAGCACACGCGGGTCATAATCCGAGTAATAGAGACAATCCGCAGCCGACGGAGCTCCTTGAGGGCCGTGAGGCCCCCCATAACGAAGCGGTTCAATGCTCGGTAAGGTGTGGGTGGACTTGTGTAGAGCAAGTCCGCCTAAGGTCCAGGCTACTCCCACCTGTCTTCATCAACGTGCCTTGGTTCTGTAACAGGGAATTTTGGCGTTATATTCCCCATGGCATGGCGGAAGTCGCTGAAAGTCAGGGGTAAGTCGAGCGGATATGCTATGAAAACCCCAAGATAAATTGCATCTGGGACTGTGCGAGTCTTGTTTTGGTTGTATGCATTACCCTCTTACATGTTTGCAAGACGTAGACATTGACGCTCCATATCTACCATTATGGCCATTGAACTGTGGATATCTGTTTTGGGTTTTGCTAAGAGCCCATGCTGCACGGTGGCTGAAGCTTAGGTCTGTTTCTCTTCGAGCCGTTGAACCGAAGATAGTATACTAGATGTAACCTGTAGGTCCCCGTTCTTGAGGTTGCAAGCATCGAAGAAAGACTTGGGCTTTCAAAACTCGTCCGAATCTGCCTCGAACCGTCGGGCTTGAAACGCGTTCATTCATTCTATGCTGGCAAATTCTGGAGATGAGCATGATCGCCAAGGACCCAATGCCGATGGTTGGAAGAAACTACCAGCTTCAAAGAAGGCCGAGCAAGCGAGTAGTAACACTAGCCGACGGAAGTTGAAGCAGGACAGCATCGGTGCGGCGTACCAACTTGCGACTGACTGCCATGTGGTGTTGTGTCATTTCAGGGCGAGAACTGGCGACTACAGGTAACAAGTACGACGGAGGTCCTGAGCGGCAGCCGTTGCAGAATGCAAAAGAGCAGCGCCGTCGGCCACTAGCTGTGCAACAACCAGACCGAAATCATTTTCGTAGACGCGATTGAGGAGGCTCAAGCTTTGGACAAGATCTTTCACCAATTTGGAAGAACCACCGGGCCACTTCATGGTCTACTGATGACCTTCAAGGTACGACTTCCCGCCAGCTTTGCAACATCAACGTTAACTACTGTCCCGTAAGGAATGCTTCAATGTCGAGGGATACGATGCCAGTATCGGCTATCTTTCCAGGACTTTCAGCCCATCAGCCAAGACCGCCCCAACAATTGAGCTGCTGAAATCTCAGGGGGTAGTTGAGTTGTTATTGCAAAGACCAATTCGCCTCAAACTATGTTGGTTGCCGAGTGCCGCAACAAATGACTTCGGCAAAACCAAGAACCCAGTGGTCAGCCATTTGACCTGTGGTGGAAGTAGTGGCGGAGAAGGATCCAACAGGGCATTCAGAGGCTCGGGACTGACGTTGGCGGATCAGTCCGGTAGGCTGGTGTTGCCGGTTTCAGCGTCGAGTCTAACATAAGCAACTACAGTATTCCTGTAGCAGGAAATGGCGTCTACGGCCATAAGCCAACCTTCGGGGTTCTCTCAAAGATAGGGTTCGCGGCGTCCGGCTGGATTAGCACGAATATGGCCATTCCGGCCGTGCTTGGGCTCTTGGCTCACTCTGTGCGGGATTTGGTGATGCTGACTCGAGTGGTGAGAGACGCACAGCCATGGAACTTTGACCCGCGGTCGTTTCGAGACTCATGGAGAATGGAGCCAGGCATAGAAGGCTAGTGGTAGGTGTGATGCGCCAAAGTGGGTTGATACCTCATCCTCCGTCCGCCGCACGATCAGCGAGGCTGTCGAGAAGTTTTCGGCGGCACGACTCGTTGTCAAAGAATATGTACCACCTGATTGCAATGAAATCCGAAATAGGGAGCCGTTCACCTTGGACGGCGTGTCATATCAACGTCGTCAGCTCGCAGAAGGAGGCGAATCTGTAGTGCACTCTGTCTGAAAGAGTGGGTTCTGGAAAATACCCTAAAGCCGCATGAACAGGAGTGGGCTCTCATGCAAGGAAGGTGACAATCCAGAAGGATATGCTCGATAAGTAACAGACAGCCGGTATCGACGTTTTCCTTGCGCCAGCAGGTCCTCACAGCGCTGTGAAACCTGATTACTGGACGAATGATACGTGCACTGTTTGCCGGAATGCAGTCGACTTAAGTTACCCTTCAAACAACTCACATCACGACAAACCAGCGAACCTAGGTATCCGCAAGTATCTCGCCAGAATCATACCATTTACCACGGTTGTCTCTGATTTAGACCACGGGCACGCGGGCTTTATTCCGACCCACAAATTGGATTCCCAAGTCCAAGCAATGTGTAAGTCTCTCGCTTCCAGGATGTCGGCATTATACACTCGCACGATTTATGCCAAGTGTGATGATGAAGATAGATAATTCCAAGCTGATAGTGGGAGCGCCAGTAGCTCTTCCAGTGGGCGGTCCTCGTTTTGATGACAAGCAGCTCCTTCAACATATGCAGACCATTGACCCCAGTCTGAATCCGCAAGTGTAGAGTGTCCCAAGTGATTTGAGAATAGGCTGAGGCAATTTTGGTGAGGAACATCTATGCAAGACGAGTGGCCTGCGCAGATCTTTCAGATTGGAAGCAGTTCGTTGGGGTATTTGACATTCAAAGTCATCCAACTCCAATCAATGCCGGCATCCCTGGCTACCCAAACCCTGTTCAGAACAAAACTGCGCGTCCCAAGAGCAGTAACTGTCTTACGACTTCGGCAAATAGAGTCTAGGACATTTGTGACGCTTAGTCTATCAGACTCAGAGCACATCTCGCAAGCTGCAAGGAAGACCGGCCACAGAGACATTTTTAAATCCTCTTCGTGATCCGCAATGTGAGACATCACCTCGTATGCCATAGTCAGAGCGGCCCGGTCAGCCTCTGCTGAGCTGCCTGGTGGGCTGAACAGTCGGAAGAGATATAACAAGGAAGCTTGTCGATAACTGTTTGCGTGCATGAGGAATTTGCGAGAACTCTGAAAAGGGAGCTTGGGATCAACAATGGGATGCCACATGCTCAATTCATATTGTAAATTCGAAGCACGGGCATGCAAATTACCTTCAACTGAGTGGCGGGGAGTCTCCAACCAAGATACCCGAATGTCCGCAGCGAGATCGCTCAACCTCGATAATATGGGCATAAGAGTGCCTGTATAGCCCATGAAACGATCGGCGCGAGCTTTGGCTCCATCGTCCAGCCACCATGTTGTTGGGATTTTGGACCGATGCATTCGCGTCAATGAGATGAGCATGTCTTGTCGAGCCATGGCGCGGAGGAAGTATTTGGCCAGTTGGTTGAGGTCATCGCCTTTGCCAAGGTGGCGGTGCAACATCATGGACAGGTTATCGAGAAGAACAGGCAGGCTGCTCGTCTGCCGTTGCGCGCTAGAATCGACAAGCTGGAGACATCAGCAAACCATCGAAAACTTTTCTAAATCAAAGAGCAACGATTACCTCTACTGCACAAAGTCCGAGCATGATGGACAATAAAAGCTCCATGCTTACTCCATGCTTATCCATTCCTCGCAACCGAGCGAGAATTCTGGCCCTTCTGCTTGCAACGGGAAGCACTAGAGGAAGAGCGCTATCTTTACAATAGGCTTCGCCAATAGCGGACAAGATATCGCCCACAGCTAGAGGGCTATCTTGTAAGACTTTGATGACACTCGAATTCATCTCCTCGACAAACTCAGGGCCAAAAACCAGCTCCTTGGGATGGCGCAAAAAATACATCTCGATGAAGGTTTCGTCTGCAGGGTTGATGGTGCCTGCAGGTATAGTAGGTATCGACTTGAGCAAGGGAAGGTCGATCGACGGGGTGCTGTTGAATGCGACAGGAGATAGTGGGCTTCCTAAAGACCCGGGCCCAGGGCTGAACGCTCCGGCATACAACGCTGGGGGGACGAAGGGCTGAGGTTCGCTTAACCGCCGATCTGGTGAGGTTGCATGATCTGTAAGCTGGCGGACGGATGTGGTTGGTGTTCTGGGACTGCTGGGTCCGGAGACTGGTCTTGATGGTTTTATGGGCTGAATGTAACCACTGCATTGACGGCGGCGACGCCTGCAGGTGCCGCAGAACGGATGAACTTCATCGCACTTGACCTTGGCCTTTTTACAGTCTATGCAACCGTTTCGAGACCGAGAAGACATATCAGCTAGAGCATCAGATGGTCATGATGACCAATTGTTACCGACATGGCAATCTCAGGCAGGCTCTTGGGCATTCGGCTTCTCTCGGGATGAATGTCTGGGTTCCCTATCTTTGCATGGAAGACTGAGACATGAAAAGGCCGAAAGATAGTGAGGCTACGGCCAGCAGTGAGAAAGCGAAGCGCGAGCGAACTAATGAGCGACCAAGATCGATTTACAGCGGTTGATATTGCGCTCTTGTCGCATCAAACTGCCAGCTATCGGCATACAGTGAGGAGTGCGGTACATATGATAAAGACGGTGCGAGGTGGACGAGTTGGTGTTGAGCGAGCGAGGCTTCCAAGACGCTGCTTAGTCATGAAGCTTCGGCCACTTCTCCCGCCTCCGCCCTGCATCATCGCCTCGATCAGCTCGTCATTCCCAAAAGCCATGACCACAGGACTGACTTGATACAACAATCTCTTGTGCAGCAACGATTTCTGGCTTTTGAAACCTATTGAGTTATCAGTCGAGTCATATTGCGCAAATGGCAGGCTTCTTCACGTGGTTGTGGGACTGGTTGCTATGGGTGTTCTGGGCTACCGAGATGGACGTGACCATCATTGGGCTCCAGAATGCCGGCAAGACGAGCTTAGTGAGAGTGCTGGCGGTGCGGTGCCTTATCCCCAAGTCCTGTGTCAAACACTATGCTTACTGGACAACTAGGGCAATGAGTTCACCGTCGACTCCCTGCCGACGGTGGCCTTCAACAAGAAAGAGGTCAAAAAAGGCCATGTATCCATCAAATGCTGGGATCTTGGAGGCCAGCCAAGATTTCGATCGATGTGGGAGCGTTACTGTAGGGGAGTCAACGCTATCATCTTCGTTGTCGACGCTGCAGACAAAGCTGCCATTCCCGTGGCCAAAGAGGAACTGCACAACCTGCTGAGCAAACCAACACTGGAAGGGATCCCGTTGCTCGTGCTCGGCAACAAATCCGATCTACCTAACAAACTATCCGTTGACGACTTGATCGACCAGCTGGACCTCAAATCCGTTGTGCATCGTGAAATCAGCTGCTATGGGATCAGCGCCAAAGAAGAAACCAACCTCGAGGCCGTGCTTCAGTGGCTTGTAGCGCGATCAGGGAAGTGACAAGCTTTGGGGATCGAATTTGTTTTCCGCATACGAGGCCCTGGTGGACTGCCACAGCCTTGCGCCAATTGAGACCAGAGACGACATCTGTTAGGACGAGCATGGAAGCACGGTGGGCATTGTAGTCGGGATTTCACGAATACGCATACGCATACGCAGCTAGCAGGGACCGGGAAGGACGGGGCTATCGACCCGAGCTGCGTGTGGCGAGATACTCAGTACAGTGCGAGCGACCGCGGATTTCGTAAGGCTCACCGGGAGGCATCTAACCGCTGTGCCCGTCCTGGGTGAGTGTCCCGTTATGCTCGTGGTGAGACTACGACAACGTGATGCTGTGCGAGCTGTGGCGACTCGGGCGAGCGAGGGGGGAAATCGGGGATCGCACTAAACGTCTCCTCATCGCGCTTCGATTGGAATACGCGAAATCGGAGGCCAAGAGCATCGCCTCCTGTTGGTTACGGCATCAGCGCGGTGCCAAGATGAAGAAGCGGGACGTTGGCTCGACGAGATATGGCTTTGGGATACCTCTAGTTACACCATGTCGAGGAGGAGGATGAGCTGAAAGATACCTAGGGCGTGCTAGCATGGAGTCGGGGCGATGATGTTCGAGCTATTTCGTCTGGGACTCTGATGTGTCTACAGTGTACAATATGTTTAGGTATTCAACAATGGAATAATCCACGCCTAGAAAGGTGCCTGGAGGGGCGCCCTACGCATGCATAGTTTCGGGTGCCCCAAGCGTGATGACAGTTTTATTAGTGAGGTACTTGGGCCCAATTGAGACTGTTGCTGCGCCACCGAGATGGTGATGCAACCGACAACAAGAATCGCTCCAAGAATTCAACTGCGCCTTGATGGCCATCTGACCATTTCGTAAATCTCTCTCCCACGCACATCCCTCCCGAAGACATCTTGATTTGTATAATACTCATCTATTTGGCACCGCGACCCTTGGCTCTCTTAAAGTCGTCGTATCCGTGTCCACATACAGTACGAAATCCCTGCTCCATCATCATCATTATCTTCTTCCCGTCAGCCACTGGGAAGCTGCGCAGCCGCCATCTTTGACATCACCTTCTCACATCCACAACAATGACTCTGCTCGTGAAGCGTTACGACATGTGAGCATTCTCCATCCCATCCTGCTCTGATTCATATATCTTCATCATCCACTCTCTGTCGGTATGCTGGGCATATCACAAACTCCATCCTCACTCCGCGCACCTTACTCGTTCTCAAGCCAACGACACATCACTGACATATCTTGCAATGGCCAGATGCTACGACGCTTACGGTCGAGCCTATCGATGTCGCTCCGGCTGGTATAATTGGGGGAGATGGGTGGCACTCGGCGTCATTGTGTTCGCCGCTCTGTTCTTCTTCTTCCTACTATCGTGAGTTGCCCTCCAAACGCACCCGGAGTCGGAGCGCACCCTTACTAACAATCAAAACAGATGTCTGAGCGCTCGTCGCAGACGTCGCCAGGGGAGACAACCCTACTATGGAACTGGCTGGGCAGGTCAAACACCCTGGGGCCACGGACCGGCGCAATACAATCCAAACTACCAGACGCAGCAACAGCCACAATACAACCAGACACCTCAAGGGCCTCCGAACTATAACCCACCACAGGGTGGATATTATGGCGAAAACCAGGGTTATTTCGGTGGAAGACAAACCGATGTGGAAATGCAACCACCGTCGAATACCTACCGGGGAGGAGACGACGTCTATCAGCCTCCTCCGGGACCTCCACCAAACAAGACCTAGACCATGACACCTCTCATCTGTACAGACATCGGGAATAATGATGGATTTTGTTTGTAACGCTTCCACGTAGCGGCGCATAAAGGAGTTGCTGGATCGGCCACGCAGAGGAAGGCTCGTTGGGAATGCGCGCCTGGGCGAGCACTGTCCTACGGAGTCGTGGGTCCGAGGTGATCGAAGGTGAATGAGTGTGCTCCGGGTGTGAGATACATTTTTACGCCGAATGTTCAGAAGAATGACTGAAAAGGCTGGAAGACCTGGCGGCCATTCAGGAGTTCTAGTAATACAGCGATTTGCAAAGATTACCGTTGGCTTGATGAAACTGAGATCAGTATCTGATGATCTGTCGGTACTGTAGAATTGGCATCCATCAAGGAGCGATTTTGGGGGATTGACTGCAGCCAGTGTTTCAGCCTCTGCAAATGCCCACAAAATCGCGCAGGGATTGTGGCTCAAGAGACCAGGGCCCCGGGGGAGCAGTCCGAAACTCCAGGTACAGCACAGTAGACTGTAGAGCCCTTGAACTCGGCGTCTTTAGCGTATCCCCATAAGCCCCTGCTTCGCCTACTGCCGCTAACTACCGCCACTGGGTAATCAGGGATTGGGCGCTCTCCACGTTCTTTTGCAGTGCAGTCGCCCGCTGAACTCAGCCTCACTCGTTACACAATCCCTGGCTTCCTACTCCCTCCTGAGTACAACGTCGTCTGTCTGTACGGCTGTTGTCTCTCACGCTCTTTCGTTCAAGAGGCAAAGTCATTCCAATCTCTGTTTCTTTCTTGCTTGCACCATTCCTCATTTTTCCTCCCCAGCCTTTCGCACAGGAAACGTCACTCGTTGGTGCACTGTCCGCCGGTCGGCCTTCACTTCAGACACCCTTTCCAACCACCTTCTAAGATACCCAACACCGATCACCGGCCCTTATAGAAAGGAGCCTCATACGCAATCGCAAACTGTAACCAGTGCGAATTGTCACTGCGAGTTTCCCGAGTCTGGAAGAATCATAATAACAGATCTTTCTCCCCCTTTCCCTCACTACTATGGCCTATTACCTCCTCCCCCGCGACATCATCAACGATGTCAAATCAGCACCCGACACCTTCAGCAGTTGGGATAAATGTATGCAAAAGGCCTACTGCAAGTATGTGTCCCCTCAGGCTGTCGGCGAATATTATACTAATCCGGGGTACAGATGGCCTGCTATAGTCGGAATTGTGGTCGGCTCCCTCATTCTCCTCTCCCTTATCTGGTGCTTCGCCCGGTGTCTTTGCTGTGGTGCTGAACTCTGCGCATGCTGCATTCGTTGCTGTCCTTGCGCTTCTTCTGGCCGAAGGCGTGACAGGACTAAGTTTCAAGACGACTATTCTCGTATGCCTCCAACTCCTTATGGGGGCTACCAGCCCGCTCCCGCTCCCATGGCATATGGTGCCCATCCCATCGCTCCACAGTTTGCTACCTTCGATGAGCCGAGCAGGAAGATCAACGAGGACAGTCTGCCTCCTATGCCTTCTTGGGACACTGCCGTCAAAAGGAGGGTCGAGGATACAAGTGAACCTCTGAATCCCGACAAAGAAAGGGATTTGGAAATGGGAAGACTCGAGCCGCAACAACCTCGCATGAGAGGTGGTTACAATACTGTACCCAATGGTCCAACCTCGCCTGTACCACCACAAACGCATGAAGAATATTTCGATGATACTCACTCGTACCAAGCGGACCTAGGTGCTCAAAGGATCAACTCGAACAGCTATAACAACTTCCAATCTGTACCCTTGAGCCCGCCACCGACTTATCGATCGCACTCCGGTGCTCCATCTATTACATCGGACAGATTCAGGCCCGGTATAGTCAGCCCTACCCCTGCGGAATACAGTCAACCGTACCACCAGCCATATTCATCCCCTCAGCCTTCATATACTCCGAGTGGAGGGAACACACGATATGACCCTCCAGCCGACTACTCACTCAACCGGATAAGCATGCCGAGCATGCCTGAACAGCCTAATACACAGTCGCAATACCAAGCACGACCCCCAAGTTTTTTGCAAGTCGGACGCAAACCTGTTCACGGCAGTCTAAGAGAGGTTTGAAGTAATACTTGAGTATTGCGCCAATTTTGAACGGCAAGGTTAGGTTTGCCCACCTGCAGGCCTGCCAGTTTTCGTTTTGTTTCTCCTGGGTGAGAGTTCTGTTTCCCCGAACGTCATTTCAACGGAAGACCGAAATTGGAACGGCCGTAGCACGGCTATTTATTGCTGCGTTGTTTCTACTATCCGATCGAGCAACCATTCATACCTGGATTGCTTGAGAAGTTCAAACGCAACGCCATCAAATCGTGGTTCATTTGATCTCGATTGTCATTTCTCGAAGAGCACATAAAGTGATATTAATGGCGGAGCACAGGAGACTGTGGAAGGACGTCGATTCCTTCGTATTGTACATTACTCTTCTGGAGCCTCGTGATGACAGAGGCAATGCGGACTTCTTTCGATTGACAGGATGCTCCGACCCGAGCTTTCCAAACCTTTGTGTCATGGAACGGAAGACCGGACTAGACCAGGAGCTATGAAGTAAAAATACCTCTACGACTAATGATATCTGTCACGATACATGATTCGCTGATGCTCGTTTCGTCTGCAAAAGCAACCTAAACTATCGTCACCCTTATTCCATGGCTCGTACATTTCAAGAAAATTATAAATTATGAAGAGATACGGAGTATAGTAGGTACATTAGGTCAGGGATGTCGTACGGAACGCTAGGACGTACGAGTAGTATTGTACCTACTGTAACTTAGTCAACACAAGGCTGAAGGTTTACATTGTTTCACGTGACGAGGCTGTTCAATCAAGCTGCGGTCGCAGGCCCCCAAGACGCGCATCGCATCCTTCATCATCAGTGCCATATCGGCCATCCCATTGCTTCTCATCATCCACCCTCTGTCCTCCCTTCCTGCTACTTTTTCCTTGCTTGTTCTTTTGTAACAACACACCTTCCTACCAACTGTGTTTATAGCTTTTTCGACCGTGTCACCATTAGAGTCCAGACCTCTTGCCGGACGGCCTGTTAATCATGGATTCCCTCGTCGCCCAATACACTCAATCTCCCTTCCCGAACGAAGGCCTCGATGCCGAAGAGCAACTCGACTACTCCGACTCAACTCCCTCACTCTCGCTGAAGTTTGCTTTACCTCCTGTTCCTCGACCTTCGGCGTTCCTGCGTGCCACCACGGATGACTACTCCAACCCAAACTGCCCGATTAAGATTGCACATGGTACAACTACATTAGCTTTCCGATTCAAGGGCGGCATCATTGTCGCGACCGATTCACGAGCTACCGCTGGAAACTGGATTGCCTCTCAAACAGTAAAGAAGGTCATCGAGATCAACCCAATGTTGCTGGGAACCATGGCTGGAGGAGCTGCTGTAAGTTGCCTGTGAACATGAAGCAGATTGAGACATACTCATATACGTTGCAGGACTGTCAATACTGGCTCGCCTACTTGGGAATCCAGTGCCGTTTGCACGAGCTTCGACACAAGCGACGAATCTCCGTGGCGGCTGCTTCCAAAATTCTGGCAAACCTGGTCTACTCGTACAAAGGCATGGGCTTATCGATGGGTACGATGATCACCGGAGTCACCCCTGAAGAAGGTCCGGCGCTTTATTACATTGATTCAGATGGAACCCGGTTATCAGGCAACCTCTTCTGCGTTGGTTCCGGTCAAACATTCGCCTATGGTGTTTTGGATGCTCTCTACAAGTATGACCTGGAAGATGACGAGGCATTGGAGCTGGGCAGAAGAAGTATTCTGGCAGCAACACATCGAGACGCATACTCTGGCGGTTACATCAACTTGTATCACGTCAAGGAAGATGGTTGGGTCAAGCATGGCTTCTCAGACACCAACCCTATTTTCTGGCAGACCAAGTTGGAGAAGGGAGAGTTCTCGAACGTTACTAGCGAGCTATCGTGAGGTTTCGGCTTGGGCTATCAATCGGGCAAGCATTTCCTGGCTGGCGTTTTGAGTGATCAGGTGGTTAATGTAAGAACAGACTCGATCAATGTGTACTAGGGAGAACCTCCGCCAGTGTCTATTGACCGCTGGCTTAGAAAATGGCATGATCAGCCTCCGAGTTCATATTCTTTGGTGCTCGACATCATCGATGGCCGCACACTCTGCACTGGTGTTGTATCTCGAGATCACGTGATCACCTCAAGTCCATCCTCAGTTTTGTTTTTATTCAGAATTCTAGAGGTTTCTAAATTTCAACAAAGTGAGGGAGACGGGCTGTTACGGCTAAGTTCGAGGGAGGTATTCGGCGTAGATCCTCGGAGATGTACATTTGGGCGATAGTCGCGTATAAAATACAACAGACCATTTGGCCGATAGAATGAATCTGGATTTGCCAAGCCCCAGCCCAGTTCGCGTCTTCTCTGGCGCAGTCGCGGTTCAAGATTGTCCGCAAACTACTCCGTACTCGAACGGACAGCATCAACGCTCTCTATTCCGCTTCGCTGCTGGAGGCTCGCGGTCGCATATACATCAAAATGAATATGCTCACAGATCCGGCTGGAGGCGTCCCTCCACAACTTGTAATTCTATAATTCCCCAGATCGACGGGACCTACTGACGGATTGAATTAGCTGCCTCATCTACATTTGCTTTCAAAGAATCGATATCCCGTCGCAAGCAACCCATCCCTCGAAACCATTGTTGGCTACCTTTTGGAGGCCCCAAAGGTGGTGCGCGAAATTCAGCCAGTTCAATGGCAGATGATCGAGACTCCTCAAGACGGTACCCTTATGCTCACGTGGCAACCGAGTGAAGCGTTGGGAACGACGTTCGCCAGTGATGGATACATATGGGCGGATGCAGAACACAGATTCACTTCTGAAGTCAGGGGATATGTGAGTGACACTGGCTTTGTTTGACCATCGCGACTAACATCGAGCAGACGCTCGAAATTTATGTGCAGAGATCGGGTTATCGAGCATCCGGTGAAGCGATGGCATCTCACAGCAGAAAACGATACCGACTTGTCGCGGGACCTCCTAACCATGGAACTGTCGATCCCAGTCTGTGGCTTACGCACTACTCCAAGGCTTCGTCTCGAGATCATGTTCCTGCGGCGTCAATTCCCATCACACCATTCGTTCAGGCTCAGATTCAGCAGAGAAGATTAATCCAGAGCCAAGGACAACTTCCCCGTAAAGAGTTCATGTTACACGACCGCTCAAATTGGCCCATCATACATCTCCCACCGGGTATGGCACGGGCTGGTGTTCCTGGCCAAGCGCGCAGAGCCGGGAGTATTGGGGGAGAAGCTACTCTGGAAGAGGAAGAAGATGTTTCTCGAGGAGATTTGCTCGACTTTATGACTCCAAGAGATATCAGTCGATATCGTTATGAACAACATCATGAATGGATGGAGGAAATCCTCGAATCACCTTACCCTACTCTCGCCATTGTGCCTAGCGATTTAGGGCTTGGACGAAAGGGAGCCTTGGAGGAACTGACGAAGGACTTTTTCGATGCCCCTTTATCTGCCGCTCATGAGCCCAGTGCCGGGCCACCCGCACGTGTAGGTAGACTGCCACCGGGACAAGTCGAAGAATTTACGAACCGAGCGACGAAGAAACTGGCTGAGATGCAAGAAGAGCTCGAGAAGATGAAGAAACGGCATGCGCGGAGAATGGCCAAACTGCAGCAATCAATGGCTCTGGCAACCGCTGAAAAGAAACTACGGACGGTGCCCAACGTGCCGGAACGGCGAAGTTCCACCACTAGCAAAGCCGACGGGTCGGAAGAGACACCCCGTGGTGCGATTGAACAGATTGTTCATTCTGTTGAAGAAGTAACTGGCATGAAGGTGGCACGAGCTAGCGTTGTTACCGTTGTGTCTAAAGGCGGCCTCACCGAACTCTCCAAGCCTGCACCTAGCACGGCAGCGCAGGTCACCAGCCCAGACAAGGACGCAGCTCAACCTGGAGAGATGACAGATACACCGCAAGCGCAACAGCAAGGAACCGCCGCCAAAGTGGAGACCAACAACACATCTACGTTGGCACAACCGCAACAGAATGTCTCGTTACCTACCGCAGCTGCTCAAACTCAGCCTCCAGCCGTGCAGCCAGAGCCAGAGAAAGGAGATGGTGCCAAAGCTGAAGCAGCTGGCCATGATGTGCCGATGGGTGACTTGGGAATGGATGTGCCTATGGGAGGCCTGGACGGCGCTGAAGGAACTGGAAATGAGAACCAAGACAACAGCGAATGGGTCATGGTTGATCAAGACGACGGTGGTGAGTCGGGCAATGTGGAAATACCTGAGACTACGAACGAGGCACAACTTCCTCGACCAGACCAGACGACCACGGACAGCACCACGAAGCCGGTTGATCAACCAGATACCGCTCCAACTCAAGTACCTGTACAGTCCGCCCCGAACAGTGGACTCAACACTCCTGATTTCGACATGGGCGGAGACTTCGACAATGTCGAGGTAGACACTGCCGGAGATGCGCTTGCCAGTTATGACAATGACGGGGATGATTTGAATTTGGACAGCATGGAGGGCTCGGCGTTTGGGGATGCATTTCATCCTCCAGAAGATGAGGATATGTCTTGAGTATGGCACCGATGGATATTCTAGGGTTGGGTGGGCGGTTTGCAATCTAAGGGTGCTTGCTCCTTGGTTGGCACGGAGTATGAACTTTGAGGAATGGCTCAAATGGAGATATTCTGGTTAGCCTTGCTACACACAGACTGCTGAGTCGGTTGGCCGATGCTCTGTAACAAAATGGTTTTTGTATTCCTCGCCCATGCTGATTCCCGTGGCTCTCCTACGATGCACAAGAGGTGGACATGATTTGGGGGACTAGAATATGTGTTATAATCATCCCGTCGCATCGTGTCGATATATTCCTTACATGGATTTAATAGTTCCATTTGCGATGTTGTTTATCGTTTATGCGCCTCAGTCCATTGAAGTTTATCAAAGCCACGCACGTGCTCAGACATCTCACCCTGCGGTCTCCCATTGGACGACGTGCATCTGTCGCTCTTTCCATCAGGTGCAATCAATTCTTTAATTTTGCTGCTGAACTCGGACGGTGCGTTTCTGCCGTGTCCTTTGGTTTTGTTTTCTTTTTTTTTCCCATGTAGTTGGCTCTACCATTCAATCAAGGCATGGGCCGCAGGAAAGGACTGTTGCCTCGTGCCTGATCCCCGGTCCCGGACGACGACACACGAGGTGCTTGAACGGATAAGTTTTCCGCCAATCTGCCACGAGTGCCACCATCACGATTCTCTTGACGGGTTGACAACCTTTGTGATAACCTTGAATGATCGAGGACTTTTGATGACAAAGGGCTTTCCTTGACAGGGTCGAAGAGCAGATCATCATCATCATCATCATCATCATCATCATCATCATCATCATCATCATCATGTCCCTACGAACTACTCTGGCCTCGAGTAGTCTGTATGGCTTGGTTGATATGGGGAGGTACGTTTGTTTGTCTTATACCGAAAGTCGTCCTTTCCCGTCCTCCACCACGTAAAGAACAATGAGCCATCACTAGTAACCTGGTGTATGCTTGAAAAGATTCACCGTCTCACATTTTCATTCTCACACTTTGCAATCTCAAATTCTCATTCTCCATCCTCGTGGTAGCAACGGCATCCGCTTCTCCATCACCAACCTGGACCCCTCGACAGCCCGATCTCTACCGACGGTCTACACGGACCGCGAAGGCATCTCGCTCTACGATGCACAATATTTGAGGGGATTCAAGGGCCCCATTCCCCAGGACGTTATAGACGACGTAGTCCGATCGTTGCTCAAGTTCAAAGCTGTCTGTGCCGACTTCGATGTCCCGGAACCAAACATTCGCATCCTCGCGACCGAGGCGACTAGGAATGCCGTCAACAGTGAGGATTTCAGACAACAGATCAAGCGTGATACCGGATGGGAGGTGGATATGTTGCCCAAGGAGGCCGAGGGGAGGATAGGAGCCTTGGGTGTGGCGAGTAGCTTCAGTGAGGTTGAAGGCTTGGTGATGGATCTAGGTGGTAAGTCTCTAAGCATCTGCCATCATTTCCCTGCACATCATTCAACTTTCCACCACCACCGGTTCTCCCCCCTGCACATCCATACTATCATGCCCTCGGATGGTGCTCTCATTCTCACAAAGACACACAGGAGGAAGTACACAAATAACGTGGATGCTTTCGCGAAACGGAACCGTCGAAACCAGTCCCCGAGGCAGCATAAGTTTCCCTTATGGCGCCGCCGCCCTGACACGACTTCTATCTGAGCTCTCACAGCCTCAGCAAAGCTCGAGCGGGTCAGCGTCACCCCTAAGTCTATCTTTCAACAGTCTGAACCTGTTCAAGTTCAAGTCGAATAGTTCCCCTTCAGCTTCTCCTCTCGAGCCACCACTTCCAACGTCAATAGAAAACCTTGAGCAAACGATGATCTCCCAATTCCGGCAAGCGTACGCAGATTTGTACGGCGACATGCCCGAGGCGCTCCGTTACAAGGCCAAGCACGGCGGTCTAACGCTGTATCTGTCCGGCGGAGGGTTCCGAGGCTGGGGTTACTTGCTCATGAGCCAACACAAAGTCAATCCGTATCCTATTCCGATCATCAACGGTTTCAGTGCGGCGAAGCGGGAGTTTCAACAAACACGGGAGATCAGCGCCGTGGCAGCGGAAGAGAGTGCGTTCCGAATAAGTAGACGGCGGGCTGCCCAGGTTCCAGCCGTGGCCTTTTTAGTGAACGTACTCGTCGAGGCAGTACCGGTAATCACGAACGTGAGGTTCTGTCAGGGCGGAGTGAGGGAAGGATTCCTGTTTGACACTCTGAGCCGGGAAGTCCGGGCCCAAGATCCCCTGGTGGCTGCGACACAGCAGTTTGCGGGTACGAGTGCTGACGAGATTGGAGAGACGCTCTTCAGCGCCATACCCGGGGAGAATAACCTCAACAGAGAAGTCCCGGGGACAATCGGGGGGCGCACACTGGCCAGGGCCGTCGCGGGTCTGATGTTCTTGGGGACTGTCATCGGCAACAAAGAGTCCAGAAGTGTAGGTGCATTGTGTCTACCCATTACGGGCGTCCTGGCTGGCGCTCATGGCGTAAGCCATTCTCAGAGGGCGCTTCTAGCTCTCGTGCTGTGTGCGAGGTGGGGAGGGGACTTGCCGCCTCCGTATGACGATCTGGAGAGACGGTTGCAGGGCCTATTGACGAAGCAGGAGATTTGGTGGGCAACGTATTTGGGCCGGGTAGCCGGTCTGGTCGGCGCTGTGTATCCCGCTGGACGAATCGGTTCGAAGAGAAGATTGAAGTTGAAGGCGTACTGGTCGGAAGGGTTGGGTAAGAACGGACTGGCGCAGGGAGTGGTGTTGGAAGTCAAGTGCACGAATGACGATGTCTTTACGGATCCAGACGTTCTGAGGCCGTTGATTGACGAGGTTGAGAAGTTGGGAAAGAAGAAGAACAAGGCCGGTGGGCCGCACGGTGGGTTTGGTGTGCCCATTGATATCAGGATTGAGAGGGTGTTGTCATTGACATGAAGGTTACTCCTAATTTGCTGTAACAGTTACTCGATATGTATGTAGTGTATAGATGGGAGCACAACCAAGGTCTCGGTACTGCGCGGGAGACCAGATTTCATTTTTCATCGTATCTGCAGCTGCAAAGGGAGGTAGCCATACGTTGGACGAATACCAGCAAGATAGATAGAGTGAGTTGACCTCTGTATGTACCTTCTTCTGTCCTTGTCCGTGTCCTTGTCCTTTTTTTCCCTTGCCCTCTAATAATGATCATGATGATATGATAATAAGGGGTCGACTCTGGTCAAGTGGTTCGATGGCTCACTGGGCCAATGAAAGTCACGACGGAGAGTTGTTTGGATTGTTTTCACTCTGTCCTGGTCTCGTCCGGGTGGTCATACTCCGAACTGACTTCCTGTTTGAGGTTAGTGGTTGTGGTGGTTTTTCTCTGATTTGGGGGGGTGGGTTCCCTTGCTTGCTTGCATTGCATTGCTTTGCATCGCTTCCCTCGCTTCCCTGTCTCCCTGAAAAGCTAGCTACCTATTGTAATAAAAGGATACCTAGTTGTCGTGTTCCCCCGGAAGATTGAATTCCGCCCGTCGCGCGCCCAATCTCGAGAGACCGACAGGGAGGACAAAACAAGAGTTTTTCCCCCGATAAATCACAATTCTTTTTTTTTTTTTGGACACGAATGAACGCACACGGGTTGTGGCCACACGGGATGGACACTACCACTAGTTATCAGTCGCACGGTACGGGTACTCGTATCGTAATCAACGTATTTGCATGTCAGGTACTCCGTAGGTACATAGGTACCTACAATCACCTCAGGGCCACGGAGGAGGAGTCGCAGACGTTGTTTCTGTCCTGTCCTGTCCGCCCGCTGATTTTCCGTTCCCCAGACTGGGATCCCGGGCCTCTTTGTTTGGGGGGGGGGAGGCTCGTCCAAAAGAAGTAATCGCTTCGGCACCTCCCATCCATTTCTCGGTTCCCAAAGTTGTTGTTTTTGAGAAAAACCTCCGAACTCCACTCGAGTCCTCACCTCACCTCACCTCACCTGCCCGGCCGAACGAACGAAACGTCACGCAGAGGTACCAAGTACGAAATCACGTGTACGAGTACCAGAGTTCCTCGTGGATGTGGACGTGTACGTGGTGGCCTGTGTTGGACACGGTATTATTATTTACTTGAACAAAAAGAAAATGTGAAAAGAACGAAAATGGATGAATAACAGATGAATACCCGGAAACGGAAAACGGAAAGAAAAGTCACTTCGTTGGGAGAGGCACCGTAACTTTCCCTTTGGCCTCCTTGCCGGAGAGATACTTGTAGAAATGCTTAATCTACGCCACCGCGTTTCAGGGAGAAAAACTCACCCCTCCTGCCCTTCTAGGACCTGCGGGCTGTAACAAGTTTAGTTTGCGCGTGGACGAGTCCGGATACGAGCACTCCAACAGGGAGTGAAGCTTTTGCCTCTTTCAGAAAACGCCGCTACGGAGTACGCTGGGCAGCTGTACCTGTGACAATCACATACCCCAGGTAATCGGTACATACATACACACACCAAGTTACGAGTACGTACTCTCCGGAGTCTGCACGGCTCATCCGACGGATGACTCTTCTCTGACTCTCTGACTCTCATTGATGTCGAGGTTGAGAAAAACGGTACGACTGGGTGACAGGGTACGAGGGAGTGATTCGGTCGAGTCCCCGACAAGGCCGAGATCGTCGATACGAGCCCAAGTCGCAGCAGAAACAATCAATGGAAAATTGAATTATTGAAAAATAAAAACAACGAAAAAAAAAAAAACCAAGATGATACAATACACTTGTCTCGTCTTCTCGGTCCATCTCTCACGGCAATGACCCTTTTGAGCCATCGGCTCGCGACCACTCCAACGACTGTACGGACAAGAAAGCAACAAAGCATCTCGGGAAGTCTCGCCCGGAGGCGAAAGGAGGGAAGATCAGTGGTGATCGGTGGTCAGAGGGATCGACATGCATTGCAGAGGCGTGGCTGTTTTGCTGTTTTTACTCAATCTTTTTACCTTTTTACGCCACCCTCTAGTCCGTCCCGTCAAACAGTGTCAATGAATACGAGTAATAAAAGTGTCAATTCTTCTCCGATCCACAGTTTTGTCGGTACAAAGGACACAGGACGCGGGACGCACAGTTACGATGGGTTCACCGCCCACCCGACTGCTGTACCTCAACGAGTGTCACGTCGAATGATGGTAACGGGGAGGCACGAGTGGTCGAGTTGTTGGTACAGAAAGAGTCTCGGGTCACTCAAAGAGTCAGAAGCTGAGGTCAAAAGAGTCCGTGGTTCTCGACCCCCCCTCCCCGCCCCGGGCACCGCATGGCTGTGGATCATTCGGGTATTTCCCAACTATGTAACTCGTGGGCCACGTCTTCGGACCGTCTTCTCCGTCGACCGTAACAAACACTTGTACACTACGGGTAGTGGGTAGACTGGTCAATGCACCCCTTTTGTGGTGTTGTACTTGTACAGAGCACGAGAGTGCGAGTCGTGTGGCGGTCCAGTCCAACAGTAGGTACGGAGTGAGGAGTAGTAGTAGTAGTAGTAGTAGTAGTAGTAGTAGTAGTAGTAGTAGTAGTAGTAGTAGTAGTAGTAGTAGTAGTAGTAGTAGTAGTAGTAGTAG